CTTTCTTATTGACCCATGCCGGATGCGAGTTCGCCCGAACCTCGAAATAGGGAATAGGATGCTCTGACGAAGCTAGCCAAGGAGGCTGCCTCTAAGAACTGATTGGTTTGGACGATCTTACTCTTAGCGCCTATGCTATCGATACTTGATCGATATATCTCGTTGAAAGTAATAATTGTCGGCGTGTTCTGTTGGATCCTGCGTGTAAAACGTGCGATTGACACACATTTCCCACTGGTATTTCCCACTGTGCAATCGCTTAACCGGCAGGTCCGTAAAACCCGCGAGAGTAACACTTGTAATGGGCTGCTTTTTAATCATCGACAATGCTTACAAAGACCAAGGTAATAGAATACAGCGACGGCCGAAAATCGAAGTCAATTGATGCTGACGTGTCTTCCAACCGTGGCGCAGCAATTTCTATTTTCTCATTTCACATTTTCGCCATCATGGTAGACGTCCCGGGCACGTGGTCCCAATGTATCTCATCCGCACCCTCTGTAGTCGTCGACCAGCAGCACGCCCAGCACCGCAGCTCCCTCGAGCGCCGCCGCTCTGCGCAAGTACGCTCTCTCCTGTCGCTGGACCTTGTGTCTAATAGCTCTTGACTAGCCGTCGCCCTGCCGCCAAATCGTCAGCCAACACGGGTCGTGGCATGGGTGGTAGCTCCGCTGGTATCCTTCGCTTCTACACGGACGACGCCCCTGGCATTAAGATGGGCCCCACCACTGTCCTCGTCCTCTGCTTGATGTTCGTCGGCTTCGTCGTCTTGCTCCACGTCTGGGGCAAGTTCCGCAGCTAAACGCGACACCTTCATCTTGTTGGTGTAGTGGACCTTTATAGCTCGAATACGATTGTACCTCTATTTGTCTTGGCAATTTTGCTTGCGCTTCCACGCCCATCACGTCACCATGGCCTACCCACAATGGCAGAAAAGCGCGAGGATCATCTGCATAAGGTCCCGAGGAATCACTTGTACTCACAAAGGCATGAAACATCAAGATCAGTGCACTCACGACACGCAGCTGTATTAGTCTGTGCGATAAGGAATGTTGGAATCCTCCAGGTACTTTTTGATGCTATCGTTGAGCTCTCCCGTGACCGAGACGGCATAAATGCCTGGCACGAACCGACCGATGCGGCGCCACTTGGCGACCCAGCTCTCGCGCGGCTGCATCATCGCAATCATGCCTTCAAAGTACGCGGTCGTGCAATCCGTCACGCGTTGGCGGTTGTCCTGCATGTTGAGCACGGCGCAGTTGTCGCAGCCGCTCTCGTAGAACTGGCTGTACGTCTTCACGAGGGAGCAGATCATACAAGCGCGTAGCTCGCGGAACGTCGTCGGGATCTCCGCATGGACCAGCCCGCTGTCGTCGTCGTAGTCGTCGCGGGCCATCGGCGCTCTCGTCGCAAGTGGGAGGTGGCCAGGAAACAACGCTGCCAGGATGAGGTAACCGGATACCAAGGGGCAGTATTATCCGGAAAATCGTTCTGGGCCGGCTCTCGACGTTTCTCTAGCTGATGCCCCATGCCTGAGCGGTACATGCGACTGCGGGGCAAGTGGCCACAGAGCACGTCGCCGTCATCAACGCACGTTGGTCGCTGGTCACTGTTCCCTCAGAGCCACGTGACGCGTCGTTCGAATCCTTTTTTCAGCCTCCACATGTATCCGGACGCATCCACCAACCGGATAGCGCTTGCGGTGGCAGAACCAAGGAAGAGACAAGATGGTGGGAGGATGGAGTGAAGGCAGCCCAGGTGCTCATGCTGCGTAGGCCGCTGATCGTTACAACATCAACCGCCAGTGGGAGCACCTCCAAGCCAAGTACGTCGGTACTGGACACGCCGACACGTCTAAGTTGTACGTTGCTGTGGGTCTGCGGTCCTGGCCTCATCGAACGTGTAGCGAATGGGCCGTGAACCAGCACCGTGATACGCTCGCATCGCACATTGGTCATAACGACATGCTCACGTACTTTGCTGTCGCCGAGAACGAGTCGCTCGGCCGCGTTCGCTACACCATGCTCGAGGTATCAAAATAAATGGGCGCACACAGAGGTGACTTCTCGGTGTAGAAAATGCTCCAGCCGTGCGGCCCGCCGCCGTTTAAAGAAGAAGAATGAAGTATGCTGATGCGCAGCTTGAATGAAGTATGCTGATGCGCAGCTTCGAGTCTATGATGAGCTTGCCACGTCGCTAAACGGAACGTAGCGTTGCGTCACGGGGCGTTGTAGAGCCAGAGACTTGAAACTTGAGACTGCGGACCGAACGGTCATGGCGTCGTCCTCGAGCTTGCGCTGCTGTTGCCCCACTACGCGGTGGAGCTGGTGCAAGAGGGTGCGCTTTTCTTGCAGCAATTCGGGCTGGGACTTGTGCTACGATCGCACCGTGCGTATGATATCGGCGAACAAAGAGCTTACCACACGCAGTGCTGCCTCGGTCAACAAGTTGTTGGACCTCGTGGATTGCTGCTGCGCGGCAACCTTCCGACACACGTAGCGATGGAATTCCTGGCATTATGTCATCAGCATGAGCTCTCAGACACATCGCGTAATGACGCACAACGTCTTGGACTGTCTCGGTTCGCGCACCGCACGCCACTAGACAAGCGACGAATAAGTCGCGCGATTGTCGATGATAAGCGTCGGACCGCGTGCGGACCGTTGGCGGTCTCCCCAGCGGTGGCGCGGTGCAGTGTTCTCGTCTGTGCTTGCGATATTCCTGCGGCGAGGATCCCCCAAGGGGACAGCGACGTTTTTGGCCAGCACTTGCACGAGCTTTTTCACGTGGTCCCGCTCACGCTCGAAGCGCTTTTGGAGGCGCAACTTCTCGACGGTCGATGTGGCCCGCGCGAGCTGTCGACTGCGGGCCGCTTCTTTTACAAGATCGTTTTGCAGTACCTAGACCTCGCGCGTCTTAGGTGGTGGGCCGTATTGCGTCGCGTGTACCTCGACCAGGTCGTCCATGCAGTCGGTGATTTGTGCCTATTTTTATACCGTGTTATCGCACGAGAAAGCATCGATTGAACCGCCGGGCGTTGCGACGTCAGTTTTGAAGCGACCGCAATGGCAGACGATGGTGACACCAAGGGTATGATCGCCCAAGAAGAGCGCGAACTCCGACGCGTCTTTGACCATCTCGCGGGCTATCGTCAGAAGAAAAAGCTCGGGCAGAGTATTGCGACGCTTCGCGACCGAAAAGCGCAGCTCGAGTTTGCCAATTCCAACTTCTCGAGCAACTCGGCGCCGATCTTTGACGCCGCTGGCAAAAAGATGACGCAACCCGAGATAATATGCGAGCTGCGGTCCGTCGAAGCCGACGTGGACGCGCACACATCGGAGCTAGCGGCGCTCAGCAGCGCGGCAGCGTCGACCTCGCGTGTTATCAAGAGCGAAGACCTCTACGATGCCATCAAGGCGCTCGGAAAGATGTGCGCCAAGAAAGAGATTAGTGACATGATCTGGGAGGCCGATGAAAACCTCGATGGCGCCGTTGACTGGGAAGAGTTGCGGGGTATGTTCAATCGCAACCTCCTCGACAAGACTGAGCTCGAGCCCGTCAATTTATTCAACGTCGTGCAGTTCATGACATACGACAAGAAGATGTGCGGTACGATCACCGCTGACGACACGATGGCGATTCTGTTTGCACGCTACGGCCAAGCGCAGCTCGAGACGAAGATGAAGACACTGTTTGGCGACTCGGACGAGCTTTCGTTCGTCAACTACCTCGACCGCGTCGGGAAGCAGCGCAAGCCCAAGAAGGCCCCGGCTTGAGAAGCATAAGACGCTGGAAATACACTGCGTTGAGATCAATCGTCTACTGTTTCGAGGCCGCAACGACTGCGGCGTACGGGATGTCTCCCCCGAAGATGTCCAAAGCACTCCCAATAGACAAGTCAACCTACAAACAGAAACGTCAAGCCTCGCTTTTGCGTTTGGCACGCTTCGTGCCTTGTTGTGACCGAGGCGTTCGACGAGACCCAAATCGTTCTAATGGAAGCAACCACATAAGTCTCGAACCAGAGCAAGACGCCTTGGGATTTACGAGCGAGCGTGCACCACCCGCGTATGTCACGGGGATAGGCGACCATCGTCCGAGAAGGTCCACAAGCTCTTCCTGCGCTCGGTGAGATTTAGCGACTCAAAAACGTCAGTGTGAACAACCTGGATGCCACAACGCTTGCCCTCAACATCGACTGCATGCACGAGATACTCGTCGCAGTACTGTGCCAGTTCGCGTAAAAGCTCCTCGCTACAAGAGCTCGATGTATCGACGTCCACTCATCAGTCGTGAAGTCACCGTGTGTACCTCAAGAAAACGTCGGTAAAGACTTGCCAGCGGTCAGTCATGATATAGAAGCGGCCATCTTCCTTCTTGCGGCAGCTTAAGTCCAAGACCTATTTGATGCTCGAGATTCAGATAAAAACTTAACAACATACCACGCGATCCTTGCCCGCGACGTCGCCAAGTTGCGCAAGTCGCGTCATGTCAATGTGGCCATTCCGGAATACGTACGACGTCACAATGACATGGCTTGCGCCTGCGTCGAGGTACATACGCGCATTCTCGGCCGTGATGCCACCTACGTCGAAATGCATGGATGCAAACACTCTGGGGCGTCATCGTATCGTACCGCCTACTTGCATGCCGTGCGGAAAGGCCGCCAGTGCACTCTTCGCCGCCGCCTCATTGGCCTCGCTGGCGCCTAGCATGATGATGTGGCCGCCGCGCAGACCGTCGCGCTGGTACATCCTATCACCGCCATTTGTCAGCCCATTAACCTATCATGGTGCATGATGCGTCGTACGTGGCATAATCCGCGGCACTCAAAGTCGAGACGAAGTTGGTGACTGGGCCGGCGGCGTCTTTGCGGTCCGAGAGCGTTGAGCCGACGATCTGCTTGACAACGCCGGCGTGGATGTCGATGCAAGGCCGGAACTTCATTCACACTGTCGCTTTGCGAATGAAGGGCAAAAGAAGATCTCGATCGTTGGCCCACGTCCGCAATCACGTGCTCGCACTTTCTTCTGGCATCAACACGATTTCAAGTAGATGATCCGAAACAGTGTAATACGACTTGAAATACTGTTTCTGTCGCCACGTTGCCATTCGGTCGACTCATTTCCATTTCCAAGTTGGAGACGATGGCGAAGAAGAGCTCGACGACGCAGGGGCAGCCAACGTGGTACATGCCGCAGCCGATGGACTCGCTCCTTGAGTACTGGGAGCGTCACTACCCGCTCAAGCTCTACAACAGCATGACGCGCTCGAAGACGCCATTCGTGCCCATGCAGAAGAAGTGCGTGACGTGGTACATGTGCGGCCCGACGGTCTACGACATTACGCACCTCGGTCATGGCCGTACGTACACGTGCTTCGACTACGTGCGCCGAATCCTCGAAGACTACTTTGGCTACGAGGTCAAGCTCGTCATGAACATCACGGACATTGATGACAAGATCATTGTGCGGTCGGCCGAGCACGGCTGGGCGGCCGCGCACCCGGGCCAGTCGCTGCCCGCGGCCAAGGACGAGGCCGCTAAGGTCGTCTTGCAGTGGGCGTCCGAACAAACGGCTGAGAGCAACATGAAGCGCGCTGAAGAACTCGCCAAGACGTTCGAGAAGACCTTTATGGACGACATGGCTGCGCTCAACATCAAGCCGCCGACTGTTCTCACGCGCGTGAGCGAGTACATGCCCGAGATTGTCGAGTTCATCGAAGGCATCATTGCCAACCGCTACGCGTACGAGAGCAACGGGTCGGTCTATTTCGACACGCAGGCATTTGGCAGCGCCAAGGGCAAGGCGTATGGCAAGCTCGTGCCTGAAAACGTCGGCCAGTCAGAGCTCCTCGCAGAAGGCGAAGGTACATGCCTTGTTGTCGCTCGTGGTTTTTGTGTATTGACCGTCGGGGTTGCGTAGGCGCGCTCTCGGTCGGCGCCAGCGACAAGCGCAACGCCAACGACTTCGCGCTTTGGAAGAAGTCCAAGAAGGGTGAACCTTTCTGGGCAAGTCCGTGGGGCGAAGGCCGACCCGGGTACGCGACAATGCTTTGTCCAGTCGTGTTGTGTTCTGACCGGAAGCTTTTGATAGCTGGCACATTGAGTGCTCGGCCATGGCCAGCGACGCGCTCAAGGACCTCGCAGGTGGTCGCATCGACATTCACACGGGTGGCATCGACCTGCGCTTCCCACACCACGACAACGAAATCGCGCAGTCGGAGGCGTACTTCAACTTTGAGCAGTGGATCAACTACTTTATCCACACGGGCCACCTCAACATCGAGGGCCTGAAGATGTCCAAGTCGCTCAAGAACTTTGTCAAGATCAACGAAGCGCTCACGATGAACTCGCCGCGCCAGCTCCGGTTCCTCTTCCTCCTCCACAAGTACAACGTGCCGATGGACTACAACGACAATACGATGGACGAAGCCGTCGGCGTCGACTCGTTCTTCACCAACTTTTTCCAGAACGTCAAGGTGGCACTCCGCGAAATCAACGTCGACCAGACGCAAAAGTGGGGTGTCCACGAAAAGAAGCTTGGCGCCCGCACGCTCGAGATCAAGGAGAAGGTCCACGCCGCCCTCGCAGACGACCTCAACACGCCGCTTGCGCTGCAGTTGCTTCAAGAGCTTGCAAAGGAGGTGAACCGGTACCTCGCGCTCAACATCCCGCACGTCTCGATGTGCCTCCGTGCCGCGGCCGAGTACATTACGCACATGCTCCGCGTCTTTGGCCTCATCCCCGACGCTATGGACGTTGGCTTCCCTCTCGGCGCGTCGGGTGACCAAGAGACGATTCTGACGCCTGTCCTCGACATCTTTGCCGAGTTCCGTGACCAGGTCCGTGCCGCGGCCCTCAGCAAGGACCCGAACCTCGCCAAGCTGGTCATGGAGCTCTGCGACTCGGTGCGCGACGCAAAGCTGCCGCATGCCGGAGTTCGCTTGGAAGACCGCGCCAACGCGTCGTCGGTGTGGAAGCTCGCCAACAAGGACGAGCTGCTCGAGGAGATCCGCCTCAAGGAAGAGGAGAAGAAGGCGAAGGAGCTCGCAAAGGCCCAGCGCATCGCCGACGAGCAGCGCAAGCTGGCAGAAGAGAAGGCTCGCGCCGAGGTGCACCCGAAGGACATGTTCAAGCTCCAGAAGAACAAGTATTCGGCCTTCAACGAAGCGGACGGTCTCCCGACGCACACGGTCGATGGCGAACCTGTCTCCAAGGGCGCTCTCAAGAAGCTCGCCAAGGAGCAAGAGAAGCAAAAGAAGCTTTACGACAAGTACCACCAATAAGCGGTTGTCGATCGCGATCCTCCGCCATGCATAATCCCATCTTCATTCTCGTTCATCTTTGCTCGCATGGTGCCGCCACTACGGTACCTCAACCTGAGCTCTCTTCGGGCTTCGTCGCCCTGCTGCTGCGTGATTGCTCGGTTGCCGCCCTTTTGCGATGACCGGAAACGAGGCTTCGTATCCGGACTATGTCGGGTGCAGCCAATGGGCGGGCAAATGTATTTTATTACAAAGGGTGGTCCAAGCATACAAAAGTTCCTGTTATAGAAAAGAAAGAAGAATCGCCGGCGCTGATTGGCCCGTCCGTTGGTTGGCTGGTACATCCGAACTCAATATTAAATTGCGCTCAGCGTTTGGCTGGTTCTCGTGTATTGCCCCAGTCGTGGGCTTTGTTTGTCGAAACCTCATTTTCATTGTCCCTTGAAAAACATGCCTAAGATCAGTCGCCACCGCAACTACCGCAAGACGTACCGTACGCCGACGCGCGCCTTCGGTAAGGAACGCCTTGACCAGGAACTCAAGCTCGTCGGTGAGTACGGTCTCCGCTGCAAGCGTGAGATCTGGCGCGTCCAGTTCACCTTGGCCAAGCTCCGTAAGGCTGCCCGCCAGCTCCTTACGCTCGACGCCAAGGACCCCAAGCGCTTGTTCGAAGGCCCCGCTCTCATGCGCCGCCTTAAGCGTTACGGCCTCCTCGCCGACGACGAGAACGAGCTCGATTTCGTCTTGCGCTTGAACATCCAGAAGCTCCTCGAGCGCCGTCTCCAGACCAAGGTCTTCAAGCAGGGTCTCGCCAAGAGCATCCACCACGCTCGTTGCTTGATCAAGCAGCGCCACATCCGTGTCGGCCGCCAGCTCGTCGATGTGCCCAGCTTCATGGTCCGCCTCGACTCGGAAAAGCACATTGACTTCTCGGTCACGTCGCCGTACGGCCAGGGCCGCCCCGGCCGTGTCGCTCGCAAGCGCGCTGCCCAGCGTGCTGCCGCCGCCAACGGCGGTGCTGAGGAAGACGACGAATAAACGCTTGATGCGACCTCCGTTGTTTTTGTAAAGGGCGATGACACGACGCATCGACTAGGGGCTTATTGTAATAAACTGACCCGGTCCTTGTGATTGCATCTTTCGCCTTGGCCACGACAAGTGACAGGTAAAGCTGACTGCCAGTCTATGACCTGCAAGGAACAGCACCCGACCTCTCTGTCTGCCTTCGCTACGCGTGCACTTATCCAGATCCGGTTATCACGCACTCCCATTGTTACACCACAGCTGAAGCATGTGAGGAACAGACTTCGACGCCCGTGAACTCACGCTTGGCCGTGCGTCTAGGTCGCCGACTCACCCCATCAACAACTTCCTCCAGGTAGACTCCCAGCAACTCTCGTCTTGACTATCGGTCCATGGGCAGTACACCCGCGTGACGCTCAACACGGGGCCGCAACTTCCGCCGACGTCGATGCCTGATGGTCACGCGCAGTACTTGTTGGCGCGGGTGTGTCTTGATCCACAAACATGTTTCGAACACGCGTCGTAGGACGTCTTTCAATACAACTTTGACCGGGAGCGCATGCTCGTTGGAAGTGGCGGCCGTGGCCGTCGCAACTCGACTGACTCCGGCAGCGTCGCTTCGGAAGGCGACCGAAACGTGAGAGTCTAAACAATCCGTACTTGCCCGTGAGTCCGTAGCGAGATATCGATGCATTAAAAGCTGCATTAAATCCAATGACATGCGACTTATCCTGCCTTGTCTTGCTAAGAGCGCGACATCCCCGTCGTTAGCCCGCAACCAAAACGACGACGACGACATGGCCGCTGCCATCGCTGCGTCTCTTCAGCAGCGCTAGAATGAAGAGACTACTCATATTCACTTTATTATTTGATCCGACTGGCCTTGTGAGCCATGTTGTAGGCAAGCCAGTACCACGTGCCGTAATCGACGTAAATCTCGTCGTCAACAGCGATGGGGCGCGTGGCCCGCACAATGGCCTGACACAGCGCAGGGTCCTTCTCAAATACGACGTTGTGGACTCCACGGCTGCGGCAGTCGTTGATGTAGCGGGCGGCGACGTTGGGTCGGGAGCGGGCGTCAACATAGACGCCCTGCCCCAGGCGCATGAGGTAGGACTTATTCGCCACATGAAGTGCCTCGCTTGTCGTAAGGATGTCGCCTGTGTACACGCAAACGGCGTCCCCCGGGGTGAACGGCTTGGTCGCGAAAAGCCCATCACCGGCGTTCGGCAGCCTGGACGGCCGCACCGCCAGCCCTTCCGCAATCATCATCACGCCAAATGAAAGCGAGCAATAGAAAGCAAACGTGAACTTATTTAATGCTGGGTACCCTGGTCGCTGATAAGCTTGTCCACCATGGCTTCGACCTGGGCATCCGGGAGTCCTTCCGAGTTGAGGATCGCATTCGTAATCAAAATTGTGTCATGACACGACGACGAGTTGACCCACACAAGACCGTTGAAGCCCGCAGCGACTTCGAACGGCATCGCCTTGCCCAGGGCACTCAAAACGGCACAGTCGTCCTTCAGCAAGCTAACGACATTGTCCATCGTGAGACTTTTCGCGCAGCACACAAATGACAAATTGGTACCTCTTTGCGAGCCCGATCGAAGCCTTAAAGACGTAGCCGCCGTTGAGTTCGCCGTACAGAGCCAAGCCCGTCATCCAGTCCTTCTTCGACATGTGGGATGGAGCTACAAAAACAGAAGCAAGTCAGCACACAAGCACGATGCCTGTCGAATACCCTCGCACGTCAGCGCCGGCTCCAGGTCTTGGTTTGTGCTCAAGACGCGGCAGTAGACGAGCGCACCCGGCTGCAAGTTCGGGCGGTTGCGCTTGCTGGCGCCGTCGAACGCAAGCATTCCCAGCGTTGCATACGACCTACGTCATCGCCGCTTGAGTTTTCGATTTTACGCGGCAGAAATATCGTACGAGGCGCCAATGTCCAAGCGGTAGAACTCGGCGTTGCGGTCGACGACAAGGCCCACAACACCATCGTCGACAGCGGGTACATACTAATGGCAACGAATAGATGAGCGTGCTGCGTATATAAAACACATGCCGATCACGAGACGTACACGCTTGTGGTTGTAGTCAAGCCAGTAGCGGTTGGGCGGGCGGTAGCGCAGCACGCCGGCGTTAGTACTCGTGATGGCATTGCCGTTGGCGATGAGCCCGGCGCCGAGGCGCAGTTTCTGCGAGAGGTTGGCAATATGCTTGGTGACGTCGTCGCCCGGCAGGACGGTCGCGGGCTTGAAGGCCAAGTCGATGCTCTTCTCGGTGCTCAAGAGGAACTCTTCGGCCATGCTGTTGTCGCTTCCGGAATCGAGGCAAAAGATGATGCAATTGGTCGGGGCGGCTTGGGCGATCCGGATGCGATTATCCGGTTTTCCCACGGGGCCACCAGTGCTTCCAGAGGAGAATTGTTGGCCGTCGACGCAAAGATGAAGCCGATTTTCGGGAAGATTGTCAGCGACAAGATGCAGAAGAGCGTGCTCGTGGCCGTCACGCGCATCGTCAAGGACCCAAAGTACGGCAAGTACTACAAGAAGACCAAGAAGTTCATGGCCCACGACGAAGAGAACGCTTGCAACATCGGCGACATGGTGCGCCTGAGCCACACGCGCCCGCTCTCCAAGAACAAGCGCTGGAACGTAGACGAAATCTTGCGCAAGGCCGAAATTTAGACGTGTAGTAGCAGCCAACAACGCAGTGTATTTCTTTACTACGGCCTTGTCCCCTTGACACACGGAACGACGCCCCTGGCGCTGGAGACCCTGACGCTAGGAGACCGATTATGCAAGGCAATTTGACGACCTCGCCTCCGGCTAATGGAAAGCGCGCGAGCATCATGACATTGGGCCGTCGCACGGCCTGTAGTTGGCCAACCGAGTATTTTGTAGTTGACACATGCAAGCGTGAGGAGCTGCAGAGACTGGAGAACATCGTGGGTCATGATGTGCGAAGGCAATGCGTTAGAATATTGATGCAATCATAGCTACTACGTCAAACTCTAAAACTCGTCATCTGAGAGGAGCTCGTCTTCGATCGGAAAGTCTCCAACTGTGACGTTGTTGGGGCGAATGAAGCCGCCGAACTTCTCGGCGCAGTCAAAGTACCGCTTTCCCTTGGCACAACCATTGCCTTTGCCTACGGGCTCGTCGAAAACGACACCAACCCAATAGCTCTCGCCGGGGGCGCCAGCGAGCTCCGCAACGGTCCCCATGAACGCGACACGGCCGCGGCGGCCACCCGGGTTCACCTCGCAGCGGTTGCCGATTTCGATACCTTTGACAGACTCGGCGTCAAAGACAATTTCGCTTGCTGCTCGGTTGGCCTTGGATGCACCAGGAAGCACCGGTGGCTTCCAGTTCGGGTCCTTGGCAAGCTGCTCACGCTTGTAGTTGCGCACCGTGTTTTGGCCTACAACATGTTTCCATCAGTGACATTCGACGCGCGCATGACAGTGCAATGTACGCTTGTCATAGTCTTCCTCGCTAATCTCGTACTTTTGCACGAGCGAGACGTCGTCCAGGCCCCCGCCTTTCGAGAGCGAGAATGGGTCGTTGTCTTGGACGTGCAGCGTCATGCCATGCTGCACAGGGTAGTAGCCGAGTTTGCGGTTTTCGTCGTCAAGGATACCGACAGCCGACGACCCGTTCTTGAGGATAAGCGTCATGTAGTCAGGCTTCGTGCCGCAATGGCGGTAGATTTTTTCCTTCACTTCGCCAATCGTCGCGTGCATGTCGAGCCGGATGTCGACGATCGAGCGCTGGAGGTGCGAGTGCGTGATGTGCACACAGACAAGACCATCGGCGACACCCGTGTACTCGTAGCCGTCCTTGGCCGTAATGTAGTTGCGCAGCGCCCGCAAGTCTTCAGCCATGGTCGCAGAAACGCAAAATATCGATTGACCCACTTCGCTCTTGTTCGGATACCCAGCCGCTTCCGGAAGAGTCGAGATCTTCCGATTTCGACGGCGCGTTGGGTGACGATGGCCCATCGCCCCGTCATGACGAAGAGAATCCAGGAGAAAATGAGTATGCTGCTTGCTTACGTGATGCAGTAGTCCAACCGGTTCAATTGCAGAGGTCTGCCGCTTGCGGATAATGGAAAAAAACTTGACGAGAGATTGGTCGATTTCTACCGAAAATCCCAGTCGTTTCACAGCTCACGGCAGTCGTTTCGCTTGCTCCAGTCTTTCATCCGCCTTTAGCATGCACGGCTTGTTGGCTGTCGTCGTTGCGCTCATCGCCGTTGTGGCCGATGGCGCGATCGTCTCGGGTCTCTGCAACGATAAGAACTCATCGACACCGCTCGTCAAAGGCGACCAAACCTACATCTGCATCAACGTCAACGACATGTACCGTGCCGTCTTCACGCCGACCGTTGACGACTATGTGCAGCTCCGCATGTACAACTGTAGGCACCCACGCCTTCATGCGTCAACTATACTGTGGACAACATCGTAGCATACTCGGACAATCGAATTGTGAACGCGAGCGCGCCCTCCTTCCTCACGCTCTCGAGTATAACGACGCGCTCCGTTTACAAGTTGTACACGGACGTGACAGGGCGCGCCTTTCCGACACTCACTGCGATCATTACGGTCGCCAATGGCATCGTACGCACGATTTTGGTCGTCCAACTTGTGTAGTGTACTGTAGATTCAAGGCATCTCGTGGGACGATGGTTGCTACCTCTGCGACGCAGCATCATGCTCGTCGAACCTCTATGCCTCGCCCAAGCTACCGCTCCTCAACTCGGCCTTCGGCGACGGTAGCACGTGCTACATGAACCGCACAACGTGTACGGCCACAGACAATGCCTGCGACCTTGGCGTACGATTGCAAGACGAGCCGAAAAAGTCAAATCAAGTATTGTTTGTAGATTTACGTTGGCTGGACAGGCACAGACTACAACGGCAACTACCTCAGCAGCGCTGGTACGTCACGAGTCTGCGTGGATCATGTGCAATGTTTCCCAGGCATGCGGGTGTCGCAATTTCAAGCCTTCTCTGTCAGCTCGTACGTCAGCGACCTGAAGAACAAACTCTCGACGCTGCTCCCTCGCTTCTAGTGATTTCAATCGAACAGCGTCCATGGTTGTGTATTACATCAATCGTAATGCATTTATCCACATCAGGGACCTAGTACCGGTGTCCGGTGTGCCATCTTACTTGATGTAGTTGTGAATCGTCTCGTCGTTGTTGTCCTTTTCGAGGCAGGCGTCGAGGTTGTCCCACCACTGCGGCAGAAGCGTCTGCGAGATGAGCTTGAACCACGGCGAAATCAAGAGGCTCTTGTCGTTGATCACGCTCTCGAGCTCATCCCGGGCGACGAGGCGGATTTCAGCGACTTCGTTCGGGTTGATGTTGACGTTGACGGCCGCGCGCACGAGGAGGATGTGGTCGACTTCGTACTCGCTCCAGTTCTCATCGTACGGCGCGCGGTAAAGCACCTTGGTGATAAACTTGAACTGGCCCGTCGTGAATGTGTCAAGCGGGATGCCAAGCTCATGCTCAAGCTTGCGAATGGCCGCGCGCTTGACACCGAGGTGCTCCTTCTCCTCCAATTCAGCCGCAAAGTGCAGCGGGTGGCTGCAGCAAGTGTTGGCCCAGAAGTCGGGGAACGTGATCTTTTCGGCTGCGCGCTTCTGGATCATGAGCTTGTTGTCGGGCGTGAAGAGGAAGACCGAGAATGCGCGGTGGAGCACGCCGTCTTTGTAGTGCGAGTCCTTCTTGGAGATCGGGCCGAGGTTGCGGTCCGTCTCGTCGACCTGGATGCACATCTCCTCCATGAGCTTGACCTGCGTCTCGTCGGCGGCCGCGATCACTGCTTCAAAGGACGTCGAGACCATTATGTTAGTACTCGTTATCACGGCGGAAAGGAAAGCCAAATGATGTCCAAGTGACTTGACGGCGACGGCAATACCATACGCTGCCACCCCCTCCCCACCCCTACCTGAAATTGGCGATGAGATACACACCCAGCATCTATTTAGCAGCGTGGCCCAGTGTCTATCTGCTTACCGGTAGTGCGCAATAGCTTGCGCAATGCACGAAGCTACAATCGTACGTCAACGAAGTCGGCAAAGAGCCGCAGTTTTTTCCATTATCGTTTGTAAAATATGTTTCTTCAAACTCTAACGTTTCCGAAGACAAGGGCTTTAAGTCGCCGTGGGAGGCTACTGGTACTACACTGCAGGCAGCCGATAAATATACCGGTAGGGCCTTCACATCTTCGTAAGTTACAACGTCCACTTTAAATATCCTGCAGATCGTCGTTGCTCATCTCGCTGTGCCTCAACGAGTGGCGCAGAAGGCAGTACTAGGACGCACGCCATCGGGCTTGCAGTTTGGCTCGCGGTGGTCCATTTTCGTAGGCCCCCCAGCAAGTGAATACTGATGCACCCCCCATTACGTGGCTGGCCGTATCGCAGATGTGTGCGGTGTGTTTTTTTGTTCCTCTGCAGCCCCTATCTTGTCATTTGTATGACGGCTCCTGGCCATTAAAAGATCTTTCGAAAAGTCCTAATTTCACTCCTAGCTGGGCGCCGCGTGTCGCATTGTCCTGGTTTTGCGTGGCACGGTTGCATAATCCCCGAGCCCTGCCGGCTCCCCCAATCACGCGAGACAGCGAGTTTGTGGTTATCGCCATGCCGTAATTAAACTTCGTTTGGCACTCTTAAGTGCGGCGCTCAACGCCGAGGAAGACGATCGAAGGTGGCTTAAGTGCGCCTGCGCCTGGGGCTCATGCAGCTCACTTTCATTTTCGAGTCGTACTGAAGATGTCGTTCGTCGCTTCGCTCTCCGCGCCCGCGCCCGTCGCCGGCTTCTCGCCCATGACCTCGGGCCGCCGCGCGCCCTTGGCCACGTCGGCTGCCAAGTGGGATGCCCGCTACTCGCACGCGGTGCCCCACGACGCTTCGTACTACGGCAAGTGCATGATCGGCGGTATCCTCTCGTGCGGCCTTACGCACACGCTCATCACGCCGTTGGACGTCGTCAAGTGCAACATGCAGGTCTTCCCCGGCAAGTACAACGGCCTCGTCCAGGGCATCAAGCTCGTCGCTGCTGAGGAAGGTGCTTCGGCCCTCTTCAAGGGCTGGGCGCCCACGGCCATCGGCTACTCGGCCCAGGGCTTTTGCAAGTTCGGCTTCTACGAAATCTTTAAGGATTTCTACTCGACGCTCGCCGGCGAGGAGAACGCGTACAAGTACCGTGGCATGATCTTCTTGGCTGGTTCGGCCTCGGCTGAGTTTATCGCCGATGTTGCCCTCTGCCCCATGGAAATGGTCAAGGTGAAGGTCCAGACGTCGCCTGCCGGCACGTTCCCCGTCGAGCTCGGCCCTGCCGTCGCCGCCATGAAGGCCAACGCCGCCGAGACCCGCTACCCTTTCGGCTCGGTCGTCCCGTTGTGGTCGCGCCAGATCCCGTACACGATGGCCAAGTTCTTTTTCTTCGAGAAGGTCGTCGAGGCGTTCTACACGCACGTCTTTACCGAGCCCAAGGAGTCGTACCCCAAGAGCACGCAGCTCGGTGTCACGTTCGCCTCGGGTTACCTTGCCGGTGTCATCTGCGCCATTGTCTCGCACCCCGCCGACTCTCTCGTCTCGCTTATGGGCAAGGCCGAGAACAAGGGCAAGGGCCTCGGCCAGATTGCCTCGGAGACCGGCTTCGCCAACCTCGCCACGAAGGGCCTCGGCACGCGTATCATCATGATCGGTACGCTCACGGGTCTCCAGTGGTGGATCTACGACTCGTTCAAGTCGGCGCTCGGCATGGGCACGACCGGCGGTGTTGCCAAGAAGTAAATATTCATCTAGTCTCGAGTTTTCTAGATTCGCCGACTGGCACCAATATACGCAATCTGATGTCATCTTTTGTCGACGAATCTAATTGGATTGTCTCAGCCTGACGATATTTGCCGCACTGACAACTCTGGACGGAGTCCATCCTGCGGCCGTGCCTTGCGAGATCCTGGTAAGATGCAGTGTGGGGTGTTTACGGCCAACAGCTATGACCAACTATTGGAATATGGCCTCCACTCGTGCAAGTAGCTCACGCCCAGAGTAGATTATACCGCGGGAGCCCTGCTCCTGACAGTGATCAAGACTGCGTGCAGTCATTGTTGACACAGAAGACAGCGTCGGCGCTTCGGCAGAGTCAATCCAACCGAATATCGAGTGCTCTCTATTATATTTAATGCTTGTAAAAAACAAATTCTGAAGGGAGCCGACATATTATCCGGACAGCCCACACACCAGAGCTGCGGAGAAGCATGGGACGAAGCCGCAGTCCTGCTCGCCACCGCAGTCGGAGCCGCAGTCGGAGCCGCGGTCGCAGCAACCGCCACCGTGATGGACGCGACCGTCACCGTGACAATGAGAAGGATCGCACGCCTGAGCGCCGGCATCGATGGAGCTCTGTCGAGGAGGTCAAGGAGTCGCCGAACAAGGCGCCGGAGGACTCGAAGCCCAAGGTCACAGAGAGCAACGGCGAAATCAGCATGAGTGTCGAAGAGACGAACAAGCTTCGTATCTCGATGGGACTCAAGCCTCTCCGTCTCACCAAGCCCGAGTCCAAGGAGGTCAACCTGGCCAAGTCGCGTGAAGACCTCGCAGCCGAGGCGCACCAGAAGCAGCTCAAGGAAACACTGGAAAAGTCCAAGCGAAAGCGCGAGTATACCGCCAAGATGCAAGGCAAGTCCCTCGGTGAGACGCTCGCCGAAGATGCAACGTCAACCCTCGATTGGGTCCGTCGCAGTCGGACAACGGCGCCTGCATCTCTTCCAGGCACGAAAGCCCCCGCGCCTGCCTCTTCAACCTATAGCGCAATGGACCTTCAAGGTCTCACGGTCGCTCACGACGCGCAGTCGTTCGAAGAAGGCGAAGACGTCATTTTGACGTTGAAGGACAACCGTATCCTTACGGATGACATGGGCAACGTAAACGACGCTGACGACGAGCTCGAAAACGTGACGCTGACCGAGGCCGACAAGCGTAAAGAGCGCGAAGACATGGCGAAGCGCGCAGCCGGGCCCGTCTACTCGGGCTTTGACGATGATGAGTTCTCGACGGTGCTCGGTGACCGGCCCAAGAAGCGCTTGCTCATGCAATACGACGAAGAGGACGATATGAAGGAAGCACGTGCGCGAAAGAAGTTTGCGCTGAGTGCCCTCGGGGGTCATGTCGTCGAGACTCCGTCCGTGTCAGCGTCGGCGGCATCAGCAAGCACCGCCACCCTGGGCTCCATCAAGCAGTTCCAGGCCATGGACGACTACTACACACCCGACGAGATGGCAGTCTTCAACAAGAAGAAGACCAAGAAGCTTCGGAAAAAGAAGGGCGGCAAGTCGCGCCGGCGCGAGAACGATGACGAGGACGAAGCTGAGAGTGCAACCAAGGACCTCGTCGAGCAGCTCGAAGCCGAGGCTAGTGCCTCTACGGGCGACCACGGCAAGCGCCGGGCGGATGCAGCGAGCGCAGTCGCGACCCTCGAGGCGCAGAACCGCGCGAAGTTTGAGAACGCCCGCCGCCGCGAGGCCGAGAAGGCCAAAGCTGCCGCTGTGGAGGACATTGATGAAGAGCTCAGTGCGTCGCTTGCCCGCGCCCGCCAAGCCGCACTGCAGGCCAAGAGCTCGGTAATCGAGTCCAACGAAGCGCGTATCTTGTCGCAAGTGGCAGCTGACAGCGCCGCGTCGCACAACATCCACCGCGACGCGCCGACAGCCAACACGATCGTCTTTAGCGAGGCGACGGACTTTGACGTGCGCGTCAAGAATGCCATGGACGCCCGCGTCGCGACGGCCGACAAGGTTGCGGCACCGGCGTTGGACGAGGACGAAGAAGAGACAAAGACGGATGCTCCTGCCAACGAGGCGCAGCAAGATGCCGACGACGACGAGGATGACGATGACGAAGCGACGTGGGGTGTTGAGGAGCCCTTGGTGCAAACGGGCATGGCTGCAACACTCGCGCTGCTTCGGAACCGCGGGGACCTTCGCGAAGATGTGCAATTGCGCCAAGCAGGCCGTGCGAACGACCACCGCGACCGCAGCTTCAACGACGAGCTCCAAATCAAGGACGGCGTCAAGCTAGACTACCGGGACGAATTTGGCCGGCTCTTGACAAAGAAGGAAGCCTTCCGACAGCTTTCGTACCGTTTCCACGGCCACGCGCCCGGAAAGAAGAAGCAAGAGAAGCGGCTCAAGCAGCTCAAGGAGGAGCTTGCTCAGCAGAAGACCAACGTCAGTGCTAAGATGCAGTCGCTCGACCGTCGGCAAAAACAAACCAAGCAGGCACACCTCGTGCTCTCCGAGGGTACGTAGTCGTCGCTGTGCACAGGACGCAAGTATACAACTACACCAACATGCATTGTTATTGTCTTCCTGCGCATCAATGACTGATTGCATGGTCGTCGCCTGGTGCAAATGAGGGGCGACCGAAGGCTAGAAGGCTTATGCGGGCGCGACGAAAAGGCGGTGGACGGCCATGGCCAGAAGCATGCCGGCGACCCACTCGCTCTTGCGCTCGCCGATGCGCGAGGCTTTCCAGCAGAGCCCCGTGAGGCCCTCGTGCTTCCCCGGCAGCTGGCCTCGGTCGAAGAGCGTCGGGAACTTCATGCGGATGTAGGTGCATGTGCAAATGAAGAGCAGCACCATCGTGAGCATACCCGTGAAGTTAAAGAGCGCCGTCTACGTCGACATGAGCCATCGCCGTCGTGCACCACGCTGCCCCTCACCATCGTTCGTCGCAGTCGTCCAAATAAAATATCCGGACGTGCAAGCTATCCGGACGCTGAGGCACTGTGACGTGGCAGTCTCTCACTCTCGTTCGATCAAGTCGTTGGTCGATCATGGCAACGACTTAGGCGCCTCGGATTTGGTGAGGTGACGCGACAAACTCCTTGACGTAAGGGACGATATACCTAAGGGACTCAGCCGACCGGCTACAAAATGGGGGCTCTTGAAAGCACTCGATCACATCGGCAGAAAATTGCGCTTGAACACGACGAAGCTCCCAAGCTGTTGATATACCTACGCTACCGGCACAGCAGTTGCCAAGAGGGCCCCAACGGTCGAGACCCATGTACAACGAAATGAAATACACAATCTTGTTGCGAAGGTTCAAGTCTTTTCGCGTCAAGTTACGTCGCACACACGGCGTCGCGGAGGTTTTCTTTTGAGGCGCGTCGACCACTTGGTCGTCGGACGATTTCGACCTCTTCCCCCATGTAGCTTTCAAGGAGCAGCTGCTTTGGGTCGTGGGGCAGGACAACAATGTCCTCAGAGTCACTCGAGACGGACGCGTCGTCGTCATCTTCATCCTGGGCGTACTCGATGACCTCGGCCTCCGTGTCTTCAAAGTCCTCGCTGTACGCGAGGAGCTCGGCGCGCGGCGGTCCGTCGTCGTCAAAGTCCGAGTCGTCGCTGTAAAAGTTTTCCTCGGCCTCGTACTCACTCATGCTTGTGTAGTGGTCGTCGTCGTCGCCCGAGTCGTAGTTGGAGCTTCCGCTGTACGAGACGTTGTCATCTGGCTCAACAGCAGCTGTGGCAGATTTGCCTCGCTTGAGCCCCACGGGTGCCACCGCAGCCTCATCGTCGTCGTCTGAGACGCCGAGCGCGAGCTCCGCATCGAGATGGAGCTTGCTCATGTAATGGATCGACTTGAGGTTCACTTTTTGGTCGATCGTCAACGCCTTTCGCCGGACCACCTTGCGTCCTAAGGGCGTAACGTTATGCTTATGTAAACATGTCATCACCAACCATAGTTGATGTGCTTGCTCGCCATGCACTCTTGCGTGTACTCGGTCGCGTAGTTGGGTTTGAGCAGCTCCTCCGTCTCGATGCGCTCTTCAACCTCGTCTCCGTCGGCTTGGACCCATCCCATCGTCGCTGGCACTACCGCTTGGGTGGGAGTTGTCACCTGCCACCGACTGCTGTCGTCGTCGTCGTCGTACGAGTACTCGAAGATTTCGACAACTGACGGTGGTGGCACCAGCGGTGCGATCTTGGCTTCGCGTACAAAATGCTCGCTGAGGTGTCCGCCCTTGGCGTGGAGCTCTACGCTAGCTATGAGAATTCACGAAAGCAACGAGTGGGTGAACGCACGCTGCATGTGCTGCACGATCAATGGCGTGCGCAAAATATCATCGATCGTCGGCCGGCGGTCAGGGTTCTTGTCCAAAAGCGCCTTTAGAAGCTCGGTCATTTCGGGCGGGTAGCACCCTGGCAGTGGTGCAAACTACATCAATCAACATCCTCGATCTGCCAAGAGACGATGGTGCGTACATCGTGCTGAATGATCTTGACGATGAGCATGAGAATGTTGGGGGCATCGAAGGCGTGCTTGAGCGTGCATATCTCGTAGAGAACGCAGCCGAGCGCCCAAATGTCGCTTGCGTACGAGTAAGGCTTGGACTCGCACACCTCGGGGCTCATGTAGTACGGGGTCCCGACGACGGTCTTGGCTTGGTCCATTGTCGAGTTGAGCGTGCGCGCAATGCCAAAGTCGCCGAGCTTGACAATGTCCTTTCGCGTGAGAAAAATATTGCTCGTCTTGAGGTCGCGGTGCAGTATTCGGCGCTGGTGCAGATACTTGATCGCACAGGCCATCTGCACGAACCAGTCGAGGATGCGCGAGAGGTCAAAGTAGCCGCCGCATTCCGGCTGCGCCTTGATGCAGCCAGCGAGGTCGCCGCCATCGCAGTAGCCCATGACAATGTGCAGCACGCTGCCCTCGACAAAGCTCTCTCTGTACTGCACGACGAACGGCGAGTCTAGCTGCGCGAGGAGGTCGACCTCGGCGAACGCTTGCTGCTTCTCCTTGTCCGTCATGAGCTCGACCGGGATCTTCTTGACGACATACTTGTCGCCGGAGCTCGCCTCCGTGACCAAGTACGCGCAGCCGTAGCTTCCGCGGCCGATGCAGCGCTCCTCGACGTACTGGTTCATGGCGTCGAGGTCGCGGCGAGGGAACGGCCCTCGCAAGATTCTTTTGGAACAACGTCCGCTCCGGATCCAATCCGGAATATCCACTGTCTCGTCCACTGTTTTAGACGAGCCACTGGATGGATGCGTTTCAACAGCCATAATGGCGGCGTGGCGCCATCTTGCAGCTTTGCAGCGTAAAATTAGCCAACGCCAAAACGTTGTTGCGCCACTACTCACTGGCGCGATGATGGCCGAGGAGGTGCTCGAAGAGATCGCGCCCAACGCGGTGCCGAGCTCCCACGAAACGAATGTGCCGGCCACGGTGACGCGCCTTCCGTCGATCAACTCGCTCGTTGCACCCGCTGCCGACACATCGACGCGCGGAATGAAACCCGTGACGTCCGAGGCGAAGGCCGAGCTCGAGGAGCTGGCAAAGGGCACGCGCCGAGGCACCATCACAACGCTACTCGCCCATCTGCGCAAGACGCGCAAGTCGGAGTTGAAGCCACGGAAGTACTACCGCCGGGGCACCATCTTCCTCGAGCACCTCGAGGCGCAAAAGGTCGCGAAGGGCGTCGACTCCAAGTTTGTTGACACCATGAAAGCGCACTACGAGAAGAGCCACATGAGCACGAGCACGATGATTGGGCTCTCGATCTTCCAGAACGGCAACAACCCCGTGAACGACCCGTTCGCAGTCGACAACATGCCGCTCGAAATTCAAATTGGGTTCCGGAAAAAGCTCTTTCGGCTCTTCTCGCTGCAGCTGCTTGTCGTCATTGGCCTCGACTTCGTGTTCACGTCTGCGCCGGGCTTCGGGTCGTGGTTCATGAGCCCCTGGAACCTCTTCGGCGTCTTCTGTCTCATGATCCTCTCGCTCTTTGCTCTGTACCTCAAAAAGTACATTTTCCCGCTTAACTTTGGCATCCTCGCCGTCTACACGGTGTTCCAAGCCATCTTCCTCGCCGGCGTCGACGCGTACCTCGTGCAGCACGTTAGCCTCTTCGTCTTCATCTTCACCTTTGTCGTCATCACGCTCCACAGCGTTCTGTGCACAACGCCGCTGCGGGGGTCGTCCGATAGCCCCGGACGGCTCCTGAGCTACATGGTGTCGGTCGCGATCGCCTTTGGCATCGTCTTTGTGCTCTCGCTCGTCGTGTTCTTCACGGCGCTCCGCGAGTCTCTCTCGCCACCCATGAGCGTCACCGAGTACTTGCTAGCGAGCGCGTTCATTTTGATTCTTTGCCTCTGGTTTGCCTACGACGCGTCTTGTATGAACCAGAAGCTGAGCCCGGACGAGTACATGCAAGGCATGATCTTCTTCTACACCGACATGATCCTCTTTCTCATCTTCCTCAGCATGATCACGTTCGCCTTCATGGCCTGCGAGGGTGACGCGTGTTGCTGCGGGTCGGCTGAAATCTTGCCTGCGTATCCCGTGGGGATCGTGGGCGACGCGGCCGGGCCTGTTGCGGAAGGCGACTCGGAGCCCAACCACGACGAGCACGCGCCTGGCGTGGACAACCAGACCATGGTGCGATGACGACGCAACGAGTCGAGAATAGTTTAGGACCCTAGTTGAATAGCTGTAATTCAATGCATGTGAATTTGGACGCCTACCTTTGGCGCTGGCAGTGCTTCAACGTGAAAAATCAATTCACACATGATCTTCACACGGGTGCGACAAGCCAGTGTGCAAAATGGGAGAAACGCGCCGGGACGCCTGAGTCGCATCGTTTGATGGCGCTGCTCCCAAGCAGTTAAAGCTATCTACGACACGAATGGATGGCTTCTCCACCACGCGAACAATGCGCTTCGCGACCTTGGCAAGCCCTGGCAGTGATTTTCACGTTTTTCACATAGTGGGAAATCATGTGAGGGCAGGATGCCGACCCAATCAAACAAGCGGGTTTGGCCAGTGACGACGAGCGATCGAAGATGCTGGATCCCGAGAGCGAGCCGGTCCTCAAGTACGAGCGCATTGGCGGCCACTTCCAGACGCTCTTTCGAGATGATGCGCTGAGCTGCATCGCGGTGCACCTCAACTTTGTCTGCGTCGGGACATACGAAGGCCATGTGCTCCTCCTCGAGCTCAACGGGCGCTACGTGCGTCGGCTCCACAAGCACCACAAGAAGGTCCAGGAGATCTCGATCGACGAAACGGGCCAACACATCGTATCGAGCTCGGACGACGGGACCGTTGCCGTCTACTCACTGCTCCCGATCTCGAGCGACGACGGCGTCCGCGTCGCAATCCCCAACGCGGGCGGCGAGGTCAACATTTACAACTTTTACTCGGCTGTCTACTCTGCGCAGCTCGAAACCATGTACGCATCGAAGCGCGAGCGCACGTTTGCTTGTGGCGGCATTAGCGGCCAGCTTATCCTCAACAAGAAGGGCTGGATCATCGACAAGGAGACGACGGTCCACGAGGGCGAAGGCCCCGTGCACTCGATTCGGTACCATGATAATCTCCTCGCGTGGGCCAACGACTGGGGCGTCAAGGTCTACGACACGTCGACCGAGTCGCGCGTCACGTACATTGAACGTCCGCAGAACTGCCCGCCTTTTGAGCTCTGCAAGGCGCACCTCGAGTGGCACACGACGACGACCCACGGCCTCTGTCTTCTCATTGGGTGGGGTCCCACACTGCGCGTCGTCAAATTCTCGTTTTCTGGCCACGGCGCGCCCGACGCCCCGGAAAAAGCCGCGTTTGGTACGATTTCGGCCGAAGTTGTTGCGTTCCTGACCTTTGACTTTTTCGTCGCGGGCCTGGCGCCGTGGAGTGAGGCGTCCGCGGCGCTCCTCGCGTACCGCCCGCCGGGATCGGCGCCGCCAACGACCGTCGGGAAGGAGCGCGGCGAAGGTGCGGCCGAGACGCTTCCATGCCCCGAAGTGCATCTCGTGCGCTTTGACGGCCAGCCTCTCGCGGCGGACGTGCTCCAGATCAAGGGTTACGACAAGTTGCGGGCGTCCGACTACCGGCTAGCGTCGCTGGCGTTTGGGAGCAACCAGCGCGTCTTGTACCTCTGCGCGCCGAGAGATGTGGTGCTCTGTCGGCGCCGTGACGTCGACGACCGTGTCGCGTACGCTTTGGCGTCGCGCTTGTATGAGGCGGCGCTGAACATTGCGCTCACGGACGTGGCGAGTCTCCAAAAGCACGCGCTGGACGAGCTGGTCGAGTACTACCTCGGCGAACTCATTCTCTCCAAGGCGTTTGCGAAAGCGGCGGACGTGTGCCACCAGCTGCTCGCGGGCCACCTCTGGGAAAAGTACGTATACGTCTTTGCGCAGAAAGGCGCGCTGGGCGCGATTGCCAAGTACATGCCGACGGCCAACCCACGCTTGCCGTCGAGCCAGTACGAGATGGTGCTCACGCACTTTCTCGAGACGGACCCGGCGTCACTCCTCGAGATCATCCGCAAGTGGCCCAAGCCGCGCCTCCACGACAAGCTGCCCGTGCAGTCGAGTCGCGAGTACATTGAGAGCGCGTCGCCCTTCGAACCGCTCTATGACGCCGACGCGTGGATCAACCAGCTTGAGGTGCTCGTACAATTGGAGGCAAAGAATTCACATGGCGTGTACTAGACGACGGTGCGCCGGCGCCGGCTTGCGGAAGCCGACCACATGAGCATGGAGACAGCTTTCCTCATGGAAGCGCTTGCGGAGCTCTACACGGCAACTGAGCAGTATGACCACGCGCTCCGCATCTACCTTAGCCAGGTAACACGTGATGTGCAGTCGTCCGCAGCACTTCACCATTGCTGGTACAGGGCTCCATGTGCTTCAACAAGGACCACGCGTTCAAGCTCATCGTCGAGCACAACTTGTGGGACTCGGTGCAAAACAAGGTAGCGTCTTTGTAAGGGTTGCGACCCTGCAGTAACATTAGGTCGTCAACCTCATGCTCATCGATCGCGACGCGGCGCTGCGCATGCTCGTCCACCAGATCAAGTCGGACGAGCTCAAGGTCCACGCGATCGTCAAGCAGTTGGAGCACAAGCGCGAGCTCCTCCACGAGTGCGTCCGAAGCCCGCGGCGCGTGTGCTCAGCACATTTCGTAGGTATCTCCACAACCTCTTTGTGCACCGCCTCGTCGACTACAACACGGACAAGTACTCGTCGTTGCACGAGATGCAGGTAGTCGTACGATGCCCGCACGTTGTTGCTTGCGACTCGCGGACGTAGGTGGCGCTCTACGCCGAGTTTGCGCCGCACGTGCTCCTGCGCTTTCTGCAAACGAGTTCGTTTGTGCCCCTCGAAAAGGTGCGCGAGCCGCCAACCGCCGACTCTCAAGTGCGGCTACTAGGCGTACAAGTTTTGCTCGGAGCGGTCGCCGCCGCTCTGGGACGCGATGGTGTTTATCCTCGGCCGCATGGGCCAGCACAAGAAGGCGCTCGACTTTATCATGACGCAGCTCAAGAACGTCAAGCAAGCGATCCAGTTTGTCGAGGTGCGCGTCGCCCGATTGCACTCGATGCGATGGATGCGCAGGACCACGACAGCGCGCTGTGGGACTACCTGATTGAGATCTCGCTCACGCACACCGAGTGCATGGAGGAGCTGCTCGAGTACGCGTGCGACCACAAGATTGACCCGACCAAGGTCATGCAAAAGGTTGAAAAATATCGCTGTGATTCGTTCGTGAACCACAGCCGTAGATCCCCCAAGACATGGAGATCGCGGGCTTGAAGGACAAGGTCCTGCAGATCATCACCAACTACCGCATCCAGGTAAGGCGGCTGCGTCGACGAAAGGCAACAGCACAGCCGTAGATGAGCTTGTACCGCGGCTGCACCAAGGTCTTCGAGACGGACCGCATCGAACACCTTCGTCGGCTCGTCGTCGCGCGCAAGAAGCCCCGGCGCGTGACGCTTCAGACGTCCTGCGGTGTCTGCTCCCTCCTCCTCAAGCAGTCGCTACCCATGGTAGGGACCCATTGGTGGCATCTCTTCATGGTGCATGCTAGAGCACCGCCAAGCATGTGTGCATCTTTGAGTGTGGTCATGCCTATCACATGGCGTGTCTCGAGGAGAAGACCATGTTGTGGAAGGCACACGACGATCCAATGCGAGGTCAACTTTCCGAACCCGGCTGCTTCCTCTGCGACCACGCCGCAGGCCAGCGTCGTCACGACGCCGTCGAGTCGAGCACCGTTGCGACGACCAAGGGACTGACCGAGGTGCAGCTGGAGGCGGCTCGCGACACATTGCTTCAAGTCACGCCATAATAGCAGTATAAAAAAGCGCTCTACGAGCGACTGTTATCGAGTGTGTATTATAGCACTATGGACAAGCGGTCGCACTTAGAACTTGACTTCCTTGAGGCCCCACTTGATGTAGAGGAAGACCGGGGCGAGGGCGCCCTCGGGGTAGTACGAGTAGGCCATGCCGGCCTCAGTGTCCATGGCGCGGAACATGTAGAACTGGAGCTCGCTGAACTGCGACGTGAGGTACTTGACGATCTCCTGCGCGTCCGACTTGAACTCATCGAGCTTCTCGTCGCTGGCGCCCGTCGACTTGAGGTGCTTCATGATCTTGCGGAAGTAGCCCTTCAGGTACGCCTTCATGTCGGCCTTCGAGTCGAAACCCGTCTCCGTGTAGCCGAAGCCGACCGACTCGTCGATGATGTTGTTGACCGTTTCGACCGAGTCGTCGACGTCCTGGTCGCCGCCGCCGAAGGCGTCGCCGCAGCCGACATCGATGTTGAGGCCGCCCTTGGAGACCGTCTTGGAGGTGACCATGAGCATGCCGGGGACGATGTTGCCCTCAGCATCCTTGGCGTCAACGACCTTGTGCGAGTCCGAGACGACTTCGTCTTCCGTGAAAATATCTTGCCAGACCAACATGGTTTTTTGCGTCGAATTCGATTTTGCGAAATGACGTCCCCGCCACTGTTTTCATCGTCCGGATAAAAGGGTTGGTGGAAAGCCGCTGACCAGGTGCGGATCTTCGAACTTCGAGATTCGGCGACCGGCGACACTAGTCTCCACTTGTCAGGGCCGGCCGCCTCGACTAAACTTCCATGAGCTTCAAGGTGCTTGAACATGCATCCGACTTTGATTGCTCGGTCGGCGATGTACTGGATTCATCTTTACGAGGTGAAAGCGGCAGCATCGTGCACGTCATTGAGTGGACGTCTGTCGACCCATCGCATGTGAAGAGGCGCAGTGCATCGCTGGAAGTCGAGAGGCGAAGAGCCCAATCCGTCGTGAGAAGATTCTGTCGCCTCATGCGCAGTCAGCTTCGAGCTCGCCATCTTGGTTTGGATCGCCATCGCGCTATTTTGGGATTCTGGCCAATCACGTTGTTGGCCTAAGGAGTACCCAATCAGCGCTCGTTTCAAATCCCAACGGCGCCCAATCACGCGCGGCAACCGCCCGAGCTATCGCGAGCCGTTGCAGCAGGTCATTTCCGATCGTGACCCCAACAGCATGAGCTCGCTCGAGTCGTCGTCGCCGTCGGCCAAGACAGGCATGGTCACGCGCATTTCCAACATCAACAAGATGGAGCTGCCCAAGGTGCTGCGCCTCATGCGCCTCGGCAACGTCGGCTGCTCTATCTTCCAGGTGCTCGCGGGTCTCACAGGCCTCACAAGCTTCATTACGCTCAACATCACGGGCACTCTGGTCTCGATCTACGTGATCATGTTTGGCCTTCTCTTCCTCCTCTTTGAGTGTCGCCTCAGCAGCATGGAAGGACGCATCCGCAGCAACTTTGGCTTCCTCTACTCATACAAGGGCCGCGCGTGCTTCATCTTCTTCATTGGGTTCCTCGACTTTGGCATGAGCACGACGCTCGGCACGATTGCCGGCGTCTTCATGTGCATCAACGCGCTCTTGAACCTTCTCGTAATGTGCAAGCACCCGGAATTCAAGTCGGGCCACGTGAGCCGCGACGCCGACCCGACGCTTGGCTACTCGTCTGGCCAGCAGGAAGCGGCGGCCTACCTGAGCGCCAACCCCAACGTTGCGATGCAAGCGAGCACATTTGCGCTCTCGGCCGCTGCGCAGCCCAAGCCGGTGGTGTGAGGACGTGCACACGCGGACACCTCGCATAAAATCAATAGTTTTATTCCTGCTTTATGCAAATCGCCATGTACCCGCACTTGCCGTGCGAAGAAGCCATTAGCTTTGACACGCGGTAGTGATCCTCACACCCGCTGGGCCGAGAGGGCGAAAGAGCCGGCTTGCATCGCAACCTGCGGGTTCGATCGGAGGTAGTCCTGCGCGGCCTGGTTGCCGGTCGCGTACGACGCCGTCGGGTCCGCGTTGACCCCCACGTTCTTGAAGTCCGGGTGCTTGTACATGACGTAGAGGTTCGTGATTGCAGCCAGGCTCATGACGATACCCGCGAGCGTGCCCAAGGCTGTGCTCATACCAAAGTCGAGGAAACCAATGAAGAAGATAAAGCCGGCACGGCCCTTGTACGTGTAGAGGAAGCCGAAGTTGTTGCGGATGCGCGACTCCATCGAGTTGAGTCGGCACTCATACAGAAGGAAGAGGAGGCCGAACATGACCACGTAGAGCGAGACAAGCGAGCCCGTGATGTTGAGCGTGAGGAAGCTGAAGAAGCCGGTGACACCAGCGAAGATCTGCAGCGCCGAGCACAGGATGTTGCCGACGCGCATGTAGCGCAGGAGCTTCGGAAGCTCCATCTTATCGACGTTCTTGATGCGCGACGCGAGGCTGGGCTTGGCCATCTTGCCCTCAATGCTGCTGGCGCCGATGTTGGTCTTCATGCTGTCTCGCTTCAAAAGTAAAGAATAAGCTGCCCTGGCTCTACCAGAGGCCATCCGGATATTTAGGAAAGGAATACCAGAATAGTGTGACTCCTAAATTGGTGACGGTGCCATCCCTCAAGCCTTTGCCAAGGGAAAGGAAGGCTTTATCCTTGGGCTTCCTGCGCGCACAAATCGCGCGCAATGAGTAGCAAAGTTTGCAGAGCCTGTAGGTAACTATGGCGCGCAAAATCAACGAGTAAACACGTTTCATGTCCTTGAGGCGGAATAACGTTGCGTTAAACTTTAACCTATTCTCGTGAAGCAATTGCCTGCCTTCCACTCATCGAGAGGAAGGCCGGTCGGTGTTGAAAGAAGAAACATTGGAGTCTTTTCTGACGCGTCATTTGTGCCTTATCGACAATGAGGTAGCCTGCTTGCGACAGCCACTAGCTGCACATGCTGGCCACTATTGCGCCTATTCTTCGAGGCAGGTTAAACTATTCTGCTTTTTAAACCTTTGACACTATTTCACTTCATCCACATGACGCGCCCCACCGCAATATCCGGATTTATCCGGATGTCCTAGACTTGCGGAAAGACGCTAAAAGATCGCGACAGGGATGCGCTTGGCCTTTGCCGCCTCGATCGCGAGCCTCGTCGTGGGCGAAGACCTTCGCTACCAGACAAACGCCCTCGCCTATGCTCCGCGGCCAGGCCTAAATGCCATTGAAGCAGCGCTTGGGGCCAACCTTCCGGCGCTCGAGCTCATCACCGTCAGCAACACAACCGCGCCGCTTCGCATTCTTTGCTGGGTCAACACGTACGAAAAGACGCATGCTCGAGCGCGCGCGATCAAGAAAACATGGGGACAGCGCTGCACCAAGTTGCTCTTCATGAGCAACGTTGAGGACGACGCGATCCCGACGGTCCGCGTCGTTGCGCCGGCGACACACGACCACCTGTGGCAGAAGCACCGGTTCGTCGTGCGGCTCCTCGCCCGCGAGTACGACGCGTCCGAGTACGATTGGATTTTCAAGTGCGACGACGATACGTATGTTATCATGGATAACCTACTCTCGTACTTGCACTCGGTGGCCACGTCAATGACCTCGCCGGACGAGCCTAGGTTGCTTGGCCACCGCATGACGTTGCAGTGGTTCGAGATGCAAAAACCTTTCCGCGACCTCTCCTACATGCAACGAGACCGACGGTATGATCGCTCGTAGACGGGGCTAGCGCCATAACATACGAGCGATGTAGGCAAGCATTGGAGACGGTGCTCCGTGAAACGCGCCATCAAGGTACTACGACCTCCGCATACGATAGATGGACGGTGCTTTTCGTTTCTAGGCGGCTTGTACTATACTCCTGGCGGTGCTGGCTACGCATTCAATTCGGCGTACTTGACACAACTCGTGGCAGCGCTGGACGAGCCATCGTGCCTCCCGGACGAAGTTGTCCCGGACGACTGGGCAATCTCGTTTTGCATGTATCACCGCGGTGTTGTGCCCGTGGACACCCGCGACAGTTTGCACCGCGAACGCTTCCACCAGTACTCGCCCGAGCAGGTCTACTATTGGCCCGACGACGTCAATGACTTTGACCACTGGAACTACGCGTCGATCTACGAGGCGCAGAACTGGTTCTCGGACCACATCGGCATTGGCTGGAGAAATGGGTCCGACTGCTGCGCACCCGATTCCGTTTCTTTCCACTACGTCCACGACATGCACCTCGTAGACGCCTACTTTGAGCTGCGAAAAAATGCCCAAAAATGAAAGCGTTGAAACGATTCTCATTGACGTTATCTGTTGGGCGGTGACGCTCGTCGCGCAGTGCTCATGGGTTTGCCCTTGCTGCTGACGTTGCTAGCGCTCGGAATACGCCATGTCTGCGCCAACGCAACTAACTTACGCTGCGTTCTCTCCAACTCGCTCGCCAACTCGCTTCGCGACGGGTGCATCTGCTACCCGTGCAGCATTTGTGTCTTTCGCTTCTCTCACGGCTGCGACATCGCTGCTGCCGTCTCGACGGCGACGGGCTGGGAGCTGCCGACGCGTCGACCCATGTTAGCTGCCATCGACTGGTTTCTACCGACACAAAGCACGTCATTCTCGCTCGGCAATCACGTCGCAACCCGTCAGTTTGATTGGCGGAAGGACTCGGATACCTGGATCGTTGTCGGTGCGACGCTACCGATGCCACGGCAGCACGAACCGTTCACGAATCGGAGCGTCTACGGACTCATCTACAACGACTCGGCAACTAACCGCGCGCGCCTGGCCGAGCTGGCAGCTCAAAACACAACCGTCGCCCTCACAGTCAACTCCAGTTGCGACGAAGCGTTGCAGGACGTCGCAGTCGTATACAGCGTTGACGGCTCCCATGGCATCGCCTACCTCGGCGGTATAAGCAACTCGAGCAGAGCTGCATTGGACGTGGGCGTTGAGCTTTCTGGCGACAGGGTGGTGTGCGACGTGCTGACCATTCTGCGGGTGCAATGGCCAGCCATGCGTCTACCAGAACCCCCAATCAGCGTTTGCAAAAGCGAGAAGAAGGGCTCCGTCGCGGTGCAACTCGTCACGGACTTGGCTCTCGACGCTCGCGTCACGGCAATTCGTCGCGCGACCAACTACATTTACATTGAAGCATCGCTCATGAGCCTCGTGCCCGCTGTGTTCCGGGCGCTTCAAGACACTCTTCCAACGATACAGCGCCTAATCATCGTGACTCCAACGCTGGCGCCATGGGCGGTCGCGGCCGGTTTTGAAAAGTACCGCTACGACCTCCTCGCGCCTCTCTACGCAGCATTTCCGAGCAAAATGAGCGTCTACACCCTTCGTGCGACACCATTGCACTCAAATGTTCTGCTCATCGATGACGTCTTCGTCGCCATCGGGGCCACTGACTGGACATTCCGTCGCCCGACACGCTCCCCGCTCAACGTGCACCTTGTCGACGCCGCGACGACCATCGCTGACGATGGCGTACGTGTCACTCACTTTGCGCGCATGTTTCGTCTCGCGCGCTTTGCGGCACTCACGGGCGGCGTGATGTCGTTCAACATGTCGTTCCTGGACGCCGCCGATGCGCTGCAGACATACGCCGCAACGCACATCTTTGGTGTGATTGTGCCGGCGCCTCCTGTGTACAAGTACTACTTTGCGCGCTATAACGACGCGACACAAGCCGCGTTTGAAGGCCACGCACCGTGCCAACGTAGCGATGACGCGCTCGTGTCGATTGCGTGCGTGTGCCGCGGTGTCGCCCTGGACCGCTGTCCCGAACTCCTCGCGTACGCAGACGGCCCCGGTGCATTGGTCGAAGCGCAAATGGATGCTGCGCAGCTTCACACTGCCATCACTGTCTTGGGCGGAATGCTTGTGGCAACTCTCGTGCTTCTGTGCGTCCTGGTCACTTGCTGTCGTCGCTGGCTGCGGCGGCGACACAACCGTCGACGTATCACGGCCATTTTGAACGAAGCGCTGCGTCCGCATCAGCGCCTTCCCTCAACTTAACCGCTTAACAATGAGGCGTCATGTTTGCAGAGTTAACAACAGAGCGCACGGATGAAGACGACGGTTTGCGTGCGCATCCTACTTACCGGACGCGAGAGATGGTGACGGGGCTGTCCGAGTAAATGACAAGGTCAAAGTCAGCCTGGATAGGCTCAAAAGTCGACGGGATGGCCACGTACGTGCCCGGCGCCAGTGTGAGCAGCGGCGTCCGTGCGCCCGATGCACTGTTGGTGTAGCAGCCATTGCCAGATGTTCCGATTGCCGTCGTTGGGTTGGCACTGGGGTCCAGCTGGCCGTTGGGACCGCACATGTACAGTGCCAAGTTGATCGACGGTACGGGGGATCGCGTCGGCCGCAGCCGAAGAAAGAGCCGCGTCGTTGCCCTACATGGCAGTGGAGCAACGAAAATGCAAATGCAACGTACGAGAGCTGGACGAAGTACTGCGGGTTCAAGGGGTACCGGCCAAAGTTGGAGCACCCGACAGCCGTGCCCGCGGCCATGTTCCACTTGCCGACGGCGAGAGTTTCGATCAAGCCATGGCCTTCGGGCGGCAGCGTGTACACGTGGAATTGCGGCGATGACGCGGCGATCGTAAGCACAAAGGCGCCGATGCAGTGGGGTTCAAACGTCGACGGCACGAGGGTGTACTCGCCCGGCGACAAGTCCTTGACTTCAATGTAGCAAAAACCAGGACGGTACTCCCCCGACTGCGCGAGAAGAGTCTTCTTGGAGACGGCGCCGACGCGCTGGCCGTCGCGGACCAAGCGGAGGTTGATCGGGTACTGCACGGGCGCCTCGAGTGTGATGACGACGTCTGTCAACGTGTCCGTGACCACCACTTGGTACTGCGGGTTGTGCAGGAACGAGCCATACCTACACCATTCCGATCAGTTTGGACAACCAACGCACAAGTCGTCGTACTTGGGGCAGCCGCCGGCAGTCGTGCCCGTCCACTGGTCGCGCAGCGCGTGGCTGTGCAGTGGCGGCGCCGGCGCAGACGTAAACTCAAACGGTTCGTCTGTCGAGAAGACGGAGATCGTGTAGTCGAGCGACACGAGCTTTTCGTATTGCGACGCGACAAGAACAAAGGACGTCGGGCCGTCCGGTCGCAGGTCCACGTCGAGGCACGTGAGGCAGTGCGGGTTGTTGCTGTACGTTCCGCGCGCAAAGGCAAAGTTGGGGTAGTACACGCGCGTCGCCTGCTGGTAGACGTGGAGCGTCAAAAACTGCTGGACGGCCTCGGGCGTCTCGACGGCGGTCACGTGCCGCGAGAGGAGGATCCAGATCGAGCACGACTTGGTGCGGCGCTGGGCGTTGGGGATCGTGAGCAAAAACTGCGGGTTGTACCCGAGGTTGTAAGTGTCGTTGGCCGGGCCCATCTCGACGGGCCAGTGCTTGTGCACCGTGTACCGGTACTGGAACAGCTCTGGGTTCCAATTGAGAAAGAGCGCGTTAAAGTGCACTTGCACCGAGTCAAAGTCGATCCAGAAGAGACCGTCGTCTTTTGCGTGGCGCGCGGCGTCCAGGTCAAAGCCTACTTCGTCTTGCAGTGCTACCAACGATGTTAGGAGCCATCCACAATGCCATTGGTCGCACCAGGCGTCCAGTGCTGCGTGTCGTCGAGGCTGTACGGGCCTTTCCAGCGCTTGCGGTTCCACGGGTTCTTGACGCGGAGCAAGCGCACACCGCACGACGTTTCGAGGACGTTGAGGACGGCGTAGGCATGCGACGGCACGAGCCCGACCCGGCGCGCCTACGTCACCATTACAATACCTCGCAAGAACCTCAGTTGTACGATGTCGGGTGGTATCTCGCCTGTCGCGATCGTGATGAGGCAGTCGCCAAAGTTGTATGCGCTAATGAGGCGCTGCCAGATGACGTCGCTCGTCGGGCCCGACGCTTCGACAAACGAGAGCGACTCGGGGATCCAGCCCGTGAGCGCAAAGAGGTCGATGCCCGAGTTGCTGCCGGGAAAGTCATAGCCGCCGTTCACCTTGAGATATGCCTTCTCAATGATGCTCACCTACCATATCGCAATGTAGAGCGACAGAGATGCGGGATCGTCGCACCCATAGCTCGTTTGAGGTCGTCGTGCACGAGCAGAGGAGCGTGCCGTTGTAGCCGAGGGGCAGGCAGTCGTCCACTACGACCTTGCGCGGCACGCCGTTGGCCCACAGCTTGACGTTGTAGCGCCCGCCGGGGTTTATAATGGGGTCCCCATGGGCATCCTGGTCACGAATGAGATACAGCGCCACGACGCGAGCGGTACCTGCGGGTAGATGATCTTCGTAATCAGCTTCTTCTGGAAGCGCTGCTCGAACGCCGCCGTGATGCAGAGCGACGCGACAAACGAGCAGTCGGTGACGACGTCCTGCACGATCACGTACGGCGAAATGGCTGCAATCATGACGGGCTGCCCGGTGCCGTAGCCCGTCGGACGCACCCACTTGTCGAGTTTGTCCATTTGCTTGGGCGACATGCCTAGTCACAGCGTCCTATTTAATCCAAACCAGAGTCTGATAGCGTACTCAGAAAGCCGTCGGGGTCGATGTATTGCTCGTGGGGCGAGAAGACCTCGTACGCGTCAGACGCGATCCACGGCTGGAAGAGCCGCCTGTTGACGACAGAGGACCGGCGCAGAACGTCGACTTCTTCGGCCGTGTACTTGGCGTCGCCAGCATCGTCTTCGTACGTGATTGCAGGTCGTTGCATCGCAGAGGGCGAGCGCAGCAGCCGCGGCGTCGGCGTGTGCACCACCGCTTGCTTGGCCGGCGCAACATCGGCGACTGCACAGGACAACATTACGCGAAGTGAGAGCCATCGTTTGAGTCTACCATCGAGGAAGGATTCCATCTCTTCCATGAGCTCTTCCTCCATGAGATCGATGTCCTCGCCGCCCCCTTGGACAGCATTGCTGACCACTGGCTCCTTGAGCGCTGTCACGCGCTCGATGATAGCTTCGACGCTGGCTTGGACGCGCACCTGCGCAGATGGGGACAAGGATGGGTCTTGCAAGACCTAGTTACCTCTGAATGAGCGATGCATGAGCTTCAGCGCGCGCATTACCGTCATATAAGCATCGGCCGCGGCCATGTAGGCTTGTACAATGGACTCCACGCCATGTGGCTCGGTGTCGACAGTCCTAGCGATGGCCTCAAGACCCTCGGCGTTCCCAATCTGCAAGTCGACATTGGCCGCTGTCTGAACGAGCGGCGGCTCGACAACCTTGGCGCGGAGCTTGTCGATGCGCTCCTGGAAATCGGCGATCTGTTCTTGGAGCAGCTCGCGCTTGCTCAGCGACTCGACGATCGCGAGCCGGCTGAAGATGCGAATGGCCTCCTCAAAGTGACGGACTGCCGTCTCAGCGTCATGGCTCTCCTCTGCGCGGATGCCCTCTTCGGCTGCGCGGAAGGCCTGGTCGTAGAGCTCCGTCGCTCGGTTCATGCGCCGCAGTCACCCAAAGCTTGAAGTTGTTGCCGCTGGGAAGCCTAGGTTTGGATCCGCAGGGTTTTGTAACGGTGCGTGTCGCAGAGGGACGAACCTAAAGTTCGGAACTTGTGGCGGGCAAGAAAGGCGCCCATCCCAAGACGACTCGCAGAGCAGCAGACTGGCAGGGCTGCTGGAAGGCAACACGATGGAGTTGCTCGTCACGCGGGGCCCAGCCTTCTGCCGGCGCCAAACGAAGGCGAATCGAGCATGTCCTCCCGGCTTTATCCGCTGGGGTTGACCCCTACGACCTTAGGTTTTATATGGCGTGCAACTAGATAATCACCGTGGGAATTGGTGAAAATCACGTGGCTTTTGGGCCATCGAGCGCTTCCACTCAGTAAGAAATGTCGGAGGCGCAACTGAACGAGCAGCAGGTCATCGCCCAGTACAAGGGCATGCGCACGGAGATCCGCCAGCTCGCCGAAAAGCTCGCCGAGATGGAGCTCGAGTTCACCGAGCACCAGCGCGTGGCCGAGACGCTGCAGGCGCTCGATGGCCAACGCCGTGCGTTCCGCATGGTCGGCGGCGTCCTCGTCGAGCGCACGGTCGGCGAGGTCCTTCCGGCCGTCGTCTCGAACGGCGAGGGTATCGCCAAGGTCATGGTTCAGGTCGAGGATCTCCTCAAGCAGAAGGAAGCCGCGGCCAACGCGTGGCAAGCCAAGTACAACATCCGGTCGCAGTAAGTCGCAGGCTTTGATCCACGGACAATGAACCATCAATACTACTCTACTATCGATACGACATATATACCCATCGTCATTAGTTTCCAAGGCCTGACGATCGGCCAAGCGCGCGCCTCTGCCGAAGTTGCATGAGCCCACTACCGCCAGCTCCCATTGCCCCTACCTGTAGCGCAAGGTTGATGGCTTTGACGTTGTCATACTTGCGGTTCACGGCCTTGAGCATCTCTTCCGATACGCTTTGCTGGCGCTCGAGCATCGCCCGGAGCGCTTGCGTCCCTTGCTCCTAAGAAGACCAGCTTGTTGCTCGCAGATAATGTGTCGGGGGCAGATACCTTTTGCTTGAGCAGTTTTTCGAGCTCGAGCAAGCGACTGCGGTCCTCGGTCAGGTTCTCTAAACCACTACTTGGCTTTGTCGGCGCTTCGATGCGGTCCCGCGCCTTGAAGAGCTTCTCTTCGTAGATCGCAACGAGCTCTTCACGCTCCGCCGCGCGCGCGTCACGTTCGCTTCCCAGCGTCGACGCGTGGTACTCATGCCACTCTGCTATTTGCTACAATGCCATGTCGAAACTTTGCGACGCGCACCAGTCATCGCACGTACGCGCTCCAGACTCGCGCACTTGTCTGCAGTCTCGCTCCAGTTGGCGAGCTGGGTCCGTTGATGTTCGTTTTCGCCCAGCAGCGCGATGCTCTGGGCTGTTGCATGCTGCAGCGCGGCTTCGGTGCGCGAGAGCGCCGCTTCGAGCGTCTGCACTTCGTGGCGCAGCGTCAGGTTGTTTTCTTTCAGAAGCTTGCACTCGAGCGCGTACTGCGCCAATCGGAGCTAGGACGCGGCTGAGTTTAGCTTACTCGAGGAAATCACCTGCAGCGCTTGGTGCATCTTGATGTGCTTTTCTTCGTACGCCTGGATCGTGGCCGACTGTGCGTGGATGCGTCCGTGGAGAGCCGTCACCGTGTCCTTCTCGACCTGCAAATGGAGCTGCGTCGTCGCCTCCTTGGCAGCGTAGTCGCTCTCGAGTAGCTTATGCTGGAGCCTTTGCATAGCCTCGACCTGCCGAGTACCGACCGCGTCCTGAAACTGTGCGAGGCACGGATCCGAGACCCACGCAGCACAAATGGCCACGTCACTCTCTTCGATCGGCGACGATGACACCAGACCCGGGTGGAGTCGGACTTGGAGGCACAAGGCGCGAAGCAGTGGCGTCGTCACCGCCGTGGTGGCGCCACGAAGAAAGTCCACGCACGCCCATGGACTCGATGCGTACACGTGTTGGAAGATACCTGAGATGTACGTCAGCGCCTGCGGGGTCGGTCCCGACGAGATCGCGTGGAGGCGCCAGAGACCATTAGCATGGACAAGAGCACTCACACCGATGATCTCGTCGCCACCGATCCACCGACGCGCCGACGTCGATGCTAGACCGAGCCAGTCGTACGTGCGTTTTGTAGTGGTGCATCGAAGACCGCAGACGGCGCCAGTAGCGTCTGTGCCAACGTCAATGGCCGTGAGAACCTCGTCGGAGGCAAAGGCCAGCGTCTGCGTCGGCAAGCATTCGTCCTCGACGCCAATCTTGTGGGTAGTGACCTCGCCGCTCCCTTCCATATCTTGTCACTCCCCATACCGGTATATCACTACTGTGACGTACCGAGATCCCGGGTCGTGAGACGCAGCGAGTGGAGGCAGTCTGTTCCGGAGGAGCAGAGGCCGTCGACGGCGGTGATGCGCCACGGACGCCCCGGTGTCGGCGCAATGCACGCGTTGGTGGCTTTTTCCGTGAGAAGCGGCCTCTGCGCTGTCGAGAAGAGATCGATGACGCCGCGAGCCGAGCTCGGCTTTGAGCTCTCGTCGGTCGTCGGCGCACACAACTCGATCGCGTGGCGCAGGGCCTGCAACACGCGGGTTACGTTTTCTTCAGCCTTTGTGAGCGACGGAAGCAGCGTGGTGAGCAGCCATAGACACGGGACAAGCGTCTCCACGCTCTTGCTGGCTTTGACCGCGTGCAACATTGTGGGCCAGAGCGGGCTTGCGTAGAAGGTCGCTGTGGGAAATACGGTTCGTGTCGCGAGGCATCCGAGAACGACGGCGACGCGGGCTGCTGCCGTGGCCACGCACGCATTCATCGCTGCAAAGACGGCGCTGGGGATGTTTTGCAGAAGACTCAGGAGCACCGCGTAGCCGGTCGTTTGCTCGGGCGACGCGAGTCGAAGGACAAGCGCGACGAGCCGGTCCAGTACGAGCGGACCACGCAGTGTCGTGTCTAAGGCCTGGCATCGGCACACGCTCTGAAGAAACGGCTTCAAGAGCTCGTGCAGAGCTAGCGACATACCGCGCTCGCACCACAGAAGGGCCAAGGCGCCCCAGGGCGACACGTACGGCGCGAGACTGGACGACGTCAAAAGCGGCAGCGCATACTGCAGGAGGACGACGACTTGCGCTTCATTCAGCGTACACTCGATGTCGATGCAGCTCGCTGTGCCAATGGTCTCGGGCTCCGAGCCCGAGGATGCGTCGTCGTCCGAGTCGGACTCGGAGCTGCTGCTGGACGACGGGTGGCCGAAGGCGAGCATGTGGGCGATGCCTTCGAAGAAGAGAGGGACTGCATCGGGGTGCGCCTGGGAGGCAGCGACGACCGCGGCCAAGAGCTCGGCGTCCAGAGTCTCCTCGTGCACGGCGCCGACGACCTGGGCCGCCAAGTCCTTCATCGCAAGATCGCTAACCGCGTTACCGGATAATAAGGCTTGTATCCGGACCCGAAAGGGTGTTTGGTTGGAAGACAACGAATTGCAGCAAGCATGGACGAGCGCAACCTGACGTCGCAGCAGAAGGATGAGATCATCGCCCAAGTCTGTTGCGCCATGACGACGACGGCTGCTCATGACCGGCGTAGGTGCGCATGGAAGTCCAGCAGCAGGCCATGCAGGAGCTGACCAAGGCGGTCCAGGAGAAATGCTTTAACAAGTGCATCACGCGCCCGCAGGACCGCCTCGACAACAAGCAGCAGCAGTGCCTCTCGCTCTGCGTCGAGCGCTACATTGACACGATGAAGATTGTGTCGGGTGCGATTCAGCAGCGCGGCCAGCGGGTATGACGACACGGCCTATTACGTGTGGGTGCTCATGTGCGAGCTTTGTAGGGCTAAGTCGCCGATCCTTCGGGAAGACTAGACGACACTAGCCCGTACTTGTGCCCGGCAACGTTCAACTACATAACCCAACGTCGTTCCCGATAGAGTGCACTAACGGCTGCGACGTAATATGATGATCTACTTGAATACACCTTCGATTCGCTGGGCACTGCATCCCAATCGGCTCGCGCTCGTCAGCGACGACGCAGTAACATCGAGAAGAAAGAGTAGGTCGAGCTCTCGATTCGACGACGCGGCAAGCTTGTCGACTGGCAGACGAGGGGTCAACCTTGCACTCGAGGTGCTGACCCGTGCTGGTGCTTGGACTTGGGGCCATGTTGGCCCGATGCGAGAAGACTGAAGCCGTGATGTGTGTATTACAGCGAATAGATAGGAAGGAGTACAACCCGAAATAGCAGACTTGCATTTGCATGGTGTTACGAAGAAGAGAGAATTTAGTTCTTCTCCTCGGCGCGGCGGGCCAATTCGGTCAAGGCGTGGTCGCCCTCACCCTTGTTGCGGATGTAGCCGGCGAGCGCGTAGACGTCGTTGTGGCCGGTGTAGACACCGTTGGCATCGACCTGGGCGACGGCGATCTGCACCGAAGCGTGGTCCTTGGCCGCGAGGATGCGGTTCGTCCACGAGCACTTGCGCGGGATGTAGAGGTCGATGTTCTGGCCAGCCGAGTTTTGCATGTTGAAAAGGTTGTAAATTCACAAGTGATTTTTTTAGACCAAATCCCAAGCCTTGCTGCTGCCTCCCAACCAACCAGTGTGTACGTTACCTGCCATGCATACAAAGATCAAGTGCATCTCTGGCACCGGCCGTCCTTTCACCAACCGTTTTCACTTGATTTCAATATGCCATTTATCGAAGTCCGGATTTCTCTCCGGGCTCGCGACCGGACAATATTTCACAGACAACCAATTAGTGTACAACGATCCTCCGTCAAGTTGAAGTGTTCCCAATTCCAAATGAAATGTCACCATCAAGCTCATCGAGCGACCAAAGGGTACGCACTGTGAGTAGTATCAATCGCGCTCACAGATCTTCCTCTTGCGAGTGACAAGTCGCGTTTAGCAATGTGTCAAAATCGAGGTTTGGGCGATGCGCTGTCGCCAAAGCTGGTCGTTCGCAGCAAACTAGTACTGCACCTGAACGACCAAGACAATACATGCAGCACTGCAGCGCAGCTTCGGTCCCTACAGCGGGTAACATCAAGTCTGATCAAGAGGGTTTGGGGTGCGCAAGTGAACATGTCCAGGAAGGATACAAACTGCATAACTTCCGGATTTGAAGCACTCGTACTAGCACGATGAGTGATAACGGAGCGCTAATCAACGCGACTCATGCGGAAGATGTAAGACTCTTCTTAGCTCTCCCGCATCAAACCGATCTCACTTCATGCTCTTGCTCCAAGCCTGTGCTCCAAGCCTGAGGGCAAGGATGTTATCACACTATATAGCTAAGTAACACTATATTCATTTTGCAGTGTACGGTTGGCACAACCACGGAAGCAGGTCGATGTCGCGCCTCACGAAGAAGGGTCGGGCGCCGCCGGGCTACGAGTACCTCGCACCGGTCATGGACGCGCTCGAGAGCGAGCTGCGTGAGCGCATGAACGACCCGCACGACGGTCTCCGCAAGTGTGAAGTGCTCTGGCCGATCCACCAGATCAATTGGCAGCGCAGCCGCTACGTTTACGACATGTACTACAAGTACGAGAAGATCTCCAAGGAGGTGTACGACTACTGCCTGCGCATGAAGCTCGCGGACGCCAACTTGATTGCCAAGTGGAAGAAGCCGGGCTACGAGCGCCTCTGCAGCACGTTTGCGATCAACCCGAAAAACTACAACTATGGCACCGTAAGCATTTGCCGTGTACCCCGCCAGCAGCTCGCCGACGGCCAGCTCGTGCAGGAGCGTCACTCGGGGTGCCGCGGCTGCGCGTCTGGGCCCGCGGGCTACCACAACATCTTTGGCAACAAGTACGGCCAACACCTCGCAGCAATCCAAATCATGCGTGAGCGCCGGAACGACGCCGCCGCCGGGGCTGTGTGGGCACCCAAAGAAGACGACGACCGCTCGGACGTCGGAGATGAAGAAGAAACGAAGGAGGCACAGGAGGACGAAGTGGAGACAAAGCAGGCGGATGAGCGCGACGGCGAAGAAGAGACCAAGGAGGCCGAGGAGAGCGACGACGAAGACGGGCCGCAGCCCAAGAAGAAGCAGAGAACCTAATGCTAATACGTCGACTTGATCTGTACGATGGCGTCCCATGGGCAGTGCGTAGTTGGTTTCGCGCGAAACTCCTTGGCTTGGTACAGTTTGGCACTTTCTAGCCCATGCGTGTGTGGGTCAAGAACCCGCAGGTCGGCCGCCGTCTGTACGTGCCGGCGACACTGGACGGTGATGTCGTGCGTACCGACGGGCGTCCATCCGTGGCTCTTCCGCTATCCACGACAGCCACATGGCCGCTCGATGACGCCGAGGCCGACGCTCCGGAGGACCTCACGAGCTTGGCGCACGCTCACGAGCCCGCAGTGCTTGACGCGTTACAGCGGCGCTTCGAACTGGGCGAGCACGTGACGTTTGCCGGTCACTCGGTGCTTGTGGCACTCCGCCCAGCGATCCCAATGACGCAGCCGCCACGAGCTCTGCTTGCGCTCGTCGACGGCGCGCTGCAGCAGCTACGCACGCCGTTCGGGCGAAAGCACCAGACGATCCTCATCTCGGGCGACAGCGGCGCCGGCAAGTCGTCTATCGCGCGCGCTGTCCTGGCTGTACGTCCTGTCTGCAGATATGTACATGAGTGAGCCGTCCATTACCTAGCACATTGGCGAGGCCGTCGTGTCGCAGCGAGAGCGCGTGCTGCCGCTGACCGCGTCCCTCGTCGTCCTCGAGGCGTTTGGCTCCGCTCGCGTACGGCGCAATGCATTGCAACAACCAAAGATTGTACGTTGCTGGGTAGACGGCCGCGAATGCGACGGCGTCCCGCTTTGGCAAGTCGACCAAAGTGCTCTTTGACGACGACGGCTGCCTCGTCGGGTGCGCGACCGAGTGCTACCTCGTCGACGCCGCGCGCATCACGGCGTGTCCGGTACTACTCGAGCAACGAGCGTTCTTTTACCTGTTGCGGTTAGGAAAGCGAGGGCACGTTTGATGTTTTGCACCAGCTCGTGCACGATCTCTCGCCGACGGAGAAGATATCGCTGCACTTGCTGCACCCTATGTACGCATTCGTCCCCACGGGCGCTCCCCAGGGCCGACTTCAGGACACGAGAGTAATACCCTTGGAGATGATTTGCGTTCACATCGCGTAGGCGGCGCTCGAGGCTTGCGGTATCGCTTGCGTCGACGGTATTCTGCGTGTCCTCGCAGCCATCTTGCTGCTCGGCAACCTTGCGTTGGATGATGGCGACGCGTGCCTGTACTTGCTAATGATTCTCATGACGCGTGCGTTATCTCGGAGATCTAGGACGGACGTCGCGGCGATCGAAACCCTCTTGGAGTTACCGAAAGGGTCGCTGGCGGTCGAGCTCAGACTCCAGACGCCACTTGCTGTCGCGCGGGATGCGCTTGCGCAAGGCTTGTACAAGCACCTCGTTTTAAGCCTCGCGCGGCGGTTGAACCAAAATCTGGGCCCGCCCAGTGCAACGTCGAGCACCAAGTCGATTGAAGTGTGCGACCTCTTTGGCCTTGATTTGGCGCCGTCGGCGACCCACGGACTCGTTCAGCTTTGCCGACACTACGCTAGCGAGAAGCTGCACCAGTTTTTCGTCCAAGTATTATTACCTGTTGTCTAGGATACCCTCACAATTGTGTAGTTTACGTTCAAGCTCGAGCAGCGCATTTACGCGGCCGAGAAGATCGCAGCGCCGTCGCTCGACTTTCACGACAACCAAGTGCGCTGCGTCGGCGATGAGTCGCATTGAACGTGTGCTGTAGAGCGTGCTCGACCTCCTCGACAAGCAGCCGCAGTGCCTTTTGAGCATCCTCGAACACACGTCAGCGCAGCGCCACGGAGCCGACTCGGCTGCCTTCATCGCGGTATCCAGCAACGGTCTCTACGAACTGTACACGAGTATCCGCCCTAGAAACTGGAGACTGTCTTTGGCGACCACGCTAAATTCGCCCGCGTCGGCAGCGCACCCGATCGTTTCATCGTGCGGCACACGGGCGGCGACGTCGTCTACGACGCGAGGACGTTTGTCCGCGACAACAAGAATGATGTGCCCAAGAATCTCGTCGCCATCATCCAGGCGTGCATCGCCGCGGCGCTCAGCAGCCCCCTCGAGCCCGCACCGGCACCGGTTTTCTCCGAGTCTGGCTGGGGAACGCGTCTCATGTGGCTCTAGGTGACGGTGGCCGGCAAATTTAGCGCCGACATTGAGCGGCTTTGCATTTCACTGTGCCGCACCGAGCCCCACTTTATCAAATGCCTTCAGGTACCTTCATTCACTGCACGCAGCGGCCATAGAGGCGCGTATTAGCCGTCGCGGACGCCTGGGACGTTCGATGCGGTGGTCGTTGCTGATCAGCTTCAGCGCCTCGGCATTCTGGACGTCGTGCGACTTCGGCAGACGGGCTATTGCTACCGCACGACCTTTCCCGAGTTTCTAAGCCAGTTTGCGTGTCTGGAACGCTTCCTCAAGCCCTTGGCGGTACATCTCGTCGACAATTGAACCCCCGCTGATTTTGTCCTTGTAGGTATACTGATGACGTTGCACGCCAGCGATTCAGGTATTATTAGGTGCCGCCAACGGACCTGCGTCTGCGCTGCGAAGGGCTTCTCGACCGGCTCTGGCAACACGCAGAGATGGCGTGTCTACCTGTTGGCCCATTCACTTGCAGACCGTCGATTTGATATCCATGCGTAGCGCCCCGAGACGGTGCAGCTCGGGGACCGATTCCTCTTTTTGCGCAAGGCAGGGATCGACACGATCGAGTCGATGCAAGCGACGTTGCAAGCCGTCGTCGACCACGACGCGGCGCTACTGCAGGTGCCGCCTTGTGCTCTGCAGCGTCCAACATACCAACTAAAATGTGCTAGAAACACTGGCGCGGCCACTTTGTCCGAGCGCGCTTCCACACGTTGCGTGCGGCTGTCAGGACGATTGCGATGACGTGGCGAGCGTACAAGCGACGTAACCATCGCCCGATACAGTCGCGCTACGAGGCGTGGAAGGCCCGACGTACACCGTCGGCGCGCAAGTCAGTACGTCGCAACTCCAAGCCGCCGATTGCAGATGATGCGACGCACCTACCGTTGCCCGAGTCCCCAGTCGATGCGGCGCCTGTGATGCCGCTGCCATCGACAATGACCCTGCCGGTGGCTGAGCTCGGGTCATTGGAGACATCGACTCCGGGTATCGCCGAGCCTCGGGCAGCTGCTTCCTCACCAAGCGTTGCTTCCTTACAACGTGTTGCAAGTCTTGCTTCGTCACCGAACGCGACTGTTACGGCGACGACAACTTCACTGATCATCGAGTCATCGGCGCCACCGAGCCCCACGATGCCGCCACTCATGGCCCGGACCAAGTCGCTCGGTCCATCGACGGAGTTAACTCTGGCAATCGACTCTACGGTCGTTGTCGCGGCGTCGCCAAGTGCGCAGCGACCGCGGTCGTCCTCTCTTCCGGTACCGACGCTTGCTTGTTGATGTATTGGACGCGCAATACTGTGAGTAGCCTCTGCTCCTACTCGTGCTTGCTCTCCGGGTGCAAGCACTGTACCGAGGCTTTCGCGTGCGGCAAGACATGGCCATGGTGATGCACATTCTGAGCATCAAGCGGCGCATCCGCGTGACACTCGCCGCAGCGCAAAAGCTACAGTCGTGGACCCGCATGCTCCGTGCGACTTCGTTCTTCCAGCGCGCTCGCCGCGCTGCGACCACCCTCCAGGTTCATTCTAGCACCTTAAACCCTTGTAAATCTTTGTGTAGCGCTGGAGCCGACGTGTAGCACAACACAGAGCAGCGATCAAGACACTGGCCATGCGTCTCAAGATTCAAGCAGCTGCCCGCGGTTTCCTCGTTCGCAACGAGGTGCAAGAACTTCTGCACGACTCTATCGACACCTGCACGTAGCTGCACCGGGCGGCGCTCGACGCCATGGCTGCCGAGACCTCCGCGCGCCTCCGCAGCGAAGTGGCCCGCGAAAGCAGTGCGCTCTCGCGACTGAATGCATCGCGCTGGTGCAAGCAGCCCGTACCTCTCCTTTCTGCTGGTATTCGAGAGTAGCAACGACGCTCTAGGTCGCCCGCAACGTGGTTGTGGCATTTGAAGCGACGGCCGACGTGTCGCGCATTTACAAACCCTCGTGGGCAGCCCGGTGGGCCGACATTGAGGTATTTTCATAAGGTGGCCGTGGTAGTGCTAACGTGGTTCGGGGCAGCGCACGTTGGGCAAGCCAGTCGTTGCCATGGGTATTGGCGAAGCCCACTCGATGTTCTTGTCGGCGCAAGGTCAGCTCTTCAGCGTCGGCTGGAACGACAAGGGGCAACTGGGGGCGACCAAAGCCGGGGCCATTCCTCGGACGCTGCTCGAGGTACATATTATCGACGACATTGCGACGATTCCATTGTCTTCAGGCACCGGTGACGTCGCTTGCAGTCGGTCAAGACCATGCGGTTGCCCTGTGTGCGAACGGGAGTGTCTACTCGTGGGGTGGCAACAAGCACGGCCAACTCGGCCTCGGGCATCTCCAGGTGGCGTCGACGCCGACGCGCGTGTCCGTCTCGCAGCGGCGCGTTGTAGCCATCGCAGTCGGTGGCGCCCACACGGTTGCCCTGCTCGAAACCGGCGCGCTCTACGGCTGGGGCCATTCGGTACGCTGGTGTGGCTTCTCTAGCTTCGTCGTTGATATCTCTTTGCAGATGGGACGCCTGCCTCAAAAAGTGTCGCCGCCCACTCGCTTTGTTGCTGTCGCTGCCGGCAGCAGCTTCTCGGTCGCGCTTAGCGCTGGGTACTCGAAGAGTGCATTCGGCGCCATTCAACGATGATGTGTGTTGTAGAGGCACGCTGTTTGCGTGGGGCGAAGGTACGCACGGCGAACTCGGCCTCGGCGACCAAATGACTCGCGTTGCGACACCGACCGCATTGGCCGTGTCGATTGCAGCCAAGTCCGTCCTGGTGGCCTCTGTGAGCTGCGGCGCCCAGCATGTGTTGGCACTTTCACGCTGCGGCCATACGTTTGCGTGGGGTCACAACGCCAGAGGCCAGGTACCCACCCATTCTCTCACTTCAAGAAGATACCATCGTCGTCGACATAGCTCGGGCTCGGGGACGTTCGTGATCGCTTTGCGCCGACCAGGCTTCGTGCGCTGGACGGACTTGCGGTGACATCGCTCACGGCAGGGCTACACGGCTCTGTCGCGGTCGTGACTGCGAAAGCAGCCGTGACTATGTCGGTGGTATACATCTGGGGCGACCTCGGGTCTGTGGCCATGGTGCCGAGCGAGATTATGGCGAACGGCGCTGCGGTCGTTCTGGGTGCGACCGACAAGAGACTGGCACCAACCAAGTTTTTGCAGACGCCGGCAGCCGACGTGCCGACGCAGGTGCGGCAGAAATCACCAGCCGCTGCAACGCCGTTGGCGTAGGTGCACTGCGCGTGGTCGTCGAGTCTCTCGGTGGTTTGGATGACGTTTGCGCCGCATCAGACTTACACAGCACTCGTGCACGCGCCGCCAAAGTTGCCATCGTCCCATCACACCACGTAGCTAAGCGTACCGACTTGTAGGTTTGTTCGTCCGCCAGAAACACCAGCACCACGACCAGCGCCCGTACCTCCCGTGTCGCCAAGTGCGTTGCCGCCGAGACTGGTCGAGCCCGTTCCAATGTCGAAGCGCACGTCGATCGCTCGGTTCTTGCAAAACCCAACGGCCGAGACGCTGCGCCAGTCGTCCCACGAGGTATAGCGTCACTGGTCGCGACCTGGTACGACACACAGCTACTAGACGCGAGCATCAATGCGACCCAGCCACATTGTCGTGCCCCGGAGCTCCATGCGTCAAAGCCTCGTGGCACCGCCGCAGCGTCTCCCGTCCAAAACCTTCTTCTCCGCGATCAATCACTAGTCTCTCGTTAACTGCACTGAATCGGATGGAAACCATTTGTCTTGATGGCATTTTGTATACGATGCGTCACACTTTACTCTTTCGCAGCCGGCTGGTTGAACTTGGAGCGAAGGACTTGCGCGGGCAAGAGCAAACCCGACGCCGACGTCACCACGGCGGGGGTGCGCGACGGCGGCATGTACGCTGGTTGCGGCGGCGGAGCCATGTACATGGGCGGCTGCTGGTACGCAGGCGTCGGCGGAAGCGGGGGCTGCGGCGGCAACGGCGGCTGGAACGGCGCGGCCGTCGGCTGCAGGAGCGTGGGCTTGGCCGTTGGCTCGGGGCGGGCCTGCTGAAGCTGCTGGAAGTAGTGCGCCATTGACGACGCAGGCGCGGCCGTCAAGTCGCGGTTCACAGTGCTCTTCTTTTGCTCTTCCTCGGCCGCCCATTTGTGGATGAGCTGCGACATCTTGTCCGTGGACGGCGGGGCCGGCGGCTGCTTGGCCAGCTGCGGCACACCCTTCTCCTGGGCCTTGGGCGTCTTTTGGGGCTTGGCCTTGGCCTTGGTCGGCGGACTGAGCTTGTCCGTCGGCGCGACACCCGTTGTCGCCGTCGGGCTGACCTTGGCTTTCGGCACCGGCTTGGCTCTGGGCTTTGGACTCGGGAGCGCCGTCGGTGGCGAACCCGGCTTGGTCGAGATGCGGAGCATCGCCGACCACGGCACGAGCTTGCCACGGTGCGGAGCACAGAGCCCATGCAGGCTGGACCCGCCGCTAAACGTCGTGTCAAAAACGACTTCAACGCAGCCGCTCACAGCATGCGTCGCGACAACGGTGCCTTTGAGGCCAAATGGCACACTGCGAGCGGCGAGGTTCACGACGCGATCGCCAAGCACGGGCGTCACACCCGAACCCACGAGCGACGCCGAGAGATCGTAGTTGGAGCCCACCGCTCGGAAGATGGCCGACGTGGGCACGTTCACCGCCGTCTTGGCGGTCGCCGCCGACTGCGTCGCGCGGATTTCACCGGCCTTTTCGATCGCGCGAACCGCGGCCGCCGAGAGCGTCGTCGACGTCACGGGCACGAGCGGCATCGTCGCAATGTCCAGCTGACCGAGGTACGTCCGAATTGCTTCCAATTGCGGCTTGACCAGCGCGGGCGCAACGCTCAAAAACGCCGCGCCGTCGTACGTGGCCGCGTACGGAAGGCTCTCGACGGCGGCAAACACGCGGGGAAACTTGCGCTGGAACGCAAGAAGGAGGTGGAACGCCTTGTCGCTATACTCCCAAGCACCTTCAACGACCGCAGACGCAGAGACCGCGTCGCTGCCGACGATGGCCACCGAGTCGCCCGAGCCCCACACCGGGCGATCGTCGCGCGCCTTTGGCTCGTAGCGACAGTAGCCAGGCAGCATAAGCTCCTTCTTGTACTTGATGTTCAAGCCGATATCGTACCGACCAGGGTTGACGAGTAGCGAGCCCGTGACGCGCCCCAGCGTCGATGGCGTAATGCCAAGGCGATGACTCACGACATGGCTCGGAAAGAACTTGTCGGCAATGGCTTCGGCGATCGCATACCCAAACGGCGGCTCGGGCGTCAATGTCTCGACGCTAACGTCGACCGTACCGTCGTCCTGATGCCCCGTGACGAGACCGCGGGCGCCGTCGGCCAGCATGAGCACCGGAGTTTGCAGCGGGAAGCGCTCGACGTGCGAGAGTGCCGGTGTTTCAACAAACCGCGCATCCACGGTCGCGAGCGACGTCGCAGCCAATTGAAACGGAATCTGGACTTCGTCATCGCCAAAGAGCTTGGTCGTTGCGCCCGAGCCAGCGTCCGTGACCATGCCCTGGAGCGGGCGCACGTGCAAGAAAGCACGGATGGTCCCAATGCGCACGCCGCCCGTGCCGGGAATCGCGCGGCCGTTGAGGTACCGCTGCGCTTCGATCGACGCCGACTTGGTAAACGTCCGCATCTCGGTTTCGGTGAAGCTACGCACGTCCACGGAACCGTCGTCGTCGTTGCGCCGGACGATGCCGTCGGCCGAGCTCACGGCGACAACGAGCGCTTCGTGCATGTTGGGGTAGTTGACATGCACCTAATGTCATATAAGAATGCTTCGAGGGGCAATGCATATTGCGTACCGTCGTTCCCAGGAGCGCTTGGGCCTCGTCGAGCGTCGGCTCGGTGGCGTCGGCAATCTTGAGCACCATCGTCCTCTTCTTGGAGCTCATGCCAAAGCAGTTGACGCCGATGGCCGCGAGGTACGACGACTCGAGCGGCAGTGCGTGCAGCGACGGAAAGCCCGCAATCGGCATCGTGACGCCGTCGACGAGCGATGAGTCAAAGCTCGTGAGCGGCGGGAGCGTGTACACTTCGCGCATCGAGTGGCAGAGCGGGACGTCGGAAAAGACGGACGGCAGCGTCGACGGCAGCGTCTCCGAGTTGCTCTCGTCGTACGTGAAGCGGTACGCGACGCCCGGCGTGTTGCGCGCGCGCTCGGCGTCCGTGAGGCGGTCGTTCGGGCAGTACAGCTCGATGGCCTCGAGCAGCGCCGTCGCGTCAATGAACGGAAGCACGTTCACGCCTTCCCACGGGTTGCGCTTCCCGTCCATGTCGATCTCAAACTTCATCGGGTAAAAGTGGGCGATCGGCGACGCCGGGTCCGTCATGAGCTGCTGGTACGGCGCCGGCACGAGCGTCGCGCTCGTCGGCGGCAGCGTCGAGAGAAGCTGCTGGAACGGCAGAAACGGCGTGCCCTTCTCCAAGTAGAGCTCCGACACAATGTCGGCAATGTCCGTGAGGTCCGAAAGCATGGGCGAGTAGTGGAACGGGTAAAACCACGACCAGGACGGGACGCCCTGAAAGTAGTAGCCGAGGCACCACACGAGTGCTTCGACGTACGCGACCTTGACGTGGCGCAGCAGGTCCGGCCGGTTGTCGGCGACGCCAAACTTGCTCTTGTAGTACGCCCACTTGGTGGCTTGAAACTCGGGCGACCCCGAGAGCACCGCCATCTCCGCGTGCACGTCCGTCGGCGGCCCTTCGATCGCCGCCAGGAGCTCGGCCGCAAACGCGTCTTCTTCGTCGAGCTCGTCAACATCGACAACAATCGGTTTCTCGACCGGCGCGCGGCCATACCGGCTGCGCTGCTGCCGCTTCCGGTCTTCGTCGGCGCGGTGCGTAAGGATGTCCTCTTCCATGGCGCCAATTGTGCGGCAGAGGTCTTCGAGGTGCGACGGATGCGACAAGGCGCCGCCGTTCGTGAGGTAGTCGCCCCATGTCGGCAGCTTGGACCGGTAGAGCTCCAGGAGAAGCGCGATCGCATCTTCCGAAATGTCGAGCGTCGGGCTGTGCGGAATGAAATCGTTCCCGAGCAGAAACGTCAAAAAGATAAAGTCATCCAGCGCCCGCTCCGTGTCGTACCAGGGCACCTAATGAGGATCCTCAGCTTCACGCAGAGACTGCATCGCACATTACGTCGGCGCGCAGCTCAATGTCGAGGTACTCGCGAAAGACCGAGAGATGCACGAGCTGCCACTCGAGCTCCTTGGTCTGTCGGGCCACAATCTTCTTGGTGTTTTCGTCCTTGGGCGACCGGCGACCGCCCGAAAAGTCGACGACTTCGCGGAGCAGCGTAAAGTGAGGCTCGTGCGTCATGATCCCGAGGAGCATGAGATCGGCGTCCGAGCCGTACATGCAGTGACGAACGTTCGGCGGGTACCTAGGAATGGTTGCTAGGATCCACGAACGAAGCGCCGTAGGACGTACCCGGGTTGCATCTTGGTACGGCGAATGTACTCGACAATCTTGTGCTCGCCTTCACCCGGAACTTCCTGCCCCGAGAAAAGCACCGTGAGGTTGCGCCATGCCGGGTCTTCCTTGAGCTTCTTTCGGATGAAGTACTGGAGATGCAGTGAGAGGCGGTACATGAACTCGGTACCGGGCGTGATACAATTCGAGTCAAACAACACAGCCGGTGGCGCAGCCTCGTCGTCGTCGCCGTCGCGCTGGAGCGACAAGTTCTTCTCGTGGAGCTCCATGCCGGCGCGGAAGCGGCGTGAGCGCTGCTGGTTGAGCTTCGCGCGCGGCGCAACGCCGTCGACAGCGAGGAAAAGCAGTTTCTTGGGCTTGACGATCTGGCTCACGATGCGGTCGATGTAGGCAAAGATGGCCGGGATCTGCTGCGGGTCGCCGAGCTCTTCGCAGACCTCTTGGTCGTTCGGGTGCGTGCACTGGTGGATGATGCCATTGAGGTCGAGGTAGAGGTTGTCGAACTCGGGCAGCAGCGAGACGTCGCTGATGCGTTGGTTGATCTGCGGGTAGCGCTCGCTCACCCAGCGGAAGAAGCGCGGGATCCCCATCTTCGTCCTTGGTCGTTGGCTCGATTGTGGGCAACCCCAAGAAAAAGTCGCCACCGGATACCGTTATCCGGATTTCCAAAGTCGCCCCAAGGGCAATGTGGAGCTCGACGGCGAGCTCCGAGCGTGCAGCTACATCGCAAAGAAGCTGATCCTGCGTCGTGCGATGCATTGGCCGCGACGAGCGCACGGCGCGGATGACGCCCTGTCCCAGACGCGGCACCATCATCCATACGCTCGCCCACGTCCCACGTCAGCATCAACGCTGGTTTCGTATCGACGCCTTTGTCGGCAAGGGTCGACGACGCATTCTCGACGACGAAATGCTGGCAGCGATGCGACTCTGTCGCGCATTCAAAGCGTGCGCTCATTGCGTCCCGCGACGAGTAAGAACAACCTGCCATTTGCGAGCTTGGTGCAATCGCATTTGCGATGCCACTGGTTCAAGGAACTAGACAGCGGAGCTGCACGAGAGAACCAGACGCGCGCCAGAAAATGACTCGGGATCAATGTGGCGCGAGAAATGCCAAGTCCGACACTGAAGTTGACAGAACGACCTGCAGCTTGGACAAGTTCACGTCACAGCATCAACACGAGCCTTGCAGTCATTCACATGGCATCTTAAGGAATCAAAACAATCTCTTCTGCTCTTGTGAACGTCGTCAAAGGCCCTTGTCGCCCAGCACACGGTTGTGCTGCCAGTAAGTTTGTTTCCGGATAAAGATATGGTTTTGACCGGATAACAAGCATCGGTTCGCTCTGCCAACGCCAACGGCGCGGCTCTTGAAGCAAGCGCGCGTATGGACTGGTATTTAAGCGTCTCCGTTCTCTTGCACGGAATGGCCTTTCTCCGAGCTGCGTCGGAAACATTCGCTTCTTCTTTGTGCGCTGCTAGTCGACCGGGACGTCAGTGAATCTGCTGAACTTCAATCTACCAGCAACCGTTGCCGGGCGTCGCCTCGAACCCGAGTGGCAGTGCGCCAAACAAATGCCAACACGACCGCCGCTCTCCAAGCCCTATAGGCTACAGCTCTCCAGCAGTCGAAACTTCGCATTTCGGTCCGTGCGAGGGGACGTTTGTAGTCGCGTCGGGCGATGCCATTGTGGGTTGAATGAGCGAGGTCTGTCCTTGATACTGCTGCTCACCATGCCGAGAGCGTGGACCGCCGAGTAGCTAGGGAATGCTTTGCCCGTCTTGTGCACGGGCACTGTACTCACGTGCAAAGCCAGTCACATGCTCACGGATAGGGTTCGGGGTATAGAGATATTTGATGCATAGTCGTTTTCGCCACGACAAGCGAAAGGCTTGGGGTGGATCAATTGTGGGACAAAGAAAGACGTACTGTACACTGCGACAACTTGTCATGGGAGCGCTTTGCAACTCCGTTTGACGGCGGCAGTTGGTCACGTATTCCTGCATTTTGCGTCGACACAACTGCGTCGCAGTTTGTAGCAAGGCCATAGATTCGTGTCGTACCTTCTAGACCTCTGCTGCCACTTGAGAGAGCTGCAGTCGCTCACAGAGAATGCGTCGTTTGTGGACGACAGCGGCTACGTCGTCCAATAGGGGGGTGTAATTCATCGGATTTTAGCCAATCGGATCGATGGCACCAGCAATACGATGGCGGCGTCGGGGCTCCTGATTGGCTCCTCGTCGAAACCTCGTCGAAAGCCAGGGCTTCCCAACCAAACACTGAGGAGCAGCATGAACCTTCCTCGGCCCATCGACACGACGCCGCCCATGGTCCCGGCGGAGAGCCGCAAGAAACGCAAGAGCCGAAGCTGGGTCTGGGAGCACTTCACGCTCACGCACACGGACGCGCTCGATGGCCTCGGCTACGTCCAGTGCAACCACTGCGAAGCCGACGGCCACCAAGGCCGCTACAAGTACTCGGGTGGCACGAGCAACATGAGCTTACACCTTAACCGGAAGCACCAGATCACGGAGGACGCACTCACGTCCGCATCGACGCAGCCCAACACACCGCTGAGCTCGGCGCCGTCGCCGCCGCAGTCGCAGGCGTCGACGCCCCAGCGCAGCATCACGCCAACGTCCGATGCGCTCTTCCAGGGGGTCACGCGGCGGCTCGTAAAGGCGTCGTCTCGACAGTCGACCAAGAAGCCGGCCTCATGGAGCCTCCTCCTTCTCTTGCTGCACGAAGCGCTGCCGCTGCGGTTGTTGCAATCGCCGCTCTTCCAAGCCGTCGTACCCCATGGTCTCACCAAACAGCACGCGATCCAGATGCTGGAAGACCAGTATAAGGCGTGCTGCGACACCATCGGTCGCCTCATCGCGTCCGACGCCGTCCATCTGACGCTGTCGCTTGAGGAACGAGGTGAAAACGGCGTCGTCTCGGTCGCGACAACGCTCCACTGGGTCGACAAAAACTTTGCGACCTACCGCGTGCTACTGCTCGTCGAGACGTTTCCGTGCGGCCTCCACGTCTCGCAGCTCATGGCGCTTCTCTCTCGCCTCTACAGCGTCGTCCCCGCCGTCCAGGGCCGCGTCCAGGTGTTCCTCGCGTCTTCCGAGCGCCTCGTTGGGCTTCTCACGAGCCTACTGCCCATGGGTAGCGCCATCGTGCTGCCGTCGCTCTCGCATCTGCTTGCAACCATCGTGGCGTCGGGTCTCTCGCACGCCACGGCGCTCCTCGACAAGGCTGCTGCCGCCGCCGCGATCCTCGGCACCCAAGACATCCTCCTGCTCTCGCCCTGGCGCCAAACGCTCGAGATGCTCAAGCTCGTGGTTGCGCAGACAGACGGCGCCGTCCTCGACCTCCTCGCTGCCGACAAGAGCCAGCTCGACGGCCTTGTCGCACTCCTTCTGCCGTTCGAGACGGCCGAGTCGATGCTGTCGCCCGAGGCCACCTACGGCGTCGTTGTGCCCGTGCTCGAAAACCTCCGCGGCCTCGTGCAAAAGTGCGCCGTCACAGGCGCGATCGTCTCCAAGGTGCAGTCGGCGCTCGTCGCTGCGATTGCGTTTGCGCTCATGCGCGACCCGTCGCCGCACGAGCTCGGTATTTCCTGCGCGATGCTGGACCCACGCTTCAAGCAAATGCCCTTCTTGACTCCGAGCGTGAAGCTCCAAGCGCGGGACGCGCTCCAGGCGGCGTGCGAAGCCGTGGTCGAAGTCGCGACCGAGTCACTGCCGCCCAGCCCGTCTATGGACGTCAACATGAAGGACGAAGCAGCCGGCGGGGGCCAATTGGCCAAGGCGATGGCCTCCTTCTTTGGCCTCGCGAGCGTCGACAAGACCAAGGTCCAGCATGAAATTGACGTGTACTGGGAGTTTCCGCCGCTGCCCTTTGACGCGGCCTCGGACCCGATCGCGTGGTGGAAGGCCAACCAGTCGAGCTTTCCGCGCCTCGCCAAGCTGGCCCGCGACTACTTTTCGATCCCGGCGAGCTGCCCGGACGTCGTGCCCGCGCGTCCCGACGACGAACTCTACTCGGTGCTGGCGAGTCTTCGCTCGTGCGCCGCGTACCCGAGCATCTGGGATACCAACACGGCGCCGTTCCACGAGGTATAGGACGCAGTGCAACACAAGTTGTCGAACTCTTTACGTCGTCGTGGCTTCTGTTATTTATAATCCCACACATCCGCGGTCCAAAGTCGTATTTCTACTTTTTTTCGATCAAACTCTTTTCACTCCAAACACACGGATCGGTATATATTCCAACCAAAATCATCGAAATTCATTTACGTTGGATGAATGCGAGCGTCTTTATATGCAAGAACATTCGGGCTCTGGGGCCGTGGTTTGCGGTGGGTTCGGCCGGTTGAGCTCAGAGTCTGGTGCGTCATGCGTCTCGAGTGGCTCCACTTACCACAATGGTTTTGGGGAGTGCTCCAAGTATGAAGCGTACGGCGCAGTCGCCCAGCAACGATGCAAGGTGTTCATTTCAGCCGCGCAAACCGAGCTGGAAGTACAAGAATCGAAAGTTGTGTTGCGCTGCTAGCACGGCCGTAGCGGTGCATTTTGTATCGGTTGACGTGTGCCATTAGGATTACAGTTGGTATAGATCGACTTGCTAAATGCTCCCAAAATGGTGGTGTGTCGTCGGCAGCGACCCGTATCGAGCCTTGGCGTCGCTGCTTGGCTCCTTGAAATTCGGCATAAACAAGAGCGCGTCCGGTCGGTTCTGCACTGGCGAGTTGCTACAATGTATCAATGTATCAGCTATCCTTGCTCGAAGAGGGAGAGAAAACACATACTAGGGCGAGTCAGGGGGCGACGACGTGTCCGAGTCGCGCCGCTTCATGAGGCCGCGCCACCCGCGCCGACGCCGGTTCGACTCCATGTCGGCAATGTAAATGTTGACAACGTACGCCTCGCCGGCCTTGAGCAGCAGCAGCGTCACGGGCAGCAGCGGCAGCGGGCGCGTCACGTACAGCGCCACGAGCTTGTCGGACTTGAGGTAGCAGATCACGATGGCCACGAGCACGTTGAGGAGCGAGCACGAGTTCCAAAGAGCGTACTTGCGAGCAAAGGGCGCGGACCCCATGGCGAGCGAGATGATGCCCGTGACAGGCGCAATGAGAATCGCGAGCGGGTAGATTAGCAAGACGGGATACACCACCGACTTGGTGCACGCAGGGACCTCTGTTCCGTTCTCGACGCACTTGAGGTTCACGAGCATGCCCATCGTCGTGACGAGGTCGGCGATGACGAGCACGATCAGCGCTACGAAGACGCCCCAGCCGTGGAACGACGTGTCGGGCGGCTTGGCCACGTTCGCGGGCTTGACGCGCGCCCAGAGCCGGTGCCGAAGCGACGTCGTCTCCTTCTCCATCACGTGCATCGCGTGCTGCTGAAAGTCGGCGCTTGTCATAATGACACCTGGAATCGGGAGCGACTCGTCGATTGCGCCGACGTAATCAGCCACTCGGACTGCGGGACTGCCGCCAGCGCTGCTGTTGCCAAGCGGCATGGTCGAGCTCGTAGAGTTGGTACCGTTGTTCGCGTTGCCATAGAGATTGGTGGGCGCCGGCGGTGCTATCAACGCGGCGGCCTGCGCCAGCGTCCGTGGGCTCGAGAGTGCTGCTTCACGAATGCCGCCAATAACTGAGTGGCGGTGCACAGACTTGCGCTTCCCACTGCTGTTGCGGTCGTCATGGGGGTACGGCAGCGCCGAGTAGTCGTGCCGCCGCGCTTGCTGCGTCTTCATCTATTTCCCATCGTAGGTGGCTCTTCATAGTGTGCTAGGTACCTGATCGTTGGCCGACGCATACTTGGCGGCTTCGTACTTGGTCGTAGTCAAAAAGAGACCCCATTGAAAGCCGAGCTTAGCGTCGCCGTGTGGGTAGAACCGGCCGAGGGCCATCTGGAGACCACCGAGCGACCGCTTGACACCTACGACACGCGATCAACTCGACGACTACATGAGATGCCGCACCTTGATCGTGGCAAAAGTCAGCGACGGCTTGGAGGCGCAGCGCACACTCGGCGTCGTCGCTCGTGTCGACAATCCGCAGCAGCGCGTTGAGTTCGGCGACGACTTCGATCCACTGGTCGTCAATGAACGCGTCCAGCTCTGGCGCTTGCGGCAGCGACCGCACGAGGAGGTCGTTCGGGTCCAAACACAGCGGCGACTCGTAGCTACCGAGGCCCGCAAAGAGCAACACGAGCGGCAGCCGAGGCTTCCCGACCAGCCAACCAGACTTGGGTACGCACGACGAGCTGCTGTACTCCTTGTGGAGGAGCTCGAGGTACGCGAGCGAGTAGTCGTGGCTGTACCCGACCTTGACGGCGTTGAGAAGCGCGCGGGCTCGCGGACCCTTCATGCACGCGTGGTCGTACTTGGCCAAGAGCCGCTTGAGCGCGTTAAACTTTTTGTGGCGGCGGTAGAGCAGCACGTCCGACGCAAACGGGTAGCAGAGCCAGCGCACGAGCGTATACAAAATGCTGCCGCCCGTGGAGAACGCCAGCGTCTTGTTGATCTGCACGGCGAGCGCCGCAAACTCTTTCGAGTTGAGCACCGGCTCGAGCATCGAGGGCACGGTCGTCCGCAAGAGCAGCGGCGCCTCCTGCGTGTTGTTGCCCGAAAAGTACAGTCGCGCAATGTGGTCCTTCAAGTCGCGCTCCTGGAGCTTGGGGTACCCGACGCGGGGCCAGATCCAGTGGCCGACGCGGCAGCAACGCAGCGAGTACCATGGGCGCTTGGCCGGCGGAATCACGAGCAAATGGTCCGTCTCGCCACCGGTCCGGTACTTGACGTACGGGTCGCGCTTGAAGATGTAGCCGACGGCAACGATGATCAAGAGGAGCACGAGCGCGATGACACCGACGACGAGCTTGCCGCCAAACATCTCGAAAAAGTCTTCGAGCGGCGAGAGGCAGTGCGACCCCGTGTACCCCGGGTCGCACGACCACGCGCACTCGGTCGAGGTTTCGCCTATTTCGTGTAAATACCTCGTAGTGCTGTCGGCCAGTACCTGTCATCGTGTAGTGCGAGTCGGGCGGCGCGTTATGGCACGAAATGCACTCGTCGCTGCCCCGTTCTTCCTTGAACGTTCCGATGGGGCAGGCGCGGCAGAGGAGGCCGCCGTACCCCGGCGGACACGGAAACCCGAAGTACGTCCCAATGCTGCCGATCGGGGCCGGCAGCTTGGTATCGCTACTGCCACCCTGCACGTGGTACTCGCCAGAAAACTCATTCGCGCACTCGGTAAAGTCGGTGCAGCCTTGGAGACGCAGTCGGCCACCGCCGCCGCCACCACCGCAGAGCGTTTGCGACGTGTTGGCTGTCAAGCGCTCGTCAGCGCAGGACGCATTGCCGCCCGAGGCAGAGAGCGACCCGTGGCCGCTGAGACCATTCGGCACGACAAGACTCACAAAGCCACCCGAGCCGCCACCGGCGCCGTTGTTGCCGCTCATACCGTCGGCGGCAATCGTGCCGTTGAGGTTGAGATGGTGGGCGCCAAGGACAATGACACCACCACCTGCGCCACCGCCGTCGCACCCGCCACCCGACCCCAAGAGGCCCGTGCTCGGGCGAGTACCGTACGAGAGCCCACCGATCGCCATGGAAATCGGCGTTGGCTGCCGACGTCGTGTCACAAACGAGTCGGCGCCATTGCCGCCGTAGCCGCCGCCGGACCCAAGCGCGTGTGCGCAGTCGCCGTGGCCGTACCCGTGGTTGGCGGGGTACCCAAACCCACTCGACGACAAGCGAAAGTTGGAGCCGACCGTGACCGCGTGGTCCGTGCAGAGAAGCAAGGCGGCGCCCGTGAGTGCGCCCGGCTTGGCTTCGGCCCCGAGGACAATCGGGCCGCCGCTAAAGAGTGAGATCGTATAGTTGCTGAGAATGCTTGCGGCCGTGTGCATGTTCGAGCAAAACTGATACTCGACCGGGTCCGTCTTGTTCATGCGCTTGCGCGACTCGAGCTCGCCCGAGACGATGAGCGCCGCGTCGGCCGCCGCGTACACAGTCGGCATCGACACGTAGCCCGAGATGACGAGGTCCTTCTTGCTCTCGAGAATGAGCTGCCCCGTCGGGTCCGTGTTGGTCCAGACCGCCGCCGCGACGTTGCTCGTAATGTTGCCGTCAATGTGGATGCCGTCGGACGCGAGGATCGTCGACGTGGCAGAGTACCCGAGGTGCATTTGCGCGCCAAAGTCGATCGAAACGATCGCCGCCGAGACGTGCAGGCCGTGCGGCGCCACAAAAGTCGACGTGCCCCGGACCACGAGCTGCTTGACGAGCACCGAGAGGATCGCATTCGACTTGACGACCAGCGTCGCGTCTTCGAGGATGAGCTCCGAGTCGCCGTGGAGCCCCCACGACGCGCTGTCTTCAAAGTGCACGAGCGCTTCGGCCTCGAGCGTCACCGACTTGACGCTCGGGTCAATCTCGGACAAGGTTAGTGGCGTCACCGCGCACCGCACCTTGCTCAGCGGCAAAAGGTCGCCAAAGTAGTCCATCGAGTTGAATGCGTTCGAGATGAGAAGGACGCCGTCGCGCGTGCCGTTGGTCGACGTGTGGATGCGCAAGAGGCGGCCGGCCGCGCCCGTGAGGCACACGGGCAGCACGATCGAGTCGTCGAGGTCGTCGCGGCTGCCGCTGTACGACGCGACTTGCGACGAGAGCGTGAGCGGATTCGCGCCACCCGAAACGTAAATGTGGCCAATTTCCTCCGCGATCGAGTTGTAGATAAGCGTGACCTGGCCTCCGGCTCCACCGGCCAAGCAGACGCCATCGACGCATTGGCCGTCACCGCCCGACGCCTTGATGGATCCGTGCAAGATGAGCGACGACGCCGACATGTTGACGTGCCCGCCCGACTTGCCTACGCGCACCATGCTTTAGGAGAGAGAGGACGAGATGCACGTACCGGGTTCTTCGCCACCAGCGACAAGCGACGCGTCTTGGTCGATGCGCAGCTGTTTCTCGACCGAGATGGTCATGTTGTGCTCGGCAAAGAGGATGCCATCGCTCGACATGTGAAAGTCGTCGGCAAAGAGGTTGAGCGTCGTGACGGCAATCGACGCGTTCTCGGTAAAGTGGGCGCGACCAGCGATGCGCCAGACGACCTCGACGTCGCAGGACGTGCTGTTGGACGTCATCGAGATGGCCGCGTTCAGCACCACGTCGCGCGGCGTCTCCCAGTTGCACAGCAGCGGCGCGTCGTAGCACTCGAACGTGATGGGCGCCGCGACGACGCACGCTGCTGGCGACGACGCGATCGGATCGCAGAGGAGGAGCGGGCAGGCAGCCGCGGGCGAGACGACCTGCGTCGTGTTGAGGATCGTGTCGTTGACGTCGGCGCCGAGGGCCGAGGCCGCGAGGACCAGCGCGAGCGCTATCCACCGGCGAAGCAGCATCGTGGCGATCCCGTTCGCTTGCCCACTTGAAGGCGGAGCCGCTTTAGCAATCATTTGTGCACCTTCCTCTGGGCAGCTTCCGGATGCTACCGGCGACATTGACACACACAAAATAGTGTGAGTCACGTTGGCACGTCCAGGCACCGCGCAGTTTCTTCTGCAACTGATGCTGCACCTTGTGCAAGCTCTTCTGACGAATGCAGACCACTGCAATAGCTTCTGTAATTGTCCTTTCGCTCGCATGCCATGACAGAAGGGGACGACCTGTGTCCGATCACACATTTCATACTATTCTATACTTTTAAAATGGTGTAATCTAGATCGATGCTATTTTTCAAAGCAAGACAATCAATACAATATGCAAGATAAAATAAAAATTCTGGAAAATAATGGTAGGTGACAATCCATACCTTGTCCGGATAACTCGGCCTTTGGCTCCAAGAGGCCCGATGTCTGCCGTGTCACTGACCGTGCCACCGCCACCGCAGGACGAGGCGACGCCACTCGTGCGCGCCGATGCTACCAGCGTCCAGCGCGACGAGCTCAAGCACGTGATTCGACTCGGCCTTCCGCTCGTACGTTCTGCGAGCCACCGAGAGCGAAGCCTCATGGTGCATGCGTCGTAGATGCTTCAGCAGATCGTGGACGTGACGCCGCAGGTGCTCATCGTGATGCTCATTTCGCACTTGAACCATGGAATGTCCAAAGAGCTCATGGCGGCCTCGGCGCTCTGCGGGCTCTTCTACCGCCTTACTGCGCGCTCGGTCGTGACGGGTATCTCGACGGCCATGTCGACCATGTCGTCGCAGGCCCATGGCGCCAACAAGCCATGGGAGATCGGGCTCTACTTCCAAGCTGGCATTCTCGTGCTCGCCATTGCGTACCTCCCGCTCGTCGCGTTGCTGCTCTCGTGCAGCCACATCTTCGTCTTTCTCGGGCAGGTCGAGTCCGTAGCCGCGATCGCAGGGCGCATGATGTGGTTTAACGTTCCCGCGCTTCCCTTCTACGCGCTCTATGTGCTCCAGGCCAACTGGATCCAGGGCCAGAACCGAGTTCTTCCGCTCGTGTTTGTCGACCTCGCGGGCCAAGCCTGCATGATCTCGACCGCCTACATCCTCATGTACCATACGCCCCTTGGCATCGTCGGCGTCGTCGCGGCCGGTGCCATCACCGAAGTGCTCAAATGTTCAGTCCTCTTTGGCTACATTGTCTATTCCGGCCTCTTGGCGCAAGACTGGAAGGGCTGGGACCTGCCCGCCGCGTGGCGCCTTGTCCCGAGCTTCGCGTCGCTCGGCGCCGCTGGTGTCGTTGTTACCATGTGCATGGCGTACGCCAAATACACGATCACGATCTTGGCCGGGCGTCTTCCGGACGGCGCCGCGGCCATTAGCGCCAGCGCTGGCTACGACCTCCTCGTCGCCTGCTTTGGCCTCGTCGTGCAAGGGCTTGCGGTGGCGGGCTGCATTCGTGTCGGGAATGCACTCGGTGCGAACGACGCGCCGCGCGCCAAGACCGTCGCCCGCCTCGTACTCTGCCTCGCTGCTGCCTACGGCCTTTTCGCTGGCTGCGTCATGGGTCTCTTCAAGGACCTCTACCTCGCCGTGTACATGAAGGACCCGACCGTGCGCCACTTGGCGTCGGGGCTGATTCTGACGGCAGCGCCGTTTCAGGTCGCGACGGCGCTCCTCACGACGCTTCTAGCGATCTTGCAGGGCTGCGGCCTCCAGAGTGTCGGCGCCAAAATGTCGTTCGCTGCGTACGCTGTCGTGGGCATCCCGCTCGGCGCGGCGCTGGCCTTCTACAACCAGAGCGATATTGCAGGGCTCTGGCTCGGCGTGCTTCTCGGCATCACGAGCGTCACTGCTGGCGGCCTCTTCTGGCTCACGCGCCTCGACTGGGACCAGCTCGCGGCCGACGCCAAGGAGCGCACGCGAGACACGTCGTCGTCAAAGGCATAGATTCCTCCATGGCCTCGCTGCGTGTTTGACGTGCATCGCGTTGTGTCAAAAAAGGGTTGAACCGATGCGTTTAACAAAAATAGAGTCCAGTTTTGCCTCCGGATGCGGCGTGCACCACGTGAACTGCGGGTCTCCGGAGGGAGGCCCATCTACTCGGCGAGCGATGCTGGTTGTGAGAAAGGCATCGTGCAGGTAACGCGGCGTACGCAATGTTGTCAGCTGCAAGCAGAAAGGAGTAAAACGTAAGAAACGCGTTTAACGCTGTTGTAGCAGGTTCAACGATCCCTGGTTTTGACGTGCCAAAAATAAAGCGATCCCACTTGGGGTTGCAACAGGTCCCGCGATGACCGTGGGGACGGCCGTGCCCATCGATGGAGGTCCCTCCACCAAGAAGGCGTAGCGCTCGGGCTCATCTCTGCGGCTGCTAGCTCCCACATGCGAAGACCCGCCCCTCCTCAGCGCGATCGAGACGAGCCCGCTGCCGCCGCTTCAATTGCGCCGGACACCGTCCGAGAAGATGCTCAACGTAGGCTCCGTGCGTGTTCGCAACCTCGCCAACCTTGCACGTAGGGCTCGCAGACGCGCCTGCCACAAGTGACGCCGCGTGCCATTGGTACACCCAAGGTACGCGTCTTGGTGGAGCATTTCATCGGCCAACGACTTGGTAGGAAGTGACCGTCAAGCGGCGCGTGCAATCGGCGTACGTCCAGCGCGACATGCCTCTCAACCAAACCCACGACGTGACGCCATCGGTGGTGACCAAGGCGCCGTCGCCGAACAAGGTGTCGCCGTCCAAAGCGCGCATCAAGTCCCTCGAGCGCATCGTGACGTACAAGCAGGCGGAAAAGACAGAGAAAGAGGCGGCCGAGCAGTCACGCGTCCAGCGCGAGCGCCTTGCGCAGGCCCAACGTGGCCACGCGCTCGCACAAAAGCAGCGTCGCCGCGCCGAGATTTACGCGATCAACGCTCAAATGCGCGCCTTCAACCAAGCCGCGATGGCCAACGGCGGCTCCAGCGCAACGCCCGTCGGTGTCTAGCTGTCGATACTGTCGATACGCGTGGCTTTGACATTAGTCGACTTGTACCATCCGAAAAGATACTTCCACTTCTACTATTACTCCTAGCAGGCATCATCATACAAGCGTCGAAGAGACTGCTCTCGGAGGATCGACACGGAGGAGGGTCCCATTAGGTTTCGAAATACAGTCCAATTTATGTTAGTCGCTCCGCTCGTTCTTGTCGTCCAAGTTTACTTCTTGAGCTTGGCCTGGAGTCGGCGGTAGAGCGCTTCCAGTTCGCGCTTGGCTTCGCACTCGGGGAAGTTTTCGAGGTCATAATAATGCGGCGCGAGCTCGACGAGCCACTCGCCCTTGACGCGCGTGTTGAGGCGTATGTAGTTCTTGGACGTGAGCACAAACTCGTTGTAGAGGACCCACTCGGGCTTGTCGTCAATGACGCAGCTCGGGTGCATGTGCACGACCTGGTTGTCCTTGACCGTGAGGTACCCGCCCGCGCTCTGCTTGAAGGCCATCTGCATGAAGAAGCCGGCCGTGATGCACTTGCGGATGTTCTCATAGTAGCGCGGGTCGTTGACGTCCAGAGACTGGCCCTGGAGGCCGAGGCGGTTGAGGTTGCGGAGCAGCTGGTCGCGGACGTTGCCAGCCGACTGGAGCGCGCGAAAGTTGAGGTAGTTCTCGAACACCCACTCCTTGGACTCGTGATTGAGCTTGAACGCGTGGAAGACGTTGAGGAGCGTGAGGTGGTCGCCGTCGACGTGCGCAAACTGGGCCTTGGCCTCGTTCGCGGCCTTGGCCTCGGCCTTTGGCCGCACAAACGGCTCGGCGCCCGACGTGAGCATGGCCGCAATCGTCGCGACTTCGTTCACGACGCCGTAGTGGCCGGCCATGAGCAGCATCTTGCCGAGCTGCGGCTCGACGGGGAGGACGGCCATTTGCGCGCCGAGCTCCGTGAGGTCGCCCTCGTCGTCGAGCGCGCCGAGGTAGTTGAGCATCTCGAGCGCGCGCATGAGCGTCTCGGGCGCCGGCGGATCCATAAAGTCGAAGTGAACCAGGTCGTCAATGTTGAGCTTCTTGAGCGTGAGGACGACGGAGCTCATCTCCGAGCAGAGAATTTCGGGGTACGTCTGCTCCTGGAGGTCGTTCTTGAACGCGCGCTCCGTGTAGAGGCGGAAGCACTTGCCGGGGCGCGTACGACCCGCACGACCAGACCGCTGCTGCGCCGACGCGCGCGAAATCGGCGACACGAGCAGCGACGAAATGCGGATGCGAGGGTTGTAGACCTTCTGCTTGGAGAAGCCCGGGTCGATGACATACACGATACCGTCGATCGTAAGCGACGTTTCGGCAATGTTGGTCGAGACGACGATCTTGCGACCCGGTGGGCCGCCCTCGAACGCCGGACGGGGCGCCGGGCTGAAGATCTTTTGTTGCTGCGCCGGCGGCAGCGTCGAGTAGAGCGGCCAGACGTCGACGGGGCCGACCTTCTTTTGGTCGAGAGCGTTGCACTCGGCCTGGATCTGCTTGACAGCCGTGTCGATCTCTTCGAGGCCGGTGAGGAAGAGGAGGACATCGCCTTCCGGCTCGCAAAGGTGGATCTGCACCGCCGTGCGCACGGCCGCCTCGACGTAGTCGCGCTGCGGCTCGGGCGTGTAAAAGACTTCGACGGGGTGCATGCGACCCGGCACGCGCACGAGCGGCGCGCCGTCAAAGTAATTCCGGAACTTATCGGCATCCAAGGTCGCACTCATGACGACGACCTTGAGGTCCGGGCGCTTGGGGAGGATCTCCTTGAGGAGGCCCATGAGGATGTCCGTCGAGAGCGTTCGGTCGTGGGCCTCATCGAGGATGATGACCGAGTACTTGGAGAGGAGCGGGTCGTTCATCGCGTGCTGGAGAAGCATACCATCCGTCATGAAGCGCAAGAGCGTCTGCTCCGACGTCATGTCCTCGAAACGGATCGTGTAGCCGACGTGCTTGCCGAGGACGACGTCCATTTCTTCCGAGACGCGCTTGGCAATGCTCATGGCGGCGACTCGGCGTGGCTGCGTGCACGCCACGATCTTGCCGTTGTCCGTGTAGCCGGCCTGGACGAGGAACTGCGGGATCTGCGTCGTCTTGCCCGAGCCCGTCTCGCCTTCGACGACGAGCACCTGGTTGGCGCGGACCTTGTCCTGGATGTCATGGAGGAACTGGTACACGGGCAGCGTCCGGCGCTTTGCGTAGATGGTCTTGAACTTGGCGCTGTAGAGGTTGCCCGTGAGCGGGTTGACGCTCGGCGGCTCGTCGTTGTCGAGCGAGTAGCTCGCGACCTTGCGGACCTTGGCCGCTTCACCGATGTCCACGCGCTCCTTCCGCTTCGACATGCTCCAAAATGTGTTCCGTGGCCGCCACGGGACAAATTGATTGGATAGAATGCGACCATTCATTTCCCAGCGGGTACAGGTTGCGTGTTTTCAGGTATTCTATTTCCGTTTGGCTTGACACACGCAACTTGAAACTTGAGCAACCAGCTTTTTTGGCCATGAGCAAGCAAGCCAACCGCAACGGCGCCAAAACCTTGAAATGGACGTGAGCCGATGGGCGAGAATGGCGTCTCCGTCATCGGCAGCGTCGCCGTACCTTTATAAGTGAGCGGAAAACGAGCTCAATTTCCAAGGACTAGTCTTAATTCAACTCCATTTCGGTCTTGTCGCTCCCAAGGATGGGAAGTAAGGCGGGCTGGGCTGGTGCGATGATACAACCACCCGCCATCGCGTCACCCATCGACGGTCCATGTTGAGATTGCCCACATAGTCCTCCTTATTGTGCGTATTGCTCATGAGGATCGCGAGACCGTAGCTTGCGTTGATGCATGTGGCAATGCTGGCAGCTACCCTTGGAAGCTATCTAGCACCGACCACTGAAGAACAATAATGTACGATTCGTCATGCCCTATAGGGTCGCGGCTTCCATTGAGGCAGTAAAGCAAGCTCATTCGCGCTCATGTCGCGAAGCGCCCATGTGCAGAAGCGCCAAAACGCTTGCGCGAAGATTGCGATCTGACAACTTTAAACTTTGTGTTCCTGAATCTGAATCATTTCTTTTGGACCAATGCGGGTGTTGCACTTGGCCAAAAATCAGCTCATTCCGGCTGCTAAAGGGAGTGTCATAACGAATGCGCGCGTGGGATTTCACCTCCTAATTTGGTACCCCCGTTCTGGGGTTCTTTAATGTATATCCTCGTACCAAGGCCATACACTCTACGGCCTTGTCCGTACTTTCCCGTTGCTCCGCATTGATGTCTTGCCTCGCCGGCGGCGTCAGGATGTGCCACGTCATCTACCATTTTTAGCCAATCCGAAGGCCGACAGGCACTTACGGATCCTTCCGGATAACGTGCGGAGGCAATCAAACGACAGTTCCAGACGAGCACGATGGCCACGTCCGACAAGTATGATCGCCAGGTACGCTCTTGACCGCAATGATGGACGAAGCCTGACGGTTGACTCTATGTAGCTCCGTCTGTGGGGCGCCATGGGCCAGCGCAAGCTCATGTCCACGAACCTCCTCCTCCTAAACGCCGGCCCGACGGGCTCGGAGACGCTCAAGAACCTCGTGCTCCCGGGTATTGGCACGTTCGAGATCTGCGACGGCGCGACTGTGTGCGAAGCTGACTTGGGCAATAACTTCTTCGTCACGGACGCCGACGTCGGCCGCTCGCGTGCGCAGGTTGTCATGGAGTTGATGCTCGAGATGAACCCGGACGTCAAGGGCACGTTCCGCCACGAATCGGCGGCCCACGTCGCTGAATACGGTACGGTCGCGTCGCGTATAAGCAAGGTATCATGGCTGCATGCGATCTAGACCCGACGTACGTCCAGAAGTTCAACATGGTTGTGGCCACGCAACTTGCCGAGCCCGCACTGAGCGCGCTTGCAGCGACGTGCCAGAGCCACGCGATCCCACTTCTCGTACATTGCTAAATGATCATCATCATGATTGTCTTACATTGCTATGTAGATTGTCCACTCGTTTGGGCTCCTCGGCTACGTGCGCTTGCAGGTGCCCAACCACACGATCGTCGACTCCAAGCCCGACGCACCGTTCCACGACTTGCGCATCGCCGAGCCTTTCCCCGAGCTCCTCGTGCGTCCTCTTGCGCGTTTACAGAACCTCATGACGACGAGCTAGAGCTTTGCCAACGAGTTCAACCTCGAGACGATGAACTCGCACGAGCATGGTCATGTCCCGTACGTCATCATCCTCATCCAGTCCATCAACGAGTGGAAGGCGGCGCACGGCGGCGACCTCCCCAAGTATGTGCTCCACCTACCCATGCCTTTCTTCTGGCACTCATGAGCCCGCATAGGACGTTTGCCGCCAAAAACGAGTTCAAGGCGCTCGTGCAGGCCAAGGCCCGGGGCTCGTTTGGCCAAGAAGTCAACTTTTCCGAAGCCGTCGACAACGCGTTCAAAGCCTACACGCTGACCAAGGTAGTCCATCCAGCCTCATAAAGGCTTATGTGGGCTTGCAGGATGCGATTCCCGACGACGTCCGCGATGTCTTGGCGCATGCGTCGACGATGACGCTCACGGCGTTGACAGCGACGTTTTGGTTTATCGCGCGGGCGCTCGCGGGCTTTGTGGCGGCGCACGGGAGCTTGCCCCACAGCGGCCATGTGCCCGACATGACGTCCTTTACGACGTACTACGTGACGCTCCAAAAGCTCTACAGCGAAAAGGCCAAGTCGGACGCGCACCTCGTCTTCAACGCTACGAAGCAACTCGTCGCCGAGATCGACCCCACGCGGTATGTTGTATTTGATTGTCAAAATATGGGTTTCCAATCACCATATTCGATGAATAGGACGCTCTCGGAAGAAGAAACAGTCGACTTTTGCAAACACGCGAGCTGCATCGGGGTACCTATTTGCTTTGCAAAGGCGGTATGTTATGCATGTTAACGGTATATGGGCAGATGCTGCAAACGCGGTCGCTCGCCGAGGAAGTCGCGGGCGCCAACCTCACCGATGTACGTTCTCATCTGGCATGAAGGGGTCATCTCACGCGTGGGACGTATGTAGGTCGACATGGAGGACGAAGACAGCAAGCAGTCGCCGCTCATTTGGTACTTCTTGCTCCGCGCCGTGCACCGGTTTATCGCCGAGGTACACCCTCGTGTTGTCAAGTATCGAGGCTATCCCGTGGCGCTAGTTTGGCAAGTACCCCGGGGTCCACGAAGGCCCCGAGTACGAACAGGACGCCAAGTGGCTCGTCCAGACAGCGCAGCATCTCGCGGCGAGTGCGACAATGTCGGAGCCGTTCGCGGTCGATTGGATCTCGCTGGACCACGGCCGCGAGGTCTGCCGGCACGCCGAGGCCGAGGTGCACAACATTGCAGCGATCCTCGGCGGCATTGCGTCGCAGGAGGCTGTCAAGGTAGAGACTCACTGGTTGCAGCATCTGATTTGTGTATCGTAGATCATCACGAACCAGTTTACGCCGATCAACCACACGTACCTCTTCAACGGCATCACGGGCCGCGCCAACACGTACCAGTTCTAAGTCTTTGAATGACGATCTTGATCTGGTTCAGTCGGTGGTTTGTTGTACATGTCACCAGCATTCGCAGGCTAGACGATGACGTATTGCGCGCTTGCAGCTTACAAAGCATGGTGCGTATACGATTTAACGTTAGACAAAGATGACGGTCATGTTGTCCTCGACGTGGGGTGCCGGAATTCACGTCCTTGGCCTTCTGCCGGCGATGCCACGCCTCCAAAAGCTTGCTCTCCATCGTAGGTGGATCAACGCACTCCCCGACAACTTTGCGACCTTCCAGCCGCCAAGCGTTCGCGTGCTCAAGCTCAACAATGTGGAGTTCAAGTGCAAAGAAGCACTCATTCTGTGGACGCTCGGCTTGCCGTCGCTCAAGAAGATGCATTGGTGCTCCATCCAGCTCGGCGGCTTTCGGGACCTCGACCGCCTGGTCATGGGCCACGATAACTTATCGTGGTCTGACCGACGACGACGCGTTTGCGATCGCGCAGACGCTGTGTCCCGATTTGGCTCGTCCGGCACCGAAGAAGACAAGCCGGCCGCCTGCTCACGTTCAGCAGACGACATTCGGCCGCTTGCTGGACGGGCTCAGGACCATAAAGGACAGCAGTCTCGTCATCGACGCCAGCAAGTTCTCGATTTCAGAGGTACCGTTCCAGGAGAATGCGTTTCCCGCGCTGCGGCTCCCACGGGACTCGGCCACTGCGTCGCAGTTCCCGATGCACCCGTTCACACTCAACTTCACGGCAACAAATTTGAACTCGACGCAGTTTTTCCTCAATGCGCTCCAAGGCCACGCGAACGCGACCCTGCAGCTCAATACGGTTGTCGGTGACCGGTATTTCGTACACACATCCGAGAAGCCATGTCAGGCGCTCGTGACAGCCCCACTTGACGGGACTGTCTTCATAGCTTCCCAGTCCCATCGTTCAAGGTGGGTTTGAATACGCTTTTGTCGTTCTTCTGTGGCAAATCATGACTTTCCGTCATCCTGGACTTCGATTCCTACGGGCTTGGATCGTAGGAGTGGTTGCGGGCGAGTGCTGCGTTCTTGCTCCAGTAGCTTGTGCTCGTCGTGAGCGTTGGCAGCTCTTCTTCGCGAAACGTGTCGCCCAAGCGCTTGTAGCAGCCAGCATTGCACATCCGCGCCTGGACGTAGCCAGCGCTCTTCATCTCGCACGAGCAGACGGACGACACGAGGCTCGCCAAGCTCTCGTGGAGCGCGGGGACGTTGAGCGCGTGGAAGGCGCCGCCACGCCCGCCCTGGGAGCCCGCGCAGTTGGTCGAGCACGGGAATCCCTCCATGTTGAGGTCGCCAAAGACCGAGAGCGATCTCGTCCCTGTCTTTCGCGGCGTCGAGAGACCCCACTTGGCTACACACAGCGTTCACGACTAAGTACACACAACATTGTGGACGACGCGTACCATGGTTGCCGCCGGCGCCTACGCCACCGAGAAGGGACCACGACACTTGGCCCATATTTGGCAGCGGAAACCTACCCCCATATCGAGCACTGTATCAAATATCAGCAACGTACGTGGCTGCGACGAGGTTTTCGACGTTGAAGGTAAACGTGCCGTCGGATGTGAGGTTAAGTGGGCGGCCGATGCAGAACGCGTGCGACGCCGAGGCGTAGACGTCGCCCGCACAGAGCGTCGGGATGCCGCTGGCGCCGTCCCACCACGTCGCTGCACTCACGTCCGTGTTGAGCGACTGCGCGACGAGAGCCCATGGCGGCAGCGCATCAATGCCGGCCTTGAAGACGGACGTGATCGCCATCTTGGCCTTGGTCTCGAGCACCAGCGTCGTTGACGGCGTCTTGGGCAGCCGCGGCTTGGTGAGCGCATCGACCATCGACTGCAGCGACGACGGAACGTTCGCCGCCCGTAACGACGCGCTTGTCATGATGTCGGCGTCCGCCTTGTAAAAGTTGGCCGAGCAAACGCGTGCGACCTGGAGGCCGCGACCCAGTGCGTCCACGCTCGTTGCAGGAAGTGACATGGCAAAGATATGCTGGGCGTACTGGACGTTGTTTTCGCCTTGGCAGCCGAGCGGCACAAAGCCTGAGGCATCATCACTTGGATCGGGGTAGTTGGGAATCGACGCCTGCAGCGCGACGCCGCCCGTGATTGCGTCGAACGCCAAGAAGCCTTTGGCGTGGGCGTTAAAGGTGTTCGTGCCCGAGCACTGCCGCGCGGTGCTGTCGCCCTGCGCAATGGCGTAAAACTGGTCGTTGTAATACGCCCAGTAAGGCGACGACGCCTTTTGCTTGAGCGTATGGCTCAGCGGGTCGTTGCCGCCTTGGCCGAGGCAGTCGTAGCCAAGGTCCTTGAAGTACCGGAACGTCGGGTTCTTGGCGTCGGCGTAGAGGTAGCAGAGGCCGGACCCGCGCGCCTTGTCGTCCGTGCACGACGGCGCGGTGCAATCGCACGTCGGCACGAGCTTGCCGGCCGCGTTCTTGACCTGCGATGGTAACTTGAGGATCGCCCACCAGTCGACCGGCTGGCCAAACCCATCGAGCGCATCGATGGACGCACCAGTCGAGGACGAAGCGGCTGCAACGCCGAGGAGGAGCACGACAAACCACCGTGCAAGCATGGTACGCGAAGAATGGCAGAGAATATGGGGTGGGTCCTTCGAGCGACGGCTGATTGGTACGTCGGCCCCGTTGAAGATGCGCCACCAAAGGTGATAGCTGGCATCCCATCCCCGCATTTGAATCCTGGCGACACGTACCCTGCGTGGTCGCTCACATCATGCTCGGAAGTGCCAAGCACAGTGTGCGTTGTCGCTGTCGATCTGCAGTGATATTCTGCTGCGTCAACTCGTTTACTATACGCATGGATACATAGCTTGGATGCACGTACGTGCAAGCCGCCAGCACATTGCATGCGCCGTATTCGAAAATGACGGTCGGCTGCCCGGTCCACAAGCAACCGCGTGGGTTTTGGAGTTGGTTGCAGGAAGCGCAAGTCTGTCATATGCATCGTCGACAGCAGCAGCCATGCTCAAGCCCGCTGCAAGAGCGCTGCACGTGGTGCTTGAAACGAAGAGGAATAACCTTACCACAAGGAAAGTCGACACGAACGCTAAAGTTATGCTCTGATACAACGGAGAACTGCGTACACGCAAGTGTGCGTGTGGATTGCCACGTCATGACGAGCAAAATAGTGTGCGTTGCGAAAGGAGAAAGGTTGCCACCGGTTGATGTCCCCGTTATCCGGAAGATGCCGGATACGCGGGTTCGCTCCGTCGGCGAGTGAAGTTGCATTGGAGATGGAGGAGCAGCCAGTGGTGAAGCCGCCGTCGGGGACGCCGTCGCCGGCGACGACGTACCCGTACTCGTTCAACCCGTTCACATTCCCTCGGAGCACGTCCTTTGCGCCAGGCCAGGCCATCCCGAACTTCTACCCGATCTCGATCGCAGACACATGCGCCTTCAAGACCATCACGTCGGGCGCGATGGGTACGTAGCCGCCAACGTTGCTGTGTTGGCTCAAGCCTTGTAGGCTACGTGCTGGGCCGCGCCATGGGCCTCCTCTTGAGCTCGTACGAAGCGATCACTCCGCCGATTCCGGTGCCTGGTCAGCGCGAGTTGCCCAAGGTGCCGTGGCGTGAACAGGTAGCGTGCGTGTCCATGCTCTGAGGCTTCTCCTAACTGCGTCTGGTTCTAGCTACAAGTATCGGGGCGTATGATCGGCGAGAAGAGCACGTCGTGGGGCCGCAACTTTCTTTTCTTCTCGGGTTCGTTTCGCTACTTCCTCGCGTGCACGAACCCATCTATGCGCTTATGTAGCCATGATCTCGGGCATGGAATGCCTTGTCGACAAGGGTCGCGGCCATCACGACATCACGAGCGTGGCCATCGCGGGCTGCGCGACGGGCGCCGTCTTTGCTGCGGGTCAAGGCCCCCAAGCGCAGTGCCTCGCGTGCGGTGGCATGGCTGCGTTCTCGGCCGCCATGGAGCACTTTATGCACGGCGGCGATTAGAGTAGAGAATGTAGTGGAAATGGCGGCTTCAATATGCAATCACTGTCCGTATCTTGGTCGCTGTCGTCGCCGGTACCCAGCGGGCCGCTGTTCTCCGCGCCCAGCTGCCGGCGGCGGGTTCCGTTGCCTTCATCGTCGGCAACGACTGGCGGCGAGCATGATTAGCAAATCGGGTGCAATTTGTGCAGGCGTAGGCCAAGCACCAATCGCCGTCAACTTCAAGAAGGTATCCTTCGACGCCAGATCATGATCAAGAAAGTGTCCATGACGCGCCACGGGGCTATCCCTGTCGCCGACCAGAGACCAAGACGGGCGGGTGGTCGCCAGCTCGTCGAGTTTGCCGTTGGAGTTTGCCCTTTTGGCCTCTTGAAGCATCAAGCCCGTGTAGGAATATAGCCCATCTCGTGTGTGTTGTGTGTTAGATAGTAATAGTATACTACGAGTACAGTCGTGGTTGGAGGAGGCGCGCTTACTTCTTGAAGTTGTTGTTGATCCATTCCGACGTGACCGACTTGGGGCGCTCGAGCGGGAGGCCGAGAGCGCGGTCCCAGAAGAGCTGCGAGAGCACACCCATGGCGCGCGAGACACCGAAGAGCACCGTGTAGTAGTTCTTCTGCGTGAGGCCGTAGTGGTGGAGGAGGACGCCCGAGTGCGAGTCGACGTTCGGGTACGGGTTCTTCGTCTTGCCGTGTTCCGTCAAGACACCCGGCATGACCTGGTAAATAGTTTCGACGATCTTGAAGAGGCGGTCCTCCGGCATGTGCTTGAGGGCGAACTCACGCTGGCACGAGTAGCGCGGGTCCGTCTTGCGGAGCACGGCGTGGCCGTAGCCCGGGATGACCTTGCCCGAGTTGAGCGTGTCCCAAGCGAACTGCGTGATCGTCTCCTTGTTCACGTCGAGGTTCTTCGACTTGAACTCTTCATCGAGGTCCATGATCCAGCCAAGCACTTCCTGGTTGGCGAGGCCGTGGAGTGGGCCAGCAAGGGCGTTGAGGCCGGCGGCCACCGAGAGGTAAGGATCCGCGAGCGTCGAGCCGACAAGGTGCGTCGTGTGCGCGCTGGCATTACCGCCCTCGTGGTCGCTGTGGATCACGAGGTAGAGACGCATGAGCTCGTCGAAGTGCGGGTCGTTGTAGCCGAGGAGACGCGCAAAGTTGGCGGCATAATCGACCGACGAGTCGTACTGCATGTCGAGGCACTCGTCGAAGTACGAGTTGCGGTAGATCGTGGCGGCGATCTCCGGGATGCGGGCAATGACGTTAAGCATGTCTTCGTACGTGTGGTGCCAGTACGTCGACTTGTGGATGCCCTCCTGGTACTTGCGGGCAAAGATGCTGTCCGTCTGCATGGCCATGATGGCGATCGAGAACTGCGTCATCGGGTGCATGTTCTTGGGCAAGTCGCAGAGCACGGCCTTGACGTGGTCAGGGAGCTTCGAGCGAGCGTGGAACTCAGCCGTCAAGCTGTCGGCTTGGGCCTTCGACGGGATCTCACCCGTCAAGAGAAGCCAGATGAGACCTTCCGGGAGCGGCTCGCCGCCCTCGACAGCGGTCGGGAGCTTCTTCTGGAGCTCCGGGATCGTGTAGCCGCGGAAGCGGATACCCTCCTCGGCATCGAGGAGCGAGGTTTCCCAGAGCATGCACTTGACGTCACGGGCACCACCAATGCACTGGTCGACCGTGACTTCACCGAGCACCTTGTTGCCGTGCTCGGCCTTGAGCTTCTTCATGGCTTCCTGGCGGAGCGGGACCTGCTCCTTGAGCACTTCGAAGAGCGAGCTCGTGGACGTCGAGAAGGCCTTCGTGGACGTCTTGGCGGCGGCGCGGCGCAGGGTGGACGCAAAGAGGCTCATGGTAGCAGCAACTAGATACACAACTCAGATCTAATACGACTCGGAAAGTGCAATCTCGTACGTCTTGAGCTCGGCGGAGGCAAACCGGAAATGAACCGCCGAAGAAATGTGTGGATGGATTTCACCACATATGACGTCAACATGCCACATTTAAGCGTGGCCTCCCGGTCCGACCAGAAATCGCCCATATCTTTTTAAATACGACCCTCTATTTAATTACACTGCCTTACATAGACACGTCGTAGAGGCACCAAATGGTAATAAAAAACCGGCGCGGCCGCCATCAACAATTTAATTGCTGTGGCCGGTCCGGAAGGATCGGCCTGGGACATGTCTAGAATTCGGACTTGTCCGATTTGTAGCCGCCACATCCCGAGGAATCTTGAACTTTGTATGAGCGGACTAGGACACTCGTGCCACGAAGCCCATGGTCGTTTCAAAGCACTTCAACATCATTTTCCGGATATCCGTCCGGATAAGAAGGCAGCGGAGGGCCAGTGGACGTCGGACGAAGAAGATCGCCGACGAAGCACCCGCTCGCCTCGACGACGCGTCTTGTGTCATGGTCCTACTATACCTTCCTGGATAAGCGAGCTGGATTTATAGTACACGTTAAAGGCTGCTTCGTTTACGTTAAACCAGATTTTTTGTAATACCAGTGCACGATATTACGGGGATGGGCGGCGAAGGGCAATTTGCCAATGGATGATGGCGACGCCATCTGGGAAAGCCTTCAGAAAGTGCCAGCCATTGAGATGCTTTTGAGAAGTATGCTGAGATTCAACAGGCGGTTCCCGGCAACGACATCCGGATATGCATCCGCATAATGAATCCGATCTTCTCCGGATACTCTATGCGGATCCCACAACCCGCTGAGCCGGATACGTATCCGGATCGAACATGGAATGTTGGGATGCTTGTTCTGTATTCTGACGACCGACGATGGTGCGTCCTTGCCGCGTAGTCGCTTGGCTCCTCGCGGCCTGCGTCGCCTCCATAGTCGAGGGCGGCGCCGTGACTGCGGGCGCGCCCAGCAATCCGATCGTTCCCGCCGGCGAATGCGTTCGTCTCTTCCACTCCAAGGGCGACGTTGGTTGCCACAGCCTGGACAAGCAGGGCACCCGCGCTCGCCTTGTGAACGTCGCCACGCAAGACCAGCTTAATGGCCTCGTGCTCGCCGAGACGAGCATCCTCATCATGCCCGAGGCTCTCTTCACCAAGGCCAACGTGGCCAAATTCGATGCCACGTACACGAAGGGCCTCCTCATCTACCCGCCGAGCAGCAACACGACGACTTACAACTTGGACGCGCAGAGCCCTCAAGGAGCGAGCACGATCGACAGTGCGCTCAACCCGACGTTCGGCAACTACTCGTGGAACCCGCTTGGCCGCAACCTCATGGGCGAAAGCTTCCCGTACCCCGTCGTGCAAGTGCAGTCGGCGGACGCTGCGCAGCGCTTTGTCACGCTGGCGGCCAAGAACGATGGCGTTCCGACCGACTCGTCGTTCGGCGTTGTGTACCGCTCGCTGATGAAGTACTACTTTGGCCCGCCCAAGATGGACTCGCCGACGTGCTTGGGCTTCAAGAACATCCGCGACCAACGCAGCCCCAAGTGCTACCCGGTCGGTGGGCAAAGCTCATGGGGCGTCAAGGGGGACCTGAGCGCGACCAAGCCAATCCTCGTGGCCATGGCGGCCATGGACACGAACGCGTTCTCGCATGTCTACGCGCCGGGTGCCAACGCCGGCGCGTCGGGTCTCGTAGCGCTCCTCGCGGCCGCCGACGCCTTCAAGTCGATTCCGAGCTCGGCGCTGAGCAAACACATTGTCTTTGCGGCCTTCCAAGCCGAAGCGTACGGCTTTGTCGGCTCGCGCCGGTTCCTCGCCGACCTGACGGCCAAGGCCAACAACTGTGCGCGCACGATCACGGCCAATACGCCGTTCGGCACGTCGTTTTGCGCCCGCCCGCTCGCGACTAGTGTGGCGATCTCGGGCTTGTCCATGGGGCGCATCGAAGCAGCGATTGCCATCGACCAAGTTGGCGTCGGGTCCAACTTTTCGGTGCACATCAATCCGTCGGCGCCGACCGCGGCCATGCAATCGGTCGTCGATGGTCTCACGAAAGCGCCGTCGGCCAACGGTGCCGTGGCCAAGAGCTCGGTGAGCGGCGTCCCGCCGGGTCCGCTCGTGTCGTTCTTGAACGACAAGGAGTACGGCAACGCATCGCTTGTTGCGGCCGTGCTCTCGGGCTACGACACTGCGTTTCCCGCAACGTACCACAGTCGCTTTGATGTGAACACGTCGATTGACGCGACCGCCGTGACCAAGGCGGCGCAGGTGCTCGCGGAAGCGCTCTTTGCGTCCGCGGCGGGCAATGGCTCGACCGTGGCCGCGCCGGTGGTCAACGCTACGCTTGTCGCCGAGATGATTGCGTGTATCACGACCGACTGGTCGTGCCCGCTCATGAAGGCGGTCTCGGTGCCGTTTGTCAACTCGATGATCGACTACTTGACGCTGACAGCGACGTCGTGGCCATTGTCCATGTCGCCCGTGACGCTCTATGCTGGCGTCTACTCGAGCGATCGCGTTGCGACGGCTGTGCTCAACAGCACGAACAGCGGCACAGTCGCCGTCATCGCCGACGACGTAGTCTGGAAGGACTCGAACACGCTGAGCTTGTTCCCAAACGCGTACGAGGTGTTTACGCGATCGTTCCTCGCGGCGGCGCTCGGTGAGCCCACGACGGCGACGTGCAAGATCTCGAAAGACTGCAAGGGCACCGACCTCGAGTGCGTCTACCCGGGCGTCTGCAAGACGCGCGCCGCCCACTTCCACGATGCATACTCGCCCGGCCTCGAGAAGGAGGCGACGCCCGGCCTCTTCAAGGTCTTGAACGCCAACCTGCCGCTGTGGACCGAGCCCAACTGGGACGCCCTCGGGACGCTCGTGTACCCGGATCCGCGCTCGACCATCGGATACGTGGCGCTCGGCGTCGGCGTCCTCGCCATTGCCCTCGGCTACCTCATCGCAGCCCGCTTTCTCGCGCACTTTCGAAAACAAAAGCTTCTCTAAGCGATCGCCAACGACGACTTGCAGACACTCGTGTCGCGCTTCTGGCCTTGCTTAGCTCGTGCGGATAGCGGAAACAGACAATGTATCATCGTGAACAAATATGGTCTACCTAGCGAAGGATGCTCGGGCTTAGGAGCGTGCGATGACCTCGGTCGTGTTGGGCGCCTTGTCGGTATCGGGCTGGACGGCATTGGGCCGCAGCACGACCACAGTGGCGGACGACGGGTCGAGCGGGAAGCGGAAGTCGATGACGCCTGGGATGTCGTCCGACGCACCGCAGCACGCGCACCCTTCGAACGCGATGCAGCTAAAGACGAGCGAGAACATGAAGAAGACGAAGAGCATGATGTCCGTGTAGTAGAGCATCACGCGGTGCGGCTCGTTGTACTTGAGGTACTGCGTAAACTTGTACGAAATGCGCGACGCCACGTACGTGACCCAGAGCCCAAAGAAGACGAGCGTCCCGATCCAGCCGAGAAAGACCGGGTAGGCAAAGAGGTTGGCGCCAAAGTTGACGGCCGTCGCGATAAGTGCCACCACGAGAAGCGACGCAACACCTGCGTTGCGGTAGCACACGAGCGTCGTCGGCGACGTGACGTACTGCGAGATAGCGCCCATGACGACGACCGTGGCCAAGAACGAGACGCAGAACGCGAGGCAGATCGGGATCGTCGCGCGGTGGTCGAGGTCGGCCAAGATCACGCCTTGCACGGCCGTGTATGTGCTCAAGACGCCGAGGCTTGCAGGATACGGGCACCGCTTTTGGTACAAGATGAAGAGGCAGAGGAGAAGGATCACGACAAAGACCCAAATGTACTGCTTCCCAATCACAATGTTGTCGAGCGAGACGCTCGAGACGGCGCCCTCGAGGATCGAAACGACGGCCACCTGCAGCACGAGCTGCGTCGTGTACAGGCCAAAGAAGATGCGTCGGATGCGCTGATGCAGCGCATTGTCCAGCACCCGCGGCGACTGTGGCGGCGCACTCGCGACCGCCAGCATCATCGAGTTGGCCTTTCTGGGAACAACCGATGAGGCGGTTTCGAGAAAGGATTATTTTTGGCCTCATACAGGTGGCATATGTGCGACACGTCCCGCCATGATCGCGAGAGCCTCGCCCATGGGCTAATCCGCGGAAGTTCGCTGGCGGCGGCTGAAGCTTCGCGGCGCCTCGTGTCACATCGTCACGGCCATGGATGAAGGCACAGCTCGCATTATCCATCGCGTAGCTGCGAAGCCAAGCTTCGTGTGCTGTCGATGTAAACGTACTTGCACGCGAGCAGAGCAAGTGGTCGGATGGTGCTACAGCCCTGCACGCAGCGTCCGTCGTTTGGTCTGCAACGTCTCGCGCTTGATTGTTGGGCCCATGCCAGCTGCGCCCTGTGGCGATGACGCTACGGCAGTCTGCCACGCACTCGTACAGCACCTATCCAGCCCCGTGCTTGACATGGCGTTGGACGACTCGAAACCAAAGGTCCAGCGTTGACGTTTGGGGCGGCCTTTGCGTCTCTAACCATCGCCTTCGAGGGCGCTAACGTGGAGAGAACGGGGAGTCGCGTGCAACGTCCAGGGACATTGATGGGACCCGCCTCATGTAGGGACATTCAGCTCTAGAGCTTTGACTCGGCCTTGGATAGCATTTGGCTCGTGGACATGCATGGGACGACGCCACAAGCCACCGACGACCCGCTTCAACAACGACGCCACAAACTACTTGGAACACACAAGAGCCGGCGTGGAGTTGCTCGGCCTCACCCAAATCAGTACTAAGAGTAACTAGAAGAACACCACGCAAGGCTTGGGCACCGTGGGCCATTCTTGTACAACGCTCAGCGTCATGCGCAAGGCTTTCGGTGCAGTCTGAAGCAGCAGAGAAAGCAGCCATCAACGCCGTCGACAGACGTCCGTCCGTAATACAAGCTTGCTTGACTGTAAGATAGACATATCAAACAGGGACGAAAGTCGGTCATAGTGAACCGAAATGCGATCAGCAAGGTAAAGCACGACCTGGATCGGCCATACGGAGACTGGATTGGCTGTTGGGAATTGCAGTCGTATTTGATTGGCTTACGCATGGCCAATGGCTTCGGGTCTTCAAACGACGATGGCCTCGCCGACCGAGACGACAACGACGACGTACTTTGCGGACCTTGCCGCGGGCAAGCCCATTCGGTGCGCCAGAGCGACATAGTTGGTGGTGCTAACGCTGTAGCGTAGCTATGACATGACTGCGTCCAAGGGTAAAGCGCTCTTCGCGACCAAATCTTTTGTGCCGGGCGAGCCCCTCTTCAATGAGATGCCGTTCGTCTCGATGCAGCACGTGCCCAACCAGGTAGACTTTGTGTGCAATGGACCACGTGAGAAGAAAGCTGCTTGTAGTCGCTTGTCCAAGGCTGCGAAAACTGCCACGTTATTGTCGGTTCGATCGAGCAGCAGCTCGCCCATGTGCTGCACGTCGAGGTCGGCGCCGTGCCGCCGCTGCCCAACCAGCTCGTGGGCAAGGTGCCCGTGAACGGCAAGTGCACCTGCGCTTGCGGCGCCATCTATTGCTCGCCGACGTGCCGGTCTGCGGCCTGGGAACGCTACCACTGCGTGCTTTGCACGGGGCACCCGGACACGCCGATGCACGACTTTCTGCAGCACGCGATCGGTAGAGTGCATGTCCTGTTTGACGCTGCAACAACGGATGGTAGACACAAACGAGATCTTCCTCCTCGCAGCGCAAGTGCTCGGCCGCATCAGCGTCGCGTACGCCAAGGACCAGGACATGGCGGCCGCGCGTCGACCCGTCGATATGTTTTGCAAGCTGCCGTGGTGGGAGGTAGCACGACAATTTCAAACCACCTTGTGTCTCACTCGCTGCGCAGGTCGTGGCCTCGGAAGAGGACCTCGAGGAAGGCCAGAGCATGGACGAGTACTGCGGCATCTTCCGCCACCTTCTCGAAGAGACCTTTGCGCTCTTCATGGACGGTCTTCGCTTCAACTCGGCGCACTTGGTGTTGCACGAGCCGCACCCGGACGAGACTTCGGACTTTATGAGCGCCCTGCACTGGGAAAACGTCGTGTCTGATGGCGTGGCCAACGGATTTCTCTCGGTCGATTTTTTCGCCAACGTCGTTGGCATGTTTGAGATGAACAACATCAGCATGGAGGTGCGCCACCCACTCTCGCTTCTCGCCGAGCGCTACGAAGACTCGGGCGATGCCGAGATTGCGGCGTGGCTCGACGTTGTCGAGACCCAAGTGCGTGTCCAAGTCAAGATGCACATGGACAACGACGACGACCAAGATGAGGACGACGATGCCGACGAACACGAAGAAGAGGAAGACGAAGACGACGATATCATGTACCCCGACTTGGATGGCACGGCGCTCTTCTCGCTTGTGTGCACGATGAACCACAGCTGCGAACCCAACGTTGCTGTCTGCTACGAGTCGAATGGTCTCGCGACCGTCGTCGCCTTGGCGCCAATCGCGGTACGTTGTTTTGGCTCCGATTATCGTTATATTCATCCTTTATTCGTGCAGACGGGCGACGAGCTCTGCATTGCGTACATTGAAACGGAGCAGGACGTCGAAGCGCGCACGCACGACCTGCGGTATGTGTATGGCGCGTGTCCTCGTTGGTCTGATCTGATGTTCGTAGCGAGTACAAGTTTGAGTGCCAGTGCCCGCGTTGCCTTCGTGAGCGCTAAGCTAGACGGCGTCGACGACAAGTCGTGCTCGAGAAGCCATTCACTCTACATTGCACTTTGATTTTGGATTGAAAATGCAAATGGCTTTGACGTCGCGCCGGAACGAGTGACGGGTCTCGCTTGGCCCAAGGCGACAGCGGCGTTGGTGCGTAAGGCATCTCCAACAGGGTGAAGATCTTGTACAGACTCGCAGGTCCTACAGGACGTGCGTCTGCAGTGCATTGGCTCTGTGTAGAATGTATTAGCACGTGACCACTGTAGCGAGGACATTTAGCTAGGAAGCACTGCAATGTGGCCCATTGCTCGACGCAAACAACTGGAGTGTACAAGATACATACGATAACGCGGTGGGTCCAACTTATCTGGTGCTCACTCGGCTGTCGGGATATGTTGCCAGTCGCTGGCGCTTAGAGACGACGGCGACGGCGATTTCAGCCAGATCGTCGGCTAAGAAGGCCGGGGCGGGCGCCGTTTTGAACGCTTGGGAGGAAGCATATCGGTGCAGACCCAGCGCTTTTTGCCGATGCGACCGGTTGGTCACGAGCACAGACGACAGCGTGTCGACGGGAACCTTGGACGCCGGGACCTCGGGCATACTCCGGTCGTCGTCGGGCACCGCTCGGTGTGTGCGCGCGGCACGGCTCAGGCCTTTTCGAAGGAGCGTGACACCGTCGCGGTTCTCTCGCAGCATTCTGAGCTCGGCGGTGAGGTCTTCGAGGAGCTGCGTCCTGAGTGCTTGGACCTGCGCCTCGTAGCGCCGCGTAGCTGCGTCGACCGCCTGAGCGTACACGACGCTGGCGCCACGCACTCGTAAGCTCGCGCGCGCCTGGATCTGCCCCAGCTCGTGCGCCTTCTTGGTCTCCAGGACGTGCTTTAGGTGCGCGACGTGGTCCTCGGAGCCGGCGTACTGCATCGGGAAAACCGCAACTGGCACCGTATCCGGTCTGCCGAGTGGATTATCCGGAGGATCCCACTTGCATATTGCCAGCGTCGGCAGCATCGGCATGGGGCTGCATGCGAACGCCGAGATCTTGGTGTACACGATGCCCGTCGGGAACCTCTCGATGGAGCTCTACGAAGAGTACATGGGCGTCCTCCAGAGCGCGGCTGTGATCCCGATCAGCAGCTTGACGCGGCCGGGCGGCTACAGCACCGAGCTCTCGCCGTTCCGGTCGCTCTCGTGGGAGAGCTCCCAAGCGATCAAGTACCGCTTCCTCGACATGAACCAGGTGCTCCATGTGCCATGCGAAGAGGTTCATGCATCGCGCCGCCCGCTGGCACTCCTTGGCATCTGCCACTGCCCGACGACCGAGAACCTCCGGGAAGCGTACCACCACTTTACGACGGTCGCGGCGCAGTTTCCAACGACAATCGCCCACAAGTGCTTTGCCTTTGAGCATGCGTTTGGCGCTGGCACGCTCGACGACGTCGCCGTGCTCGACAACCTCGTCATGTTCCCGCTCGCCGCGCCCTTGTCCGACGGCCACACGACGGTACCGACAATTGCTTCGTCTTATTAATCTCTCGCCGTGTGTCGCTAGGTGTCGCTGCACCTCCAAGTCGTGCTGGACTCGCTCACCGTCACGATTCTCATGTCGCTTGAAAGCTTGATACGCGCGGCTGTGCGACAGCACCAGCAGACGGGCACCGCGGCCGCGACCGACCAAGCGACCGCCGACGCGCAGCTCGGGCTGCTGCACACGCAAGTCGATCCGCTCCAAGATGGTGTTGCGTCTGCGTCCATTCCTTTGCAAGCGCTACCAGTGGCAGCGACGCCGGGGCGAACGCGGTCGGGCTCGATGGTCCCATCGACCTCGACAGCATCGGCGCCGTCGTCGGGCGGCGGTACGCTGGCGCTGGCTTAAGACTCGTTTCTATTTGGATGTGTACGTAGGCACGGGCTTGCTAGGACTGCTGGAGAAGGAGCCGCGCGGCCGACGGCGCATGATCATGCGGCAGCGCAAGCTTATGGGCGACTACAGCCTCCTCCTCGGGTGCTTTAGCGACGCCCTCGAGTTTTACCTCTCGGCCCTCGACGGCCTACGCGACGACGAGCGCCGGGCGTCGAGCTCGTTCAGCGACACGCTCTGGCTTGCAGCGGCGCTCGAAGGCTACGTGACGAGCCTCGTGCTGCTCATGGCGCCACCCTTTCCAGGTGCCCGACGATCGTATGCTCGTTTCTGAACCTCAGTAGGTGGTAACGCGACCAATGTGAAACTCAACGTCGAAGTCATTGAGAAAGCGTCCGAGGCCATCGTGTTGTATGCCAAGGCACACTGCTTTGGCCTCGTAGCGCGCTTGGTGTCGGCCATTGGCGAGTACTACGTGGCCGTGCATGCCCGCCTCTCGACTCAAAAAGGTTGGAATACGCACTGTTTGGCGTGAAATTGAGTTTTGTTTTGGTAGGCACCGTCGACGAAGCGGTTTGGGTCCGGCAGCTTGCGCTCGAGACCCACGGACGGCTCATCACCTGCTTCTCGTCGCTCTCGGTGGACCTCCGGTTGCAGCATTTGCTCGAGATGGCGGCGCAGTGCGGTCACTTGCGCTACGTGCGGAAGCAGGCGTTCTTCCTTCACGAAGCTGCGTCGCTCCTCGTGTACAAGCACCGCCTTGCGTCGCCGCCAAAGGTCGCTGACCTCCGCGCGGCGCTCTTCCTCGATCAAATCGCGCTCGGGCTTCTCGACGACGCGACGAGCTGGGTCCACTTGCGGTTTCTCGTGCTGCGCCAGCTGGTCGCGATCGCTCGAATTTGCCAAGCGTCGCCCGACACGATTGTGAGCTACGCACTCTCACTCCTGCAGCTGCTCACGGCGCTGCGACGGGACACGGAGCCCGCTACGGATACGCCACAAATGCCGTCCAACATTTGGAACGACGGCTTTCTCGAGCCGTTCTCGTCAACATCCGAGACCGATCGTGTGCCGGCGCCGCTGCACGCGAAAACGCAGAGCGTCTACTACGCGCCGCCGCCACTGTACGAGAAAGACGTGCGCAAGGCCTTGGCGAACGCGAGTTTCTTTGGCGTCAAGCATCTGCCGACAACGATGGCGGTCGCAGCAACGACACCGCGCCTCCTCTCGACGCCACGGCAGCTCATGACGGCGGTCCTCAACGTCCAAACGAGCTTTGGTGTCTCGGACAGCGCGAAAGAAACCCACCGGCGTAATGACACCACCGACAAGAGCGCTGACGCCGAGACGCCATTCTTGGAACTGCACACTGACGTTGACGTGGCGATGTGGCAAGGCGCGTGCTGGGCGCTACTGCAGTCGGACCCCGCGAGCCGCACTCGAACGGTCATCCCGCTCCTGCATCGGCTGCTGGATGTTCGCTCGATGACACCGTTGGCGCCACGCCCGCTCGTGTCTGCGGCCGACGTTCGCCGCCTCTTGGACCCTGTCGCGGCCAAAGCTACGTTCATGTACAACCCGTTCCAGGCAAAGACAGCGACGTCGGCAACGACCGTAGCGACATCGTACGTCTACGCGCTCGGCGACCTCGTGGCCATTCAAGTTGAGGCAGCCAACCCACTGGACATTGCATTGGTGCTGCCGCGGCTTCAAGCGTACTGCAGCGGCCACATGCTCGCGTACCCTGCCGCCGCGAGTCTTACACCGCGCCAAGAGCGAGCTTCGATACGCTTGACGCTGCGCCCTCAAGCCGTCGGCGACCTTGTTCTCGAAGGCATCAACTGCGTCTTGCCCCAGCAAATGCTCCAGTACGCTTGATTCAATCGAATAGCTCTTCTATCAGACCACTCAATGGTGCTACGTAGGTATCTCTTGCCCCGACCCGTGTGCCTGCAGGTCGTCGATGCGATAGCGGTGGCCGACTGGAAAGGCGCCGATCGACCGGTGACGCTCTTTGCTAACGAAGACTGCGTGCTGCCCATCTCGCTGCGCAACGCATCAACGACGCAAAGCATGGACGACGTGACACTGCTGCTGTCGGTGCACCGGCAGACCGACGGGTTCCACGCCCCAATCACGACCATGGTCACTCCCGGTGCCCCGGGTCGCGTCGCCATCTCTGATTTTGGCATTGCTTGGGACGCTGTCGCACTGGACGTGGACGTACGCCATCATAAATGTCTATTTGCATGGTTGTCAATGTGTGTGCTAGCGATGGCTGCCGCCTCAAGCGACGCTGCCTCTGCCATTGCGCATTGAGTCGACGCGTCCGGACGTTGTCGACGTCAAGCTGCGAGCCTTGTACCGCGGGCGAGACCCCGAGTGGTACCGCGAAAGCACAACCGTGCTCCGCGTGCACGTGCGCGCCGGCGTCTCGGTCCTCGGCGCCCCGTCCACCAATGGCGTCGCTGTCTGGAACGCTGCGGACATTCCATTTTGTGTCGATGGAGCGGTCATTGCGCCGCAAAGTGTCATGAACGTGGCTTTGCCGTCAACCGAGTGCCAGCGTCTGCCGTGGGAAACGACCGACGGGAGCGCCAGCGGCGCGCTGCTGGTGCCCGAGCGACCACCAGTGCCCGAGCGACCACCAGTGCCCGAGGCGCCTGCGTCCATTGCGCTGACCACCGACGCACGGGATGCATGGAAGCTGGGCACCTTTTACGAGGTTCACGTCGCAACGTCGGTTGAAGACTGTGCGAATGTTGAGCTGGTTGTGGCGGTCACCGTGACGGACGCCGTGACAAACGAACCAACGTCGGCCGCGACTTGCTTGCTGGCAGGCGCGCTCGAGTACACCGTGCTTGACCCGATCCAGGTGCATGTCTTCCAGGTGGCGTTCTTACAGACAGGCCAGTTTCGAGTTTCGGCGATGGTGTCGGACGACACGACGTGTGCGTCGATGACAGTCGACGTTGTAGCAACCGACGACGTAAATACGGTTGAATGATGACACGTCAACTGCCGTCGTCGAGCGACTCGCCGCTGCCGTCAATTGGGCTTTGTGCTTTTCAACTAGTTTTGGAAGCATGGGCGCGGTGTGCAAGTAGAATAGAGTATTTGCACGCGCTTCTTTCACCTGATTGTGGGTCAAGCAGTGTAGCAACTCGTGCGATTCATCGGGGCAACCATGCGAGAACCTCTGGCGTTGGACGCAACAATGGTCTCTAAACCACCGCGAGAGAAACCCGAATAGGCAAGATATCGATGCTGCAATCTATCTTCGTTGTTTCATAAGGCTGCTTAGCGCACGCGGGCGCAGCTGGGCCAGAGCTACAAGGTGGAGCCGAGTGAGATGGACGCCAGTCAAAGGCGAGTTTGTACCGTGAACGCGACGCGGCCAAAGACGAGGGCGAGCGGGATGGGCCCAAAGTGGCGCGAGTCGACCGACATGCCCGAGTTGTCGCCTTCGACCCAGACATGCCCCGGCGGAATCTACGCATCTCGTGTTCAGCGCTGGAAAACGACATGGATCGGGCGTACCGTGATCGTGTCGGGCTCGGTGGCATCGCCGACGGGTCGGCGCTTGACGACTTGACCTTCCTACGTGGGCCATCAAGACACGATCGAAGGTGCAAGCCATAGCATGCTGCGAATCATACCATGGCGATGACACGCTTGCACATGGAAGCCTCGGGCTTCACGGGCGAGTAGGCGAGGACGACGTCGCCGGCGGCTACGGGTCTCCAGCGCAGCGAGAGGCGGTCCACGAGCAAGATGGTGCCATCTGGGATCGTTGGCGTCATGGACGGCCCGAGGCCGAGGATGATGTCGCCGACGTACGTCTTGAGGCAGTAGGCGCCGGTGCCGATGCGCAGGCCATTCCACGCAAGCCGCTGCAGCTGGCTCATCGCACGCAACTGTATGCACCAATCACGCAGCGGCGGGTCGTGGTTCCGGCCAATCCGGATGCAGGTGGAAATCCATGCAGCAGGCGATGGCGAGCCCGCCAGGGACAACCACGGCCACGAGCCTGCCAGGGGCCATGGCCACCGGCGAAGAGTACGCTGCGCTCGCGCCCGCCGTCGCGTCAGCCAAGCTTCGACTCTCGGCGTCTCGCGTAGCCAACGTCGTGGGCCTGCACGAGTTTGGCGATGCCATCGAGATCTTCCTCGAGGTCTGCAGCATTCTCTGTTGTATGGTTTCCGTCACATTGTCGTGTAGTACGTCTACCAAGACCTCGCGCCGCTTTTAGCGCTCGATGCACGCGTCCTTGGCTTGCAGCTCGTGTCCAAGGACGAGGAGCTCGATGACCTCATGCACAGGTCGGGAGCCACGGCGTCGCTTGCCAAGATCCTGCGTTGGGCGACCGAGACGTCGACAGCCAACATCACGACGGCCAACACCCTCGCTGCTAATGTCGGAGCCATCGCAGCGAGCGCTCAACAAGCGAAGAAGCTCAGCGCCATTGAAGCCAAGGCGCTGCGGGACGGACTCCACGAGAAGCTTCGCGTTAACGTCGGCAAGCGCAACGAAAACATCGCCGTCGCGGTATGATACCATTCTAGTCACATGACTAAGATGCTTATTGGTATGTAGACGTACGAAGCGCGCACGGGGTAGGCGAAAGCTCGTTCGCACAGAACGTTGCGCTAATGGTTTGCATCATCCAGGCTCACGGTCTCGGCCTCCAACGACACGTACTACTATGTCCTGTTGCCAGACTTGGACCAAGTGTCAGTGCTCGCCGACGCCAACTGCGCCTGCGCCCGCGCCGAAGCCCTCGAAGACTGCATTGAGCGACTCGCAATCTCAAAAAGGAAGCTACAACGACCGAAATCCGTCAATTTGAATCTCAATCTCAACCCCAACGACACGATCGACGACGAGGACGACGAAATTGATGATACGGACCGAAATCTCTCGATCAAGTCGTTTTACTTTAGTCTCTGCGGCATGGTCGACGGCACGACCGAGGTGCTGCACATTGACGAGAACGACGAGTGGAGCACCGAGCCGATAGTTGTCGAGGTCAAGAACCGGTACCGTCCTTTCAAACCACTCGCAATCATCGTCTTGACCCGGCCATTAGGATGCATCGGTTCCGAGACCCCGTGCCCTTGTACGACTGCATTCAGATGGCCGTGTACATGAAGATGCTCCGCGTCCGTCAAGGTGACATGGTCCAGTGCCTGCACAGCGACCAGACGTCGATCCTCGTGACGCGCGTCCAACTGGGGGCATACCCGCTCTCGTCCGTGGCCCCAACAACGTGCGTATGCCAGCGACGCCGAGACCTCTGGTCGTCCGTCCTCGTCCCACGTCTATACGCGTATGCCGATGCGATCTACAAGCTGCGGCGCAACGACCTCCGACGCTTGGCCTTCCTCCAGGCCCCGCGCGACGTTCAGTTGGCTCTTCTAAAAGACCTCGTTCCCTACGACCCATAAATTCATTTTTGATTCTTACGATGCGAGGAGCATTATTCCTTCGTCCCATCGCTCCTGTAGCGAAACCAACATCTCTACCTCATGCAACAGCAATAGCCCACGACAGCTAGTTCGAAAAGAGTCGACGAAGTCCCCAGCGACTCGTGCGCGGCGACGCGTGGATCACGATGGTGGCCGCCTTCATGTGGCGCTGCGCATCGCTCAGCACTGCCGCCTTGTCTTGGAGGCTCCATCGGCTACATGACAGCTCCATGTACTCGAGGCGGCGCACACAATGCTGCCAGCCGTCCATTGCCATCAGCTCGCTACGGGTGCAGGTGTGGTTCTGAAGGCCGAGCCATCGGATGGACGGACATTGTGGCAGCCTTCGCAGGAGCGTCGCGACCACTGGCGGTGTAAGATTGGGTCCAGAGAGCACGAGATGGCTCAGTCGCTGGCACCGCGGCAAGACTTCGACCAAGCGAGCAAGGTCGTCGCCAGTCGTTTTGTGCAGATGTACGAGACGGAGCCACGGCAGCGTCGGCAGCGTCTGCGTGAGGAGCTTGGACATTTCCTGGAGCGTGCCGTGGCTCGTCACAAGGAACGTGGGGAGGGAAGGTGCGTCGACGGCTTCGACGATGTAGCTGCACGCCGGCGCGTCACCCTTTGGTGTGGCGATCGCGCGCGCCATTCGGTCGACCGGGCGCGGCTCCAACGACGCGACGAGTGAACTCGCCCAGCGCTGTGGCCGAAAGACTTGGGGCAGCCGCTCGCCATGCAGCACATACTCGTCAAAGATGTCGACGTGCACCAGCTGCGCCGAGAGTTGCGGATGCAACTGAATCGCATCTCGGAGGGCATGCAACAGCACAGGGTCGTCGTCAAGTCGGACGCGTACCGAGCGCAGCGAGAGGCAACGGTGGCTTGGGCGCTGCAGCCAACGCACGAGGTTGATGGCGAATTGCCTGTCGAGAAAGACTTCGCCGCGCGGCATTTCAGCGTGAAGGTGCAACGCCGTGAGATGCTTGTGCTCCAGCGTCTCGAGAAGCGCATTCAAATACGCGTCCGACGGTGCGAATATCTGTGGCGATAGCTCCAGAGAGCGCAGTCGTGGAAGCGCCAGCAGTGCGTCGCGCATGGCGTAGCCGTCGACAGCGGTCATTGGGTGCAGGCCCGGGAATCGAACCCGTGTGATGCAATCACCATACGGGGCGACAAGAAGCGCCATATTGATGTCACGAGGCATGACGACCTCGATCGCCGGGCGCAAGGTCAGGGCCCCACGCAGCGCGTTGCGTGTTGCTGGCGCGAGCGAGTGATGGATTGTGACAAGCGGCCAGGCCACGGCCACGTCTGCGCAATGCTGCAGGCGCACGAATGCCTTCAGCGCCGGCGTGCGGCCCCACGGAGCAAGTGCAGCAACAAAGGCCGGCAGGTCGTCCGAGAGGAAGAGAGCGACGAGCTCGATGAGCTCGGGCGACAAGACCGTCCGCATTGCAAGTCGGCAAGTATCGAGATCCGGTTTGGCCTAAAATCACCGCACCAAAGCGCGTGATTGGCCCGCGCCACGGGCCCACGATGACACATCGAACAAGGTCTCATCGCGGCTGCCACGTACCGGTAGGCTTGGTGCGGGGATGAGCTCTTGGACGCAGCTACGACGGTGTCATACCAGCACCCTCATCGCCAGACCCAGCAGCGCGTCTGCGGCTAGCCGACGGATTGCCCACTGTCGTGCGCAAAGTCCCGTCAAACAATGGCGTCTAGAATGCATTTCAAGATCGACAAGCGCTGCCTTGACGCGCCAATGCGTGGAGAAGGTAATTGGAGCTTCTTGTACTCGTCGACTTGATGGAGCGTTGTGCGTGTTCTTCTTGGTTGCACGTGATTTCAGTCGAATCTGTCGACGCCGATGGCTTGTTGTACGCTGCACAAGTCAAGCTTGGCGCTAGCATAGCTGGTGGCGTCACCGACGACGTTCCGGTCCTCCTGCTTCACTCGACGACCGTTGGAAGATCGCAAATCGTCGCATTGGCCAATCACAAGCCCGCATGCGATAGTACCCCGGGGCACAGCCGGTTCTTGGCGTCGCCTGGACATGTGCCCCGGTGTACCAAGTGGCGTCGTGCGAAATCGGTGGACGAGTAAATTCATCGCCATGAGTCTGACCCTGCGTACGCTGGGCCGCCACGCTTGCCGCGTCAAGAAGGACGTGGTCTTCCGCGTCGCTTCGTCGGCCGCCGCCAGCGGCGCGTACGAGACCAAGACGCAGATCCCGCCGCCGGCGCCGTACACGGGTCTCTTCAGCACCAACTTTGACGTGACGGAGCCCAAGCACAAGGCGCGCATGGAGCGCTGGAAGTGGCTCCTCGAGCTCCTCGGGTACTTTAACGAAGAAGCCACGATGACGTCCAAGTCGGCGCTGCTCTTCAACAGCTGCGTGAACCAGGCCGCGCACCCGAGCTTCTACCGCGCGCTCGACTTGCCGGCGGACTTTCGGTCGCAGCAAGCGCTCTTGATCCTGCATGTGTGGATTGCGCACCGCCGTCTCATTGCGTCCAAGACGCCCAACACGCCCAAGGAGAAGATCGACCCTGGCAAGCTCCTCCAAGAAGCGCTCTTTGATCGGCTCTGGGAAGACACGACGGTCCGGATCCGCAACCAGAACGTCTCGGAGCTCACGGTCAACAAGCATCTGCACGAAGTCCAGCAGCGCAGCTTCAACCAGTGCGTCGCGTACGACCAGTACTTTGCCGCGAACGGCGCCAAGCGGTCGCTCAGCGAAGCCATCTCCAAGCACGTGCTCAACGTCGAGCCGTCGGCCAAGCCGAGCCAGACCGCCCTTCTCACGGCGTACGTCCAGCGCGAGCTCAAGACAATGCAAAAGGTCCTCCTGCTTCTGCAATACGATCTCTTTTGACCCCTTCGCGCGTAGCTGCCACTGGAAGTGCTCGAGACGGGCGACCTGCCGTGGGGCCCGCCGCTGGCCAACCCGAGCAACATGAGCTACGACGACGACGAGTTCGACCTCATCGGCCAGCGCTACGGCAACTGGCGCAGCGCCCTCGACGTCCGCGGCACGCGCTACTTTTGGAACATGACGACGCGCTTCTCGTCGTGGGACAAGCCGACCAAGGACACGAAATAGAGTTAACTTCGAGCATCCAATCTGTCGCTTCGCTAAGCGTCGTTGTCGTCGTCGTGTGCGAGGACTTGTCGTAGCAAGTTGGACGGCAGGTTCTCGCTCGGTCAATGTCGCGCGCAGCTCTGAAGCGGCTGTCGAAGGACGGCGGTAAAGCAGGAGCACGTGTCAAGCCTCCTCCATGTGGCGCCGTCATTTCGATCCTCATCTGCCTCCCTACAGCCGCACCACCGAGTCCGCTCTTCGGTCGGAGGAGGAAGCCCGTGCCGCGATCGCCATGCAGCATTTGATGAGCTTCAAAGCTGCATGCGTCCACCGAGTCATGACCGTCGAATGAGCCTCCGACCGTGCACACATGCCACAGTCATCTTCATTCAAGTGTGTACCTTGGTACCAGGCGTCCGTTGCATTCTGGCCGATCCTCTGCGCCGCAGTCCAGTCGACGCCGGTAGCGTTCGTCGGTGTCGCTTCTCGCCGCATCATTGGTGTTCGCCACACCCATGCGTGTGGCACACAACCAAGAGTACATGCATTGTGGGAGTGCTACCGTGGCTGCGACGCTGGTCGGTGGTGCGTGCGAAGACGGCGGAGCATTGGCTGCTGCGCTCGAACGGGAGAAATCCGGGGACGCTGTCGATACACTTCGTCCCTTTTCTGCAGTCAATTGCGCAGCTTCAAGGTGGCGCAGCAGATGGGTTGCGCGTTGCACTTGACATCATCAGGCGGGCGGAGGCGACGCGGAGAGGCGCGGATATCTTCGCCAATCCGACGTTGCCCTACCCCGCGATTAACCAGATTCGCGTCGTGACGTTACGCGTTTTGATTGGCCAAAAAGATTTCTTCGATGCTATGATTGGCCGCGAGGCAAGATTCGAATTTGCCTTTTTTTTGCTCGGCCTGTGGCGCAGACAGCTCGTCAGTTGCCAATTCGCCCCGCGCCCCACACGACTACCATGCCCGCTCTGCTCTTCAAGGACATTGGCAAGAAGGCCGCCGACACCCTCAACGACGACTACGACTTCAACCGCAAGCTTAAGGTCAAGACCAAGACGGCCAACGGCGTGACCTTCACGACCGAGGGCGCGCTCGCCGCCAACAAGACGATCCTCGCCAAGCTCGGCGCGAGCTTTAACCACTCGAGCGGCATCAACTTCACCAAGCTCCAGGTCACGACGCAGGGCCGCCTCATCGGTGAGGCCGAGATTGCCAACGCGCTCGTCGATAACCTCAAGCTCGGCTTCAAGCTCGAGGACGGCGCCAACAAGGGCTCGGCGCGCCAGGTCGGCTCGGTCGAGGCCAAGTACGTCCAGGACAACTTTTCGATCCACTCGACGCTCGACTTTGCCGGCAGCAACGTCTCGAACGCCGGTGTCTTCCACTACGAGAACTTTGTCCTTGGTGCCAACACGGGCTTCTCGCTCGAGAAGAGCGCGATCTCGGACTACGGTGGTGCCATTGGCTACAAGGTCGCCGACTTTGAGGCCACGATCCTCGCCAAGAAGCTCTGCAAGAACCTTACGGCCTCGTTCTCGCACGCCGTGAACAAGGACGTCATCTACTCGGCGGTCTTTGACCACGACTCGAAGACGGCCGGCAACACGCTCACGGTCGGCGGCCGCTACAAGGCCAACGCCGAGACGACGTACCTCGCCAAGATCAACTCGGAGGGCTTTGTCTCGATCGCCTCGATCAACAAGCTCCGCCCGTACGTCTCGCTCACGACGTCGGCCCAGATCGACGCCAAGAACTTTGACGGCGATGCCCACAAGTTTGGCTTTGGCATCACGCTCGGTTAAATACACTCCTATTAGTTTGCTGTCTCAGGTCTACCACACCACCCATGCTACAAGGAGAACTCGCGCGAGTTGCGCTCGGGGCTCTCCATTCCGCGGTGGAAGCGCAGGTCGCCGGCCACGTAGATCTCGGAGATGGACGAGCCATCGCTGCTCGCCTTGCTGTCGTCGCGCACCGTCTTACTTATCTGCAACGGCAGCAGCGTCGGTCCGCACAGCGGCGTCTCGATCGATTGATGCTGCTCCTTGGCCTTGTCCAATGGCGATGCGTCGCTACTCGCCGGCGACTGGTCCATGACGGCGGCTTCGTGCTGGTGCAGCTGCCGCTGTTTCCAGAGGCGGTAAAAGCCAAAGACGGCCGTGATGAACGACGCCTACACTGCGCTCAGTCGACGCTCTCGCAATACGAGCATTCGGTCCCACCCCGCCGGCGCAGTAGGTCAGGATCTGGCCCCATTGCTTCCACGGCGAGTTTTCGAGGCACGCGGGCGGACCTGTAAAGTCCTGGAGGCAGTTGCACGTGCCATCTACGAGGCTTGAGAACGCGCAGCTGTCGGGATCGCATCGTACTCGTGACAGCGCCACGAACCGGGTCGCACGGGATGCTTGTCACCGTCGGGGGCATGGTCGGGATCGCATTCGCACACGAGCCACTGCCTGACGTCACCTACGCGACCGCCGTGAGCCCTCGATTCAAAGCAGGCGCCGTAGTACCGTCACGGCCATCTCGAGCGAGGCAGAGCACCCCGATGCGTCGAAGGCGCGGAGGTAGATGGTGCCATCAAAGAGCGGGCACAGGCCAAAGTAACTCCCGGCGACCGTCGACGCGCTGCTCGTGTTGGTCACCTGCGCCGTCTTGGGCTGGCCTTTCCGCAGCATGAGGTACTTGACAGCGACCGCGCCGGGCCACGAGAGCTGGAGGTACTCGCCGCTGGGCACGCGCGCGCCGTCGTTGTCATAGGTCACAGTTGTCGTCACGTACGTCGGCGTCCCGAACGTGGACGGCGTGCAGTCAAAGCAGCAGACTTGCTGCGCCGCAGAGCACGCGGTCCAGTTGACCGCGTCGACGGCCGCGACCAGCGGCTGCGCCAAGCACGTCGCGCAGCACGTGGCGTGGGCGCCCTGCAAGAGACTGAGCAGCGAAATCAGCACGACGAGCTGCATTCGAAAATATGAAGTGCAAACTCAAAAGGCGGCCTTTCCACGACTATAATTAGAAAAAAAGTTAGTCGCTGTCGAGCACGGTCATGGGTTTCTTGGCTTTCTTGGGCTTCTTCTCCTTCTTGTCCTTCTTGGGCTTGTCCGACTTTTTGGTCTTGACCCGCGACGGTTTGGTCGATGACGACACAGCAGGTGCCACGGACGCGTCGACGGACGGCGACGGCTCGGCGAGCATGGCGAGGGCCGCGCGCTTGGCTTCCTCGATCGCCGCCAAAACGCTGCTGTTCATCTGGACGGGCGCGGGGGTCGGCGCCGACGTGACCGAGAATGCCGTTGGCAGTGCTGGCATGGCTGCCCGCGCCTTGCGAGGTGCTCGCGTGTACGTAATCTCCTTCGTATCGTCTTCGTCATCATCGTCATCGTCCTTGGCATTCCAAAAGCTCGTCGTACTCCTCTCCACCTTAAAGTCCCCGGTATCTTCGTCGCTGGTCGACACCTTGCGACGGCGGGCAGGAGCTACCACGGGCGCTGGCACGGGATGCGCGTCCGAGTCGTCGTCGTCGTCACTCATCGCGACGACCATCTTTGCTTTTCGTGCCGTGGGTGTCTTCTTCACCACGGGCTTGGCGAGGACTACGGGCGACGGCTGCGACGTGATCACGTTCACAATCGGCAGTGACGGCAAGCCCAACGATCCTGACGTCGGTCCCGGCTCGGCGTCCGAATCGTCGTCCAAGACGACCGGTCGTGACGGCAACGGGGCTTCGTCATCGGAATGGACGTCGGCTACCTTTGACCGCTTGTCGTCGGAATGGCTAGCAGCGATCACCGGCATCGGCGCAGGTGCGTCGTCATCATCGTCGCTGTTGCTCAAAACCATCGGTCGCGTCGGCAACGGCGCTGTGTCGTCATCCGAGTCGCTTAGGACGACCGGGCGACTTGGCACGACGTCGTCGTCGTCGTCCGACGCATCATTCCGCGGAATCGCATGTGGTGTTGGCACCGGTGTCTGGTCTTCCGGCTCCGAATCGTCCAGCACCACCGGTCGAGCAGGCAACGGCGCGTCGTCCTCCGAGTCGGAGTGAACGACGGGCTGGGCAGGCAACGATACTTCGCCCTCCGAGTCGGAGAGAACGGCGGGTCGGGATTCGGCGGCGTCGCTATCGCTGCCAGATGCGTGACCTTGCACCGACGTCCGCACGCTGGCGTCACCATCGTCGTTCGAGGGACGCACGGCAGGCGGCAAATCGGCGACCGTGGGACCAGGTGCCTTTCCATCATCATCGTCGTCGTCGGAAAACTCGATCGAGTTGGTCGCCCAAGGCTCGTCATCCAAACCAGTCGCAATGCTATCTGCGTCGTCGTCCTCGTTCGTGCTGGCAGCATGGTTCTGAGCAGACGCACGGCGCGGCAGTGTTATGTACGCTGGCACGTCGACGGGCACCGGCGTGTCGTCGTCCGAGTCGGACGCGGCCACCGGCGGCGGCACTGCCTTGGGCGACGGTGCCGCAGCCACGACAGCGACGACCTCTGGCAGTGGCAGCGCCTCAACGACGGGCGCAGGCGCCGGCGACGGTGCTTTGGGTGACGCGGGACGCTTCACAGGGGAGCGTGGCGGTACCACAGTCGCTTTCGCTGGCTTGGCCTTTGGCGGCGGCGACGCGGGCTTCTTGGCCGTTGGCTTCTTCTTGGACATCTTGGGCCGCGCGTACATGGCTGTGTCGTCGTCGTCCGAGTCGCTGTAGATGAAATCTTGCTTGCGAAAGACGCGGGGCGCGACGACGCTCGTGGGCACGACAACGTCCTATCCAAATAACAACGTCGTTGGACATGGGTTGGACATATGGAGGTGCCTACCTCGTCGGTGCCGTCGCCACTGTCCTCGTCCGACGAGTAGAACTTGTCCATGTCTGTCTTGACGGTGAAGTCTTCGAGCGTCTCGTTCTTGCTCCACGACGTCCGCGGCGCGTCGGCCTTGGTCGTTGCTGCCTTCGCCGGTACTTTGGCCACCGGTGCAGCGACAGCGGCGGCGGGTGCGGCCACCGGCGCTGGTGCTGGGGCCTTGTGCACAATCCGGAGTGGCACCGGGCTCGCCGCACCGTCGGCACCGACGTCGCGTTCGGGCAAATCCTCGAGCTCGTCGACTTTGAGCGGCTCGGAGGCAGCGGCAGCGGCTGGTGCAGCGACGCGGCGGCCAGTCTTGACGTCTGCACCCGCCAAGTTGGCGACAAAGTCACTGTACTTTTGACCGGCGATCGACACGTCGACTTGGGCCTTTGTGCTCGCGAGCTCCGTCTCAAGAAGCCGCAGCTGCTGCTTGACAGTCGCCACCTTGAGATGCAGGAACGGGACGCCGAGGTACGTGTGCAGCGCCTTCAAGCCATAGCAGTTGGAGAGCGAGGCTTCGAAGTAGTGCACCTCGGACGGTCGCCGAAAGCCGGGTAGCTTGTGGTCCTTGTGGCTGCCGTACAGCAGCGTCTGGACGTCGTCCTTGAAGATCGCGCGCTTGAGCGTCACGTCGTCCTTCCGGAGATCGCGGAACGTCCCAAGCACGAGAGTTGGGATGTGCACGGGCACAAGGTCGAGCTGAGTGCGTACGTACTCGAGCGTCGAGTACTTGGTGATGTCCATGAGGAAGATGACACAGTGGGCGTTCTGGTAGACGTCAACGGCCTGCGCGTCGACGAGGGCCACAGGGTGGCGGCCAACGGCGTCCGGCGACGGCGCCTCGATCGGGTCCTCGGACGGAATCCCGACGTCGACGACGTCCCAGAGCTCGCACTTCACCGTGTCTTCGTGCGTCTGCATGGTCCATTGGATCGACGCCGTCTGGATCTCGCGCGTCGGCTCGTGCGTCGGCGGAATCGGCTGGCCTTGCAGGCGCGCCATGAGCGACGTCTTGCCCGTGCCCCTCTCGCCGCGGATGAGCAGCTTCATGTTGTACGTCAGGCCGCCTCGCACCTTCTTGCGGATGACCTTGTCCATGCGGCGGATCGTCTTGGCGTCCGCCTGCGCCTGGACCGCGGGGTCGACGGCGGGCCGGCTCGACTCGTTCCCCATCTTGTGCCAACTGCACACGCCATCATTGCGTCACCCTGCGCTGTACTGAAACGTACGTACGGTACGATCGTACATTGTACATTGCCCACGTGGCCAATCATGAATGTTGGTTGCACACTATTTGGGTCTCGACAAAGGATCGCAGAGAGCAGAGAGACTATCCTCAGCAATGGCCGTCGCTTCCTTGCGATGCAGGTGCGCACTGTGCATTCGCGAGGGTTCCCATACCACGACCTTGTTGCGACGAGCATGCGTCGTTTATTCGTTCACAAAAAATTGAAATTCGTGCTCGAATTCGCACACTTTCAGAGCAAAAATCATGATTCAAACAGCGACTATTCGAGCGGAGGCCCGTGTAATTCCCACTTGCCACAAGGGGCTCATCTTGTTTTCTAAAACAGCGCTCCCCGTAGTGAACATCGTTTTTCGATTGTCAAATAGCAATTTTTCAGAAATTCGGCGCAGAATGCAGGTCGATCGGGACTAAGTGCGCTTGGGGAGAATGTATGTACGGTGCTGGCGTGTTCTCCCAAATATATTTTATTTTATTTCCCTTCCAGCAGCAGCAGCATGAACTTCTTTGGGCGCAAGGCAGCGGCGCCGGTCAAGACGGGTCCCGCGGAGACGGCCGAGACGATCCGCAAGCTGCGCGAGCAGCTCGACACGCTCGAGAAGCGTGAGTCCCACATCGAGAAGAAGATCGAGGCGCAGCTTGAGGAGGCGAAGAAGAAGTCGGCGGCCAAGGACAAGCGCGGTGCTATCTTCTGCCTCAAGCGCAAGAAGATGTACGAATCCGAAATCGAAAAGCTCCAAGGAGCACGGATGACCCTCGAGACGCAGGTCATCACGCTCGAGTCGACGCAGGTCAACATGCAGACCTTCACGGCGCTGCGCACGGGCGCGAACCAGATGAAGGCCATCCATGGCCAAATGAACGTCGACTCGGTCGATGACATCATGGACGATATCCAAGAAGAGATGGCAACGGCCGATGAAATTGGCCGTGCGATCTCGCAGCCGCTTGGCAACGCCCTCTACGATGACGACGAGCTCGCCGCTGAGCTTGAGAGCATGATGGACGAAGAGCTCGAAAAGCAGCTCGACTCGAGCCGCCCGACGCATGCCCAAGTCGCGCAGCCCGTGCGCCCGACACCGGTTGCGGCACCTGCGGTTCCCGCGCCTTCTATGTTTGCATTCCCCGACGCCCCGACGCACCCCGTTACGAACATCAAGGTGAGCGGCAAGGCCGACGCCGACGAGCTTGAGGAGCTTCGGCGTCTTGAGGCTTCCATGGCCATGTAATATCGACCATGCAAGTTAGTTTATATCGATTCTTGGCGCGTGATCTTCAAGGGCAAGACCCATGAGCCGTTCATAGATGATCGCAGATCTGTCGGCTCCATGCGCTTGTTAGAAGGAGCGAACATTGCTCATGGCCCGCCAAAGCCATCGTGGGACTTGGTGCGAGGGCAACGGAATATCTGGTTATTCCCTTGTGCGAGGGAGTCCTCGGATGCAGCATCAAGGTGGCTGCAGGGAGGAAGCCGGTGTGCGACTTTTGGCCAATCACACGCGCTATTGCGTGATAACGCAATATGATTGGCCAAAACTACCCAAGTTCATAACCAGTGGTTTTTCGTGTTTCGGGATCTACGCTCGGAGATTTGGAATTGGCAGCAGCAAAATGCGCGTGATCATCGGCGACGAGACGGGCTTGGTGAAGAGCGTGGGCCTCGAGGCCAACACGGCGCAGGTGCTCGGCTCGACGACGCAGAGCCGCGCGACGTCGGCCAAGTACCTCGCATGGACGGCTGACAACGACGTCGTCATCGGGCGTGTCAATGGCCACGTCGACTGCGTCGCGGCCGACGGCGCCGACGCGCCGTGGAGCTTTAAGTCCAAAGGCGCGCCTGTCGGCATGGGCGTGCTCCGTGAGTTCGGCTCGATTGTGCGCTGCAACGTCGAGGGCCTCGTCGAGATTGTGCACCCGCTGAACATCAAGCCCAATCCCGCGTCCTTCAGCGTCGGCCACGACATCCATACGCTCCGCGTCGACCCGTTGAGCTCCAAGACGATTGCGATTGGTGGCAAGGAGCGTGACTTGAACCTCTGGGATCTCGAGACGCAGACCGCGATCTTCAAGGCCAAGAACGTGACGCACGATGACCTCGATATGCGTGTGCCCGTGTGGGTCAAGTGCATGGCGTTCCTGCCGCCGAGCGAAGGCCACCGCCTTGTTGTGGGCACGGGCCACCACCAGATCCGCATCTACGACACGGCGACGAAGCGTCGCCCGGTCCAGGAAACCTTGTTTGGCGAGCTCCCGATCACGTCGCTCGCTGTGCAGGACCACCGCGTCATTTTCGGCGACACGGCCGGCAACATCAACGCGCTGGATCTCCGCAACATGAAGCACCTCGGCCGGTACCATGGGCCCGTCGGTGCAATCCGCGATATTGCGCTGCACCCGACGCTGCCGTACATGGCCGCTGTCGGTCTCGACCGCATGGTCCACGTGTACCATACCGAGACGCGCAAGAACGTCCATACGTACTACGCCAAGCAACGCCTGAACGCTGTTCTCTTCACGGACGAAATCGTCAAGCCGATGCCGGTGCACGTCGAGAAGGCGTCGACGGACGAGGGCGCGGACGACGACGCCGAGATGAGCGTCGACGAAGACGAAGAAGAGTATGAGGGTCTTGAAATTGACGGCAGCGACGACGACGATGAAGATGATGATGAGGATGATGACGACGACGACGAAGACATGGACTAGAGGCGCACAGTCATGGCGCGTTGACTACAAAATATAGATTTTATTCCTATTATCCTATGCCTTCGGGGCTTCGTCCTTCTAGTATGTCGCTCGGGTCGTGCTCACAGGTGGCGATCGAACCGATCTTGGAGAGCAGCTTCCTCCCGGGCTTCAGCACGCGCTTCCCGGAGCTAACCAAAGCATCATTAGATCGACACCATTTTGCACTGGGACCAACATGGCGCTCGACGATCGACTCGGCCGACTCGACATCCGCGTCGAGCTGGCGCTCGGTGGGCATGATTTGCAGCGACTCGAGGGAGAGAAATCCATTTTTGTTGAGGTACTCTTCGATCGAGTTGACTGCGTGCAGGTACGACGCCTCGCACGCCGCCTTGTACGAATGGGGGTGGCCGCGGCCCCACTTGTCGCAGTAGTGGAACGCGTTGCTGCGCAACTCGAGGTACGTGGACGGATTGTAGCAGAGGTCGCACCCAACGGTGATCGCTACACCAGCCTCAGATCTTGTAGCACCGTTATGGAACATACCGTTGCCGAAGGCGTCAACGCAGCGGTTGAAGAGCGTCGGGCGCGGGACTTGGTTGCGGTACGAGGTGCAAAACACCTCGCGCTCCGAGGCCGCGGCGCGCTGGCAGCGCGAGACGCACTCGGCGGCCGCGTCCTGGCGCAGTCCCCGCCCTTGGGCGACCGATGTCATGGCAGTGAGGCTCAAAAGCACCGAGAGCAACTGCATCTTGAGTTCTGAGTGTGGAGCTCGCGGGCGATTGCAGTATGAAGATTAGCCTGAGAAGATCCGCGCTATTTTGGGCCACGGTGAACGCCTGGCGTTGACCGACAGGCGCCGTTGAAACATCTATCGGCGCCACGTTGGATTTCTTCTCCTTGCCGATAGCCTGAGCTACAGACAATTGCACCCAGCGTACTGAGGCTGCTATACACAGTGAAAGCTGTGAGCAGGCAGAAGATGAAGCCATGCGCTCGGTAGCTGCATCCTCTCGCACGCTGCCTGGATGCAGCAAAGTCGCACCACGCTTCATGCCCGCATGTAATCCTTTCCGCCATGAGAAGATGAACATGCAGGGACGGGTATTGTAGTATGAACGAAAGAAGAGTCTAGCATCGATGGGGCGACCATCGACATTTACGTGGTCTTCTTCGGTAAGTGCTTGCCGCGGTGGTTGAAGGTCGCAAACTCGGGGTTCGAGACGACCCAGTCAAAGGACCTAGACACGGTGGAATGTGATGCATCGCATGGGCAGGGCGGCCACGTACTTGTTGTTGAAGAACTCGGTCGACCGAATCGGGACAAAGTCGCCGGCCATGGCGAGCACGCCGGCGAGGAAGAGTGCAAAGGAGATGGCCAGTTCAACTTTGGCCTATGAATGCAGGAGGAGCATGAGCGTGGCATAAGCTTTGTCGTTGGCGTACCGCGAACGGGGGAATCGCCGCGTCCGTCACTTCGGCGAGCTTGACGTAGGACTCGTCTGCGTAGGCACATGTAAGCGCAGGTGGACGAGGAAGATGTCATGTACATTGGACGGTGTAGTAGCCCGCATGGACGAGGAGGATGCTGCCAAGCGCGACCAAGAGCTTCCCGAACATCGCCGCTTCGTGTCTACCGCTGGGTTCAAAGTCTGGTCGACTTTCGCTACACCTCTCACATTCGATACGGCAGGACGCATTACACTGCAATATGCATTGATACAGGTTTGAAGCTCCTTGACTTGCGTTGGGCAAGCGTGTCGTCTTGATCACAGTGAAGCCATGAACCTGCTCACGCATACATATTGAAGGAGCTGGGACTATTTGCGCCTCGCCAACAGCAGCATGGCGATCCGCTCAAGTTTGCACTTACTAGTACGGAGTTTGTATGGCCTCGGGCGTCCCAGTCATATCCCAACGGCTATACCGGTATCCTAGGCCCACACCAGCCCTCTATCTGACTGCAGCTTCGCTACCAAGAGCGCTGGGTAGACGACGATGGGCACGCAAAATGCGAAGCGCAGAGACGCGCTCTTTCGATGCCAAAGTGGCGTGGCAAGCCAAGGTGCCAGCGTTTGCATTGGAGTTACCACTTGAACGCCTTACCTTTGCTGACCTTGGCGCGGTGGCTGGCTTTTGGGTCCACGCGCTTGGTTTGGCGCTTGAGATCGGCTTCGCCACCAAGTGTTCCTGGGTCCGAGTAGTGCGGCCGCGGATACGGGTTCTTGTAGTGGAGGCCGACCTCTAGGCGTTGTTCGCCTTCGTTGATGGCGTTGCCGATCTCAATCGCCGATCGCAGGCTGCGCTTGGCTTCAAATTCAAGCCTACGCCACGGTTGATCATGAGGGCAACCGCCATCGTCGAACGAGTTGGCGTACCGCGCTTGCGAACGAATGTAATAGCGCTCTACCTCGCCTCCTTCCCCTACTCATCAGGATCATTTGCATTTGTCGTGGGCACTCGCAGCCAAGCACGTACATGTTCTCGCCGTCCGCAGGAGGCGCCGGTACAGCGAGAGAGCTCTGGACATGGGGTGCAAAAAGGAATTGATGCCATTGGTTAAAAAGATTCGGCCAATGGCCGATGATTGGTCAAAATCATGCGGTGCAGGCAACCAAGTTTTCCCCCATTCTGGAACGAAGCGCGGCCGCAGCGGGACGATCATGGTACGAGGATGCTTCCGCGAGCCCTGGGCCGCCCATGAGGATGAGTTCTAAGGACGACGACATGCTCATAGCTGCCTCTCTCCCTGCTTCAAGCTGCCCAAGGCGAAGAGATGGTACGCATGTACGGCGAGGCGACCAACGACTCATGCGAGTTGTCCTCCTAGCTCGTCGAGCTGAAGAACGGTGATACGTACAACGGCGTGCTTGTCAACTGCGATACGTGGATGAATGTCAACCTCAAGAACATCATTTGCACCTCCAAGGTACGCAGCCACAAGGAGCACTCGTTCCCGATCGTCATGCACTGGTGGGTTCTAGGATGGCGACCGCTTCTGGAAGCTCACCGAGTGCTACATTCGTGGCAACACGATCAAATACATTGGTATTCCCGACAAGGTAACTGACTGAGTCTCCACAAGGCCTCGTCATGATCATGGCTTGCTGTGTAGGTCCTGGACCAAGTCAACGAAGAAGACCTCTCGAAGCGCGGTACGACCTCTTTCGACTGCATGTGTAGAACACGAGACTCATATTGGGTTTTTAATAGACCGCAATGCGCTCCGTGGTCGCGGCCGTGGCGGTCGCGGTGGCATGGGCAGCCGTGGTGAAGGCCGTGGTCGCGGTGGCCGCGATGGCGGTCGCGGTGGCCGGACTGGCGGTCGTGACGGTGGCCGAGGGGGCGGCCGCGACGGCGGTCGTGGTGGTCGTGGCGCGCACAGAGGCGGTCGGGGCCAGCATGCCCAATAGCAACACTAGCAAACGATAATACTAGTATCACATATGTGGAGACCGTCATCGTGTTGAAGGCTTCGTAAGACTACTTGCTATTGCTACTCGGTCCCTGGGGGTTGTTCTTAATTAAATAGGCAGCGAGCCATTCAATCGGGTTCGGCGGCCGCTCCTTCACGAGCGACGACATGCCCTGCAGCAAGATGGGCACGACGGTTTGGTCCAGGTACGCGCGGATGGGCAAGGCCTGCACATCCAGCTTGGCCGCGGGGGGTTGGTCCGCAACCTTCTCGGCGGTCTTGGCCTCGGCCGCTTCATCGTTCTCCTGGGCCTTGGCGACCTCGGCCTAGATGAGATCCACTTGCATGAGCCGCACATTCCTCGCGCTACACTGTTGCGGTACCTTGGCCTCGGCCAAGACTTCCTTCTCTTCCGTGGGAACGTCTATAGAAGGATGGGGGATATGAGCCTGCATGTTCGTGGAGCCTTCCCGTCCAGGCGCGGGATCGCGTACCCTTCGCGGTGTCGGCCATCGTCGTCAAGCTTTGCTCGGTTGGTTTTGTTTGGCCAGCTGCGTGGAATCTGTCGAAGGTCCGGATACGCAAACTTGACTTGGGCTCAGTATACCACTTAGATGCCTCGAATGGGCATAAATGTATACTATACGAAACACAAATAAGAATATAAGCTTGATTCTTGTATGGTGACTTTTGGTATCCGGACATTTTCGTGTTGAAGGGTCGCGGTCGTGGCGCCAAATCTTTCGATCTGAAAGTTCAGTCGTTGCCCCTCCTGCGTGCTTGCATTATAGTTAGTCATCTAGTCGATAGGATGCTATCTACTACGAGAACGATACACGGGCAATCGGGTCGCCTGTAATCGGGTTGATGCCGGCGCGGGAGTTCTGGAACTGCAGGTTCGCGGCGCGCACGGCGGCGCGGTGGCGGATCTCATTGTCTGCCTTCATGAGGCGCTCGCCGTCCTTACCGTCGTTGTACTTGAGCGTCACGAGGTTGTATTCGCACGACGCCTTGTTGCGACGCGCCTTGCCACCGTCGTCGCGGAGCCGATCCCAGCGCTGCTTCTCCTCCGCCGCCTTGGCGTCCATGGTCTTCCAGCGCTGGTCTTCGCGAAGCTGGTTGTCTCGGCGCTTGTGGTCATAGACAAGCTGGTGTTTGGCGTGGCGCGACTCGCGCAGGACCTTTTCTTCGCCCGCGACGTCTGTATGAAAGCGGTCGGCGTCCGACATGAACCCTTGCGACCCTTGGGCCTGGACGGTCATGGCGCTGCCCGAAATGGACGTGTCGACGCGAATGAAGCCTTCCTTGCGCGCCTTGAGCCGATCCTTCTCCCATGTTTCCTTGTCCCGCACGGCCTTGCGCTCGTCCCGGGTCCGCGCGCTGATGTTCTTGAAGGTCATCGTCGTACACTGTCATTGACTTGGCTCAGCGGCGCTATATTTAGCGCTCGCCATGCTGCTTCAACCGCCCTCTTTGCCGTCGATGGATAATGCTCAGAACTGAGTGGTCGGCTTTAGTTGTGCGTCGCGGCTGGCACCTGGTCCGCGCCGCTTGTCGTTCGTCGTCCGTCGACTCGACAATGGATGGGATCCGATCCTCGAATGGATATCCTGGATCCAGGATTTCTTTGACAATCCCTGATCGCGGATTGGCGCAAATGCAACGATTTGGTCGAATCAGAGGCTGCAACGCAGGCGACGGGCGCGATTGCGTACGCAAATGCTGTGGCGCCGTCTTTTTTTGTACACGTATACAACGCTTCAAACAAGTGCATTAAAACGTTGAGGCTGGGACGCCACGGAAGGTCCGCCACTGCATGTGATTGGCTAAAAAGCGAACTGACGTCAAAGATATTGACCAATGGCCTTGCACGATCGGTACATTGAGCCTCAGTATACGCCTCAAAATAGATGGCGCACCTCGGCCAAACATCAATTTGCTTCACGATGGCTGCTTCGCTCGCGTCCCTCGCTGCCGTCCCGACCAAGTCGCTCCTCGCCGAGCTCGAGAAGCGCATGGAGTGCGCCACCAAGAAGGAGCGCCGCACGATCTTCATCGGCCCGCCGGGCTGCGGCAAGGGCACGCAGTCGCCGATCATCAAGGACGAGTACTGCTTGTGCCACTTGGCCACGGGTGACATGCTCCGCGCCGCCGTGCGTGATGGCACTGACATGGGCAAGAAGGCCAAGGCCGCCATGGAATCGGGCGCCCTCGTCACGGATGAGATCGTCATTGGCATCATCAAGGACGCGATCAAGAGCCCCGAGTGCCGCCGCGGCTTCATCCTCGATGGCTTCCCGCGCACTGTCGTGCAGGCCGAGAAGCTCGACGAGATGCTCGCCGAGACGAAGACGCAGGTCGACAAGGTTGTCAACTTCAACATCCCCGACCAGGTGCTTGTCGAGCGCATTGCGGGTCGCCGCATCCACGTCAGCAGCGGCCGCAGCTACCACGTCAAGTTCAACCCGCCGCAGGTCGAGGGCGTCGATGATGTCACGGGCGAGCCGCTCATTCAGCGCAAGGACGACAACGTCGACACGCTGAGCACGCGCTTGGATGCGTTCCACAAGCAGACGCAGCCCGTCATCGACTACTATGCCAAGCAGGGCAAGCTCGTCGAAGTCGACGCAAATATTAGCATGGACACGGTCACGGGCCAGATCCGCAAGTCCATGGGCACCGACTAATAGAGATGGTGTTCTTCGTCAGTTAATGACAACGTAGTAGGTCAGTGATCCTTGACCCGCGTCCATCGCCAACGACGACAGAGGGTGGGATACGCTCCAGCTTCTACATGCAGCTTCCATGCAAACCCGCACCCAAGTCGCCGCAATCCTCCAGTTGCACACACTCGCTTGATCGATTCGTATCCTGAAGGTACTACGCTGCGCGCTAAAAGTAAGTAAGCTCGCACACGTCGGTCTCCTCGACGAGGGGTACGACGTTGCCTGCCCAGCTCACGCTATGGCTCAAGTTCTGCGGCCGCGTCGTCTTGTCCGAGATCGCCGGGCACGTCGGCGGCGAGACGTCGACGCCATTGACGTGCGTTAAAAACACTTCTTGTGGTGGCATGCCCGCTAGTGCGCACGCCGAGCCTGGCACCGCTTGCACGACGATCCAGCCGTCTTGCTGCCGAACAGGCTTCAAGCCCAAGCTCCCATTGCGCTTGGTAACCTAATCACCAAGAGGGTTGGCGCCTTCATCTCCATGGTACTACGCGACCTTGAGCGTGCGCTCGTTGTCGAAGCGAAACCAGATACGGACAGCTTGCACGAAGCCTTTTTGGAGGTCGCTCTCGATCAGCGTGTACACGCCTTGGTGCAGCACGCTCGGGCCGTAGCGCGCAATGGCACTCGGACTGGCCTATATACAGATACTACGATAAGGCGCCAAGACACACGGCAGCACGTATTACCATGGCCAATGGCAAGAGGATCGTCTGGAGGCTTTGCGTCGTCACGGGTTTCCCGATGCTTTGAAACTTGCGCAGCGTTTCCTGGGCGCGGTGCGTGGTCTGCACAATGTCTTCATACTCGCTCTGCAGCTGCGGCGTCGGACGGCCCACGAGACCCATCAAGTTGGACGAACCGGGGCCGCTGTCCCGGCGCACAGCCCGCGCTCCGCTTAGCATGGGCACCCTACACGATCGCACTTGTGTGAGTCGATCCCAGCTCCGTCGCGCTGTACCACGTCCCTACGTGCAGGAAAGGCTCGTAGCCGGACGTCGCGCCTGGCGACGCTGGCCGCAGCGGCGACGACGCGCTTGTGTACGAAATGCGCAAGCTACGCAGAGGCGTGGTTAGCATCTGGCTATCCTGGAGAACGGACTTGTCAATGTCATCGAGGACAAGGTCAGTCGAGATGGACGTGACGAGCGGTCGGCCAAAGATGTCGAGGACCCACTGAGATGGCGCATCGCCGCCGTTGACCCACTCGAGGATCGTGACCATGTCCGTGTCGGCGAGGCTGTCGACGTCGTCGGCGCCTGGCATGTGGTAAAGCTTCACCTCGTGCGGGCCCTCGAGCGTAAAGAGGTCCTCTTCCGCGTAGATGGCGTTGGCCATGAGGAGCTTCATGTCGCCGATGCAGCGGAGCCCGCTCACGACGTCGACGTCGACCTCCTTGTACTCGAAGAAGCCATTGTTCTTGCTGATCTGGACCGCGACCATCGGCGTCAAGGATGGATCTTCCGACCGCCAAGGGCCATGCCGGATAAAGATATCATCCGGATGCCGGATTTCCAACCTGCCATTCATCTTCATGACGACCCGCGGGATCTCGGCCTCGAGCGCGCTCGACTTCCTCCGCGTCTGCGGCCAGCTAAAGGTAGACGGTATGTGAATGGCGATGGCTCAAGGCTGGGTAGCGCCTCAAGCGTACGGGCTGGGTCAACCACCAAGTCCATGCGCCCGAGTCAGTCTCGGACCACATGTACCGCCTGGCCATGTGCAGCCTTCTCCTCGACAACGACTCGTCCGTCGACCGCATGAAGTATGCACTCCGGTACGACGTAGGTGAGCTAATGCGCATGTAGGTGCATCAAGATGGCCATCGTGCACGACTTGGCGGAAGCCTTCGTTGGCGACATTACGCCCCACGATGGTACGCACGCCTTCCTGCTGCGGCTGCTGATTCTAGCGCAGGCGTCTCGGACGAAGACAAGCACAAGCTCGAGCGTGTACGTCCTTCTCCTCTCATATCGCTATGCATCCTCATCGCGCATGCTCCAGGATGCGATCGATGAGATTTGCACCAAGCTCGGCGCCGAGTCCCAAGCTGGTACGCTGCGACGCATCCTCGCACATTCGTCGACCCGTATATGCGTGTAGCCAAGGAAATCCGCGACTTGTGGTTCGAGTACGAGAACGCATCGACGGACGAAGCCAAGATGGTCAAGGTAGTCGCCATGGTCAGGTCGTGCGCCTTCCATGATTAGCATTGTTCGTAGGACTTTGACAAGTTTGAGATGATTCTGCAGGCCGACGAGTACGAGAGCGGTGCGCTAGTACAGTACAACTCTGCACAGGATCTCATGCTGCGATAGTGCAAGCCGTCGATCTCCAGGACTTCTTCAACAGCACACAGGGCAAGTTCAAGACGCCCCTCGTCCAGTCGTGGGTCCAAGAGCTCAACACGCAGCGCGACGCCCGCAAGACGTCGACCGAGTAACTTTTTCACACGGACCTCGCGCTAGCTACATCGTCTGCTCTGTCGTACGCGGTCTCGTCGGCGCAAGGTCGCCCTGCACGTTGCAGAGCGCTCAGGCATGTAGAAGTGTGTTCGCTTCGAGTGGCCGTACTGCGTCGAGCTCAGACTGACTAGCGTCTGGACACTGACAATCTGCTTTGGAGCGCCAAGCCAAAGGGTACTGCGTGTTGAGCGAGCCGGTGTCTTCGTCGTGGATGTACGATGGTCAGTATTTGAAGCGCCACAGCGCGCCCTGCCACTTTGATGAGCCCCAGGAGCGTGATCTTGCCAATTCACCTTGCAAGCGACGATCGCTGGCGAGACAGTGGCGACAAATACCTTGAATCCCTACACAACCTACACAGAGTGTGCCACTGCTGCGGTGGGCGCTCTGTTGACGGGAAGCGCTTATACACTGTTTCTACGCAGTGGTTTGGGACCAAACTAGCGATCTAGCTCTATGAGTGTGCTATGAAAGGACAGCACAGGAAGACAAATATGGTGGCCAAATCTGTCTAGTACAAAGCAACCACGATGCGCATTGGCAGCAAGGATTACCTCATGTGCTGTCAACCTGCCGACATGGTCCACCAGCGCTTGGACGCGCTCTAGCACCCGCCGATATGCCGGCGGCGCAGCTCGCGGCTACAACCTCGTCGCACAGCCGCCACGATCGTCAAGCCAGGTCGCTCATGCTTGCGGCGCTGCAAGGGTGCGATCACCAACGAGTCGCGCAGCTAGCTATTGCCATCGTCGTCGAGAAACACATGTGCTTGCATGCAAACGAGTGAGCGGATATGCGATGGTGAGTGGTCGATACGATGTTTTTTCTACACGA